ATATCGGTTTGTACGCGAAGACGTCTTCAAAGACATTGTACTCGACTCCACAACCTTGATGATTATTCTTCTTCAGTTACGATGATAGAAATATTTGTCCAGACAGAGGCAACACATACACAAAAACCAATCACACAAGAAATACATGCTATAAATCTTAGTAATTACTCCTCCGCACTTATCAAACTCCTTCAAAAAAACAAACGTATTAAATCTAAGGGTGGGAACGAGTTTATTAAGACTAAATAAACGAAGGTCCTAAACTTGTCACGGAACTATTTATTGAACATTTTTGTTCTTCTTTAGCCGTCGAAAAATCACTAAGTGAATCAGAAGCAATCCCAGTACCTTGTACAGAATATTTCTAGAGCAACTACCACACTGAAACACTCCTTTACTGATGGACCAGATGGCATTCCGGCTAACATGCTAAAAGGTGGAGGTGATGATCTGTGTGTCTTGCCTCTCAAACTACTTTTTGTATCACTCCCTACAGTATGTTACCCTACCGCCTGGAAAGCTACACATATCGCTCCTAAAATTAAGACAAAAACTGAAGGAAGTGTTGAAAATTACCGACCGATAAACATAACCTCATATATATCAAGAGTGATGGAAATAGTGTGGTGTGGGTTACTTATATTCACATAAGTAGTATATTGTGGCAGAAGATCGATAAGGAAAGAACCGAAACGAAGCGCAATCGGTATGAAAATGCATGAATAGTGAGATTAGAGAAGATGGACTGATATTCACAGTAGGAACAGTCAATATTAAGACAATTGATTGTTATTTTGCAAATAAACTGCTTACTGTATAGTTATCAGACTTTAGTGAGACAGTTTGTAATTTGTGCCTAAATACATTCCATTGTCCAACATCCACCTACTGATAATCCCATTCGAACTTCCCGACATGGATTTCTTGGGACAAGATCATGCGGTACATGCCTAGTAGACTTCATGAATTACATAACTCTGAAACGAAACAACGAACTCCTTGTATCAGTCCTATTCTTAGACTTCAAGAAAGCTTTTGATAAGGTCCCACACAAAAGGCTTCTAATCAGACAGCAGTCTTCCAGAATCAACAACCCACTATATCCATGGTTCGCTTCAACCTAAACAGAAGGAAAACAAATGGTAAAGTACAATGACTCTCATCACCTAGACCAATAACTAGTAGTGTCACCCAGGGGAGAGCATTAGGTCCACCGTTGTTTCTTATATATATAAACGATATATGTAACATCATAAAACTTGGGAGACCATACTTATATGCAGATGATCTCAAAATAGTATACAACTTTAAGCCTGAAGCTCTAAGTTAAAGTGCATCCCGGATTCAAAGTGACCTAAATAACCTAACTATCTGGAGTGAAAAGTGGCAATTACCATTTAACTTCAACAAGTGTGGGATAATGCATTTTGGAAAACATCTCTATGAACTACAAATTTACTTAAATAAAACTAGAGTTCAAACACTCAAATCAGTCCACGATCTAGGCGTTAATTGAACAGGAAGCCTAAAATTTGAAGAACATGTCATATTTATAATTTCTAAATCTGGACGGCTGGTTTTGTAAGAAAAAATTTCTTCACAACAGAGGCTGAGTTGATCTTTACAAAATATGTATACGACTCTCCCTTGAATACTGCTCTTTTATCTTCTCAAACATGAATACCACAGACGAGATAATAGTAGATGTCCACAGACGATTAATATGCGGACCGCCAGGATGTGATTCCACTCTCGACCACACAGACAGATGTAACCGCATCTCCTTGAAAAACGATACTAAATGGATGTCTAAAACGATAAAATATTTCTCTACCAAGCAATATATGGACTCGCATTTCTAACCTCATGCCCTACCGTGATTCGTGACCCAGTCTACAGACTCAGAAACAACCCGTGTACACTGTTTACTGTAGAATACAGAAAACCAATGCATTGTAAGTTTTTTACAGCGCGGTATAGTTTATTGTGGGACAAGTTTTCAATACCTACCCGTAACTCTGACACTATCACAAAGTTCAAAAGACTAATAACATTGTTACTTGACCGTAAAGAGCGTCATCAACTATTACCTGAACTTCTGCCCACCAATAAGCCACTTTATTATGGACCGCCTAATATCTAGACCGATCATGATTATAACGGGCCCCATTATCATTAATATGAGTATAACGAAATCCCACTATTCATTGATTACTAGTCATGCCCTTATGCTCCTACTCCTTACTTTCAGATACCGAATCTCTCTAATGGTTAAAGTCACTTTATTCTTCTTAAGTGTCATGTTCTTTTTATTTTCATTACAGGTAGACAGGTAACTCATTATTCTCATGGATGCTGACCAACTAGGGCCGATCATGGCAGGCTCATAATGTTCGAAATTCTTGAGAGTCGCCTAATAATTTGCAATCTTACTCTGAACATTTACAATCCTAAACCCTTGCATATTCTTTGATTTGCTATCTATCCTTATCACCTCTAAACCACATATAAGCTAACTAGTGTCTTACAACTTATACTATTAGTTATCTTCATAGCAGTATGATATACTAAATAGATGTCTAACCCACAGTACAGAAGCTTCAGCCATCTAATTTGTGTGCAACATGGAAGTAGTAGAGACAGTGTATTTCAACAAGAAGCTTAGATTAAAGCATATTACCATAACCATAATAGGGCCCAACATCAGAAAAGGAGGTAGGGTAGGTAGGTACAACCATGTTTGACGTGATCACAAAAGAGGTACTTGGAGTGTTGTGGACGCCTTCTATCTTAGCTATATTAAAGCAAACCACAAGACCATAGGGGGGAATTATTATTATTATTATTCGCAAACACCTTATGGGTACATAAGTGCTGTGAAGAAACCATTTCGGGCTTCTTCAAAAAATGTAATAATACACGATTGGTTACTAACACTCCCCATGACCACACTAGCGAAAGCTAACAGTGGATAACCGATGGGAGATAGTAAGAGGCATCATTCAGAATGACCTCCGAAACAATGCACCTCAGGGCAAGTACAGATCTGAAAAGTAAGGACACTGTGCTAAGAGAGTCACAGAACGTCCGCTACATGTTAGACGAATAACCATATAAAAGTGGAAGGTCTCCTTGAAGGGATCTGATCTCAGCTTCCATGTGGCTCCAAGAAATACATGTAGTATCAATGTTCGAAGATACAGATTTTTTTGGGACAAAATGGCAGTCCTAATTCAGGCTAACCCAAAATATCCCTACGGATTCGTGATCGGGGGAAATCCTTTAAACCAGTGGGTTTGCAGATGTAGAGTCTCGAATGACAGAAATCTAATCTAGTTACAGATGGCAGAGTTCTTCGAAGCAGACGACGTTGATCAACTTAACCAGGAGCTTGCAAACGCAGGTCTTCTATCAACTAAAGTGTTGTTGGTGGTCTGAAGGCCATCTAATTAATTTTCGGGCTAGTATAAAAGGGGCCGAAATCCCTGTGCTCAGGAAAGCAGCAGGATATGACAGCACCCGGCTTATGATACTGAAGCAGTGTATAGCAGCCATCAACACAATAGCGTATGACCTGTTCAGGCATTCACTAGATTCTCACCACCTCCCAAGAGAACGGAAGCAAACCATTTCCTTTTCAATCCTCAAAGGGGAATATGAAAAAAATCCACCTTATAACGGACCATTGGTATTATTCTCTTCAATGAAGAAAGTAATGAGAGTACTGCCAATAATAAAATGAATGGTTACATTAATAAAAATATGAACCTCCATGACGTCCAACGTTGATTCATTAAATGCAGGTCATGTACTACCATTATCTTTGAGTAAAGAAAGCTGAATGACCTATAGAAACCACAAAGTACCAGATCATGTGATATTCTTCTAATTCTCAGAAGCCTTTGACACAGAACCTCTTGTACTTCCCGTAGAGAAATTTGCAAATATTAATTCTATCGATCAACTTTTATCCTTTCTGTGAAATCAACATGCGAATAGAATGTTTCGTACCAAGGAAAAAAAGTGCATGCTAGTTAAAAGGTCTCAACACCAACAGTTTCACAAGGAACAATCGTACGTCCATTGGTCTACCTGATATACATTAATAACCTATTAGACAGCGATAACTCGTAAGTACTAATCTATGGAGACGATACAAATATCTGAAGTCGATAACAGTTGTTCCGAACACTGTTTCAAACATACACACGTCCCCTACTTTGAAGTCCACAATATCGTTGCCCCCTCACTTAAAAAATACATAAATCTATTAGACCAAGTACAGAGACGGAAAACCAAATAACTGATAGGGTTAAAACATGGATTTTACGAGGAAAGACTCGAATACCAGGGATCTACAGGAGAACAATAGGTGATCTGATAATAGTACACAACATATTAAGTACGTCACGTCACCCTCATTCGAGCATATTGCCGGAACATCATCATTACGCTCTTCAAGACAACCCCTAACAGCCTCCACATCAAAGAGCGGACACGCAGGTGTACTCTCATCTTTTATCATTGGGAGCTGCCCTCATTTGGAGGGCTCTCCCAGTCAGTGACCGCAGCTCTTCAAGGGATAGATTTAGGAGGAAACTTGACAAACACATACTCATAGCTTACCACCACCTACTTGAACCACTTGTCTGACGCACGTCCCATAAATAACCACGGTTACCATCACTACATAATCAATAACTACTTCCTACCCCTTAAATTATCATGTCAGTTCCTCTCCTATTCTTCAAATTCCATATTATGTATTGCCAATTAAGTAAATTTACTATTTATACTTGAAGCAATCGTTTTCCCACTGCACTCAAACTATCAGCTTGTAATTTTCTCATTGCAACCAACCAACCTCATGCTTGGTAATGCGATAGGTGCTGGTATCAAGAAGCCCTACTGAACTGAGACAAACGCTGCAAAATACACAAACCGGCAAATCGCTATGAAACTGACTAATGTAAGTGCAATTGAGTGGCTAGACAAATACCAGTTGAACATAATGAAACACCTGGAATCGTATTGAAACAACAAGAAGTGAGCGCAAAGAAATCAATCGATTTGCGTAAGCTCGTTATAAAAACATTGGATATTGTATACCCGCGAACAATGAAACGAGGTCAGACCAAAGGCAAGCGGGATAATATCCGTAAAACGTAATCATATCTTTCTAAATTATTCTTTCCAGTTCACAAAATGATAGTAAAAAAGGAAAGGAGCAAAGCACTAAAAAAACCAAGTTTTATGAGCTTATAGCTCGACAAAAGCAAATAAAAAACGTTAGTCTCGTCGTTTTAGGTTTTTTATTGATAGATAAAACTTGAAAAGAAAAAGGCAATAGAGAAAAAACGAGAAGAGCGTCTGCACAATCGTAAAGAACGCAACATATCAATGCAAAAGTTGACTAGAAAAGGACAACCCGTCATGAAACACCGCATTAAACTACTCCTTAAACAGCTGTGTCCAGGAGATGCATAAATAAATTTTGTTGATACCATTTAGTCTCTCTTATCCGTAATGTCTAATTTTGGGTGCAGATAACGTAATGGAGGCTTGTCTTACTAGGTAAGGATTGATTCTTCAGAAACATACTGAAACAACAAAATTTGCTCTGCGATACGTTAAAAGTAATTATGTTTACCAACAGGTGAACATAACTAGATTATCTTCAAGCCCTTAGGCAGCGTATTTACATTTCCCACTAAATTTCGGCCTGTAAAGTGTCAGTTGTTATTAGACAAGAAAATGAAAATTTATGTTTTTTCGTGGCACGAAGCCGATTACGTATGAATCAAGAATTTGAAAACTTATTCAGTCAGAAACAAAGTAGAACTTCTTACGTAGGTACATCAGTTCAAGTTACCATACCACATTAGCACAGAAATACAATTGTCAATTAAACCCCATGGTGGTAGAGGTAGTAAAAGTATAAACAGTAATCCGAAAGATTAGGGTTTGAAGAAGTTATTCAAGGAGTATAATCCAGTAATATAAATTTGAAAGGATAAAGGGAAATCGAGAATTCAGAAGATTAGAACTTGGGAGAACACAAAGAATGGATGCACCTGCACCATTGCAAACGATTTTCAGCCATGTCATTCAATGTCTCTAACCCCCGGTTGTTATCATCTCGCGGATTGCAATTAGGTAGTCTACACCTACCAATATGGCTCAGTCCACTTGTCAGTGACTTCGTGGATCTGTGTCACGTTTCGGTCTTGCCACCCCCAGCTTTCTTCCAACCTATTCGTACACCATAAAACAAGGCTAGTCCGGGCAGTCGGAATATTGATTTTGTCAGTTAGGAAATATACTCAGTATAAGCTGGCATTAAAAACATGAGGAAGCTGGATAGTATGATAGTGCAATCAATAAACAAGTGAACAAAAATAATATTTGATGAAAATGTAGCTGAAAAAGATTTTCTCAGTTCATGAAACTCATCTCAATCTTGTGAAGTGTGACAAAAACTGCTGTCGAATCACCGATAACTTCCGTCTTGAGCCATACCTGATAACATCTCAAGCCACTGAGTCACACGACTATTTGGACCTTAAATAAAGTCACAGTGGGATGAGAGATACAAGTCGTGGACAGTTATCTTCCATATTATTATTAATGGTTTTATTCAATATTATATTCTGGTACAAAATAGGAACCTCAGTGCGAGCTGTTTCAACAAGTTTTATTCTCTACCAAAAAAACAGAAAGAAAAATGAAAAAAGGAAAGTGAAAAAGAAAAAACACCGAGTCTGTACAAATGTACATGTTTAAGAATACAGGTTATTTACTAGGTTAACTCTGACAACCTGTTCGTCACAGAGTATATTTGCTAGGTAAGGTATTACAGAACTTTTATAAATTTGCTTGCATGCATGAATCTTAATGTATTTACGTCTCGTTCTACCAGAAGATATACAAGGTGAAAAATATGAATGAAGAGGGTGGTTGGTATCTGATAAGATAACACCTGTCAGGAGTTTGCAAGACTTAAGATGTCTATCCACAAGCATAATAATAATGACCTCGAAAGATTCACCACATTCCCGTGACACCCATGACGCTATGCCATTAACCGATTTTTCTTATCTTCTTATACCCAATTCTATCTTCGGTAAAGAATACTTTTTATGAACGCCACTGATGGGACATTCGTGGAGCATAACCAAATCACCAAAGTCGGCGTTTCCAGGTGATCATACTATTTGAGTTATCGTCACTCTCACGGAAAAATTGACGAACTTCAGGATTAATGATGTAGCATCACCAATGTATGCCAGCAGTCCTGCAGAAATAACTACGTTCGAAGACGTAACGCTCGACCTTATGCAACTGGATCAATATTATGACGGTGTCAAAAATGACTCAAATTGACATAAGGCCCTTAGGTTTTCTGGAAACACAAATCGGTCTCATTCGTCACATCACAATCAGGGCTTCAGACAAGTGAACGTTTTGAATTTCTGACGATTCAGCATAAGTGAGTACTAGCATTAGTTCTCACTAGTCTTGTGAAGGTATCTTCAATTTGGGAGATACAGAATACGTTTCATATTTACGGACACTGCCTACTGATTAGTTGCGACTTGAATAGCTTGTTTATTATTACTCGGTGATAAAGTGTCAACTGGAATTTGGAAATTTTCCTCTGTTTAATCATTCCTTCTGATTTTACGCCTCTATTTAGTTAACTAAGAATCTTAGCCAATCAGGAGAGATATCAACCCTTGATTTTCTTTTACCTATCCTATCGGTGTTGCAATAATATTCGAGAATATAGTTGGCAATTACCTGAAAATTTGTGAATTACTGGACAAATCGAGTCAAGTATCTGTTTATAGCTTTTTGTTTCATGCGATTTTCGAATCACATGGAAATTTTGTTAGTGTTGCACTCAGTAGGAACTTTAGTCTTATTTTATGTAAATAGTGTCCTCCCCTTTAAAATTTTTAAAACTTAGATTTCTTCTGCTTTCGATTCCTGTTAACGAATACAATTATAAGGTAAACAATCTCCTGGTTGCTATCAATAAGTGGCCTCGCATTAATATTCAGATCACCGCAAGCCAAAAATATCTTTATAATATCATAGTTATGGATGAATATGTCCATAAACTTTTGCTTACATTATTTCATAATAAGAGATTGAGAGATGAATTCCACTATTTCGCTTATGCATAATAAATCATTTAACTAAGAGATTCTACTCATGAAATGTATCATTTTATCATAAAAAAAGTACCATAGATAGTTTGCTATAAGTCTTCTCTATTAGTACACCTTTCTGAAGTCTATTTGAGCACGCTGATCATTGAAAACACTCATTCTCATCATATATAGCTACTAATAAGTAAGAATAATGGTACTGATGTGGTTTAAAATGCTGACTATTGACAGAAGAGTGATTGTATCCCTTTTTGTTGTACTTAATTTTCAGTTTCCATAGTAATCACAGTCATAATAAATCTCATCAACTGACGTTTCTGACCCAAGTCTAGTCGAGGTTCAAAGTGGATTTGAACTCTTGTGCCGTATGCTTTACTCTCATTGTCTATTAGAAGGAATAAATTTTCTTGAGAAGTCTTATGGTAGACATAAATTTGGGATTTATTTGATTTATATCCAATTGTTTGAATATGAAGAGCATCAAAATTTGATCATGACTAGAGTACACAAAGAAAAAGTATACAGTGATTATCTTATCATTTTGAATTTCATATAAGTCTCACTCTTTGTTTGTGATATAATCTTCGGAAAAAATATGAAAAATACACTTTTGTATCAAGACGATTCACGTCATGTTTACAGTCTTGAAGTTATTGAAACGTTTTATTTATCATTTTTAAAATATTTGAGTTGTACATGAAAAAAACTTTTTTATAAAAGCTAGATATGGACTGATGTATTTCGGGTAGAAATAATAACTTCATGTGCACCAATTTATTACAGTCATACAAAGTCGTAAAACTATTACGTTGTAATCATATACTACTAATAGCGTTTTAGTTTTCCCTTTCTTTTTAAATCGTTTACCTCCATATTGTTTTTTTTTCAACTCACAGACTAGGAAGAGAAATCCAAACATATTCCTTGGTTCTCACAAGAACAGATGGCTATAAATGAATTATTTTAACAAACGTTAATAAGCGAACTGTAACATTATATATATATATATATATATATATATATATATATATATATATACGGTCATTCATTTCATCCCTTCTTACAATGCTTGCATGTTGAAGAGGCACAAGACAGTATTAGACCATAAAACTAAATGTTAATAAATTTATCCATCAAACATGAAACAAACAACTAACAATAGTAATAAATCATCCAGGTAAATTGTTTCCGCTTTTGTGATCTTTGTATTTTTCCATTCGTTATGTTTAGCTCTCTAAAAAACATTAGTTATCACGATTATCGTTCTTACTGTTATTGTCGTCATCTCTATCACTATCATCTTGAATAAGATTAAACAAAATCTGATCATTATTCAGTGGGAAAATGTCTGCTTTTTTCTATTTAACGATAATGAGGCAATTAAACTCATCTTCTGTCTTGTTCGGGAGTTTTAATTTCCTTTTAGTTTTGTTGTTGAGCTCTTTCTCTAAGAGCTTACTGGAAAATAGTTATATATATGAGAAGGATAAATAATTTTATTCATCTGGAAGTATGTTGAAAATTTTCCCATGGAATTAAAATTGAAACATAGTTTGCCAACTTGTTTATTCCATCATATCTCGCCATTATTATTATTATTATTATTATTATTATTATTATTATTATCATTGTTATTATTATTATTATCATTAGTAGTAGTAGTAGTAGTAGTAATTACAACAGTAATAGCGATGATCTATAAACTAATAATCCTATTAATAATGATAGTTATTCATTATTTTATTTAAACAGATAAATATTGGTACAAGGAAGCACCAGATATATATGCGCCGCACAAATCTCATTTGGTTTGTATGAATGCTGTGATACTGCCCAGGTGCCCAAACTGAAGCAAGTGGTTTTCTTAGGGGGCTACACCCCGAGCCTTTGACCTAAAGGTCTGATCCACAAGGCAGTGGAGCATCGTGAGAGATGCACTCCCATGGTAGCCACTGACCAACGATTGATTCATACGCCATTTGTTCCATCAGGATCCTGAAGCCCATGCGCACCATTGGTTTGGAATCAGGGTTTTCCAACTCCCCTAGGTGGACTCGTCGTGTCCACCAACCCGGTTAAAGCGCCGGACATTCGCTTTCATCCTCTCAGTTTCGTAAACAAAACCCCCACCACGAGAAGGCAGTGAGTAGGATTTCGCTGGCAGAGGCTATATACGCGTGGTCATGTGAGAGCATTTCGAGAGGGAGGGCGGACTCTCCCCACTCTCGGCCGTACCAGGGCATTTGGGGGCAATAATGATAGTAATGACAGATTATGGTTAGCGAACATTTTTAATTTGTTTCGAAGAGATTTAGTAACTTGAATTTATTACATGAACACAAATATTGAAATAAAAATAGCAAATAGTGATTATAAAATATTCCACATCTATGATTGGAATGCCAACCATGTAATATGCGAAAGATCTACCCATTTTAGGGGACATAAATTTCTCTTGGAGCTTTGATATATGGAAGGGGACGCGAAGTGTATGTAATAAACACTGTATGACTGAAATGTTGATAGAAAGACTTTCCAACTCACTTGGATTAGTTTCTCAGTGTCGCTTACTTTGAGATGAATAGTTTGAACTAGTTATTTAAATAAATGGGCAGTTACGTTCCTGAAAATAGTTTTAGTTAGTAAGGCTTTTTTTAGTCAATCTTAATAACTTCATAGAATTAAACATGGACGATTATCACTGGGGCATCTGACATGTAAAAATAAATTAAGTTCAACTAGATGAAATGTTCAACAAAGCAAATAACCGATTCTATCTATTTCATTTGTATTTTCATATTTGAAATCATGAGTCAATTGAAGCTAGACTACCAGGGAAAACCTGGAAGCACTGAACTGACTTCAAGATACATGTCCTGGAGTTCTAGTGGGAAGCAGTGACCAATGGAGTTCAACCACGTCTGTTGTGAGATAACTCACTGAAGACAATTGGTGAACGGTTGCTCAAACTTTGTGGATTGGTTGAAGTTAGACATTAACACCGTTGGATGCCAGCCGGCTCAGTGGTCTATCGGTTAAGTGCTCTGGCGCGAGACTGGTAGGTCCTGGGTTCGAACCTCGCGAGGCGGGATCATGGATGCGCACTGCTGAGGAGTTTCATAGTAGGACGAAACGGCCGTCCAGTGCTTCCAGGTTTTCCATGATGGTCCAGCTTCAATTGACTCATGATTTCAATTATGAAAATACTGAAATCTCCACAAACCCCTTCTGATTATTTCATTTGATCAATGTTTGTTGAGTTTTATTCAACTCGAGACTTTCGAGTAATTTACTGCTGTTTACTGACAAATACAGATATTGTTTATGTATATTTCTTGTGCATTGCATAATCAATTTCATCAGCCTCAAAATCACCGGTGAGTTTGATCGATATTTGTTAGTTATATAATAATATATTTTGTAAAAGACCTCAGAACATACATACCAATTCATAGGGATGATCAGATTGATAAAAGTTTGTTTTTCAAAATTTATAAAGTATCTCTTGCAAAACTGAAACTTGTTTGAATTAAACTATATAAAAAGTACCAGATATTCAAATCAAATTGGTTTATTGTAACTAAACGTCATCTTTTGCATTGGTAATTACAAAAAATTTACAAATAATTAGTCAGATTTCATCTCTATATTATAATCTTTCAACCAAATAGCAGATAACGGAATGCTTTTTCTTACATGAGGTTCTTACGTTTGAAATTGGGTTCCACCAGTATCATAAAAATGACCAAGATTTGTTAATCCTGGTTATACATGTTTACTAGGGTATTGAGTATTTGAGTGGTAACCTTCTTGGCATTTATTTTGCTAAGTAATCACAGGCATCAACCTCAGTGTAATGGATACTACGCGCAGTTGTATGTAATTAACGATTTTACTCCTAATTTCGGGTAACTTATCCTCGTTTCATGTAGTGATATCAAGATTACTAAATAATGATCTCTGTTAGATGATCCAAGTGATACGGTTTACGGTATCGTTAAGTACTGACAGAGAACCATACATTTTTTAGGTGAGGTGCGCTAGACAACAACTAACTTTCAAGTTCTTGAGACGATGAAGAATATTTGAAAATTAGTAGGAGAAATTCGAAGTTGTATTCTCTGAATGTTATACTTTATTCAACAAGCATTTATTGTCTTTTTAGACAGAATTATCAACACACACTTCAAGGCTATGTAAACTATTAGAATTTCTAACTAAGTGATCAGCAATTTGTTTTGTTACGAGGGTGACTGGCTGGTTATTGTCCATAATTCTGCTGTCACTTTTTACATACTTATTTTAATCGTCTTCTCCCATAACCGGATCTATGGTCTTGTAGTTGCTCATCATTTTTAAAAGTTATCTGGTAAATTGGGTCTATTTTGATATGTTTTTTTTGATTACGCGAATACTAGTCTCATATTAAGCACCATGATATATTTTTGCTTATAGTATGAAGTATGAACAATTAGGGATACGAAACCAAATGAGAACAGCCTGAACAGTTGAACGAGAGAATTTTTAGAGGCCTAGCAATGAAACCAAATATTAGTCAGTAGTATTCCTGTGATAATCCCTATAATGAAGCATATTATATGGTCCAAAAAACTAAACACTACTTTCAGACATGCACTATAATTTTCTCAAACTGACTGGGTAGTAATGCTAAAGGTGTATTTCAAAAGAATCTAAGCTGATATCAATGACTACTATTAAGTATCATAGAGAAAGTCATTAATGATCAACGTTTTTCTAAAAGATATGTGTTAGCAAATCATCCAGAACCCTGTTTATGTGTATCGCAGTCTGAGTTTAATCAGGCTAGATATTTACTTTAATTATCTATCTACCCACTAGCTGGAAAAACAGTTTTTGATAATATATAACCGGTCGATCATCCACCAAAGACAACTGAAGATGGTTTTACAATGTCTTTAATTGGTTGCACTAAATTGATTGATCTAAAGGTTGAACTCTCGCTAGGAAACATGGTGGTCCTGAGTTCGATCCCCGCCGGGGTTGTAAATATGCACTATTGAAAGTCCCATACTAGGACGAAAAAGATATCCAGGGATCGCTGGTCTTCAATAGTCATCTATATTAAGTCGGTTCGTGATCTCAATGAGAGTGAATAATTACAGCAAACCCCCATACTCACATTTAATTATCATTGGCGCAAATAGTTGCTTTCCCTGACTAATAATTTGTGTCTTCTGTTTTTATTTTCTCTGTGAGGTTAAAAATTCGTTGTGGCTATTTATTTTCTCCAACAATAAAGCGAAAGATCATGCTACCTGTGGACCCATAAGTATGATGAAGCTTCTTGAATTATCTACATATGGTATGCTTTAATTACAAATACAGGTTTAAGTGATGCGAAATCCTAAATTCAGTAATCAGAAATACCAAGACTTTTAACAGAACAAGTAAGATCACATGATGAATTTTCAATCTACATGAGGACTAAATCAACAATTGAACTGTAAACTTTAATGTAAAATCTAGATACGATCGTACACATCGGCTCTCTTCAGCCATCTAATATATTTTTGATTTTAATCTATTTTGTAACGAGTGAAAAGAAATACAACCTTAGATCATTGGAAAGAATTCATACAAAGCTGGACTGCAGTTTAATTTTAGTCTAAATTGATCTATGAGATTTATACATTTTTATGTATGTCATCAGATAAAGGAGTTCGTCTTATTATTTTCAGGTAACCTTAAAATTAAATATTCACATCAAAATCAAACATTTCAAAAAAGAATTTAAAGAAAGTAAAATAAATCAATCTATAAACTTTATGAAGCAAAATACATCGTATCCTATTTGAAGAACCTATGAAGCAATCGACTTTGATATTTCTAAACTTTCGTCAACAAATTAGCTTTCATATTCCATATTCAGAATAACATTATTCAGTTTTCTGTTAACAAGTATAGCACATTATAAAAATTCGGGCCTTGCTATAAACTTTTCGTTACGGAATGACTTCGTTGAAACAAGTGTTAATTACTGAAGAGTCTCAGACTGGGGAGAAACAGTTGTTCGGTACTCTGGGATTTTCAGTGATTGATCAAATAATCTTAATGAGCGACGAAAGCTATCTCAAAATCAAAAGTAATTTTCCATTTCTTACCTCATTACAGGCAAAGTAATTTAGCACTGCTTATTGGCTAATACTAGGCAGAACTCATGAAATGGGGAGAGAGAGAAGATGATAAATTCCTCTATCCAATGATATCAGTATTTGGATTTTCTTTAATATACAAAAGTATGGAAATTCTTGTTTTACCCTAGTGACATAAATCTTAGTTTTATTAGCACTTTATAGGAGCAAGGAGGTGGGTGTTTAGGTTGGTTGGAAGGACCGGTAAATCATGGAACACAGTGATTGAAGAAACAAATAAATGTGAATTATAAGTTGCAATAATAAAAAAACTTAAAATAAACCTTATGTGAATTTTAATTCTTCATTAAGAGAATTCTCATTAAGTATTTATAATTGGATTTTGTTGCCAGGACAATTATGGTTTTTTGAGGTATGTCAAATTTACTTTGAGAAAATTCAACATTAAATGTGGATAATATTTTTTTATTAATCTAGATCAATTATAATGTGAATGAAATATTAGCCTTTAATATTTTCTAGAGAGCAATTATTAGCCTGTTAATGAAATGTTTAACATCATTAGTTTTAATTCACTTATTATTGTTTATTTGGATCTCCCCATTGATGTTCAGGACTGCAAACGTGCATACTGTGCGTATCGCCTCGATATAGCCTTAATTCACAAGCATTGTAAACAAAGATGTATAATGGTTAGCAGTGGAATCCAGGATGTGCGTTTTGTCCTATTTCAGACTCTTCAGCTGGATGTGCCCGCATCTCAGAGTTGATGTCCACTCTGAGACTCGAACCCAGTAACTTTCGCTTTAAACACTATCGCGTTATCCACTCAGCTACTGAGTCCTGATAGCCACTTGCTTGTGCAATGGGATGAAGTTTAGATTCACTTAGTATTGTTTGTTTGAATCTTCCGATTGATGTTTAGGACTGCAATTGATCAGTCTCTTATTGGCATATGTGCATACTGAGTGAACTGCCTCGATATAGCCTTAATTAGAGACTGACCAGTTGCAGTCCTAAACATCAATGAGAAGATTCAAATAAACAATACTAAATGAATTGCTTACAATCATTAGTTTTGTTTCGTATATTGTCTTTGTCATAACAAAAATTATCCTATAAGTATATTTTATGAATGCCATAAATCTGATAATTTCAAAGCATTTTCATTGATTTGTGATGGGAATCAAAGATAAGTGGATAAGTCTTTTGTTCTCAAATGAGTTTCCTCATAGTGTACATCTACGACTCAGAACAGAATGAAACTCCGAACATATAGGTTTGAAATTGGTTATTATTGTAGAATCTCAAGTTAAGATGAAATAAGCTCAGTGTTTCAACTGTTTTTCAGCAGTTATTTCTTCATGATGAAAACTATCTTAAAACAGTTCCACTTCTTACTAAAATCGCCAAAGCAAGTAAATCTAATTTGTTCTAATAAGTAACGGTGATTTATTATTTTCAACATACATGGTATACATGAAGCAATCATAACTTCGAATAAAAGTCATTTTACTGAATTATTTTATTAATCGTTATTTGACCTAAGACATATATGATCAAACCATTCAATGTTCTTTTGTACTTTCCTTTTAAAATATAATAGCTTACTTTAATCAAATAACAAGAAGCATAGAGTTATACCCTTGGAAGTTTTTATCATATTGATAACTCATTATAATATGTTGGCTGGCTACTTCGATACAAGTGATAGTTGTATGCTATTTTAAATGTTCTTAGTTTTTTCCTATAGTTATTTTAAATTTTGTTATTCGTTAAGTTGAAATCAGAAGCAAAATATTTATTCAGTCAATTTAAGTAATATGTAATGGATTCACAGAAGTATTTTGTTAGGCGATTGTTTTATCATTATAATGGACAACTAACTCAAAAAACATTCCGCAGTAAATATAATCTGAATTTTATAGCTAGACACCATTCAATCTTACCGGAAAAATTATAAAAGTTATATTAGGATGGGGATTTGTGGAAATTGTAGTAATTTGAATAGTTGAACTCATTAGTCAATCTGAGTTAGACCACCATTGAAAAGCTGAAAGCAGTGAACGACCGTTCTTTCTCCGTATGGGACTCCTAAGCAGTGTATTTCTAAAAAAATAGATCGAAATGCTTTACAAAACTATTCTTATTAGTCAGTAAAGTAAGGAAGTAGATCTCACTTTAGATATGTAGTAAAACACCCCATGAATATTGATCCTCATAGGAAATTGCTTAAACTAACTTGCATCAGCTATGATCAAAATGACCCTAAAAAGTACAGAAAAATGATAAAGCATCAAAAATTCATTATCTTAAACTTCAAGTCCCCGGTTTTTCTACTCCTTTGACTGTTGATTTCACATTTCTACTAATACTCTAAATTTCATTTATTCTTTCAGTAATGAGGTTAACGACCAAATTTTCCTTTGGATATACATCATGGAACTTATGAATACCTAAATTTAGGCAGAAATTTCCTATACATTTTCACCCTCAAGAGTAACGTAACCCCTTATAAGAGCTGGGGTATACTGAATGCAGATAGTATTCATCGTTTACATTTGTTCGGTGGTTTTCTAGATTTTTACTAATCGTGATCTTAGTTATTTTCTCTGGTTACTACATTTAGAAATTACCATCTGAAATTATTTGAGTAGTAACTATTTCTATATCATACTAGAAATAATAAAGATTGACCAATTTTTGGTTGCTTCTCAATGCAATGAAAGCTGTGCTAAGGACTGGTCACTAATCTTGACATAAACAATATCGAAATCTTAAAAGAACTAATTACTGATTTATTACTTGAGGAATAAAAACGTTTATTTGTATGTCAAACAATGTTGTAAAAAAGGGTTTAATACTAGCTTTTCTCATACTAGCTGTAGTGGAAGAAAACAAATTGCTGACTTATCAATAGGTTTAAGATAACAATTTGGCTTAATTTTCCTATAAATAAGATCCCCAGAAAGTTTCAACTTCTAATATATTACCTGATTGTCGTATTGATATGTATCACTTTGTAAGCTATCGTATGGTAGATCATCTTATATGAAAGATTCCAAAAATGGTTTTTACAAATTAAACTAAGTATAACTACCTAAAATTAAATGTTATCGGTGATTAATGCCTGTTTCATTGAAATCACGAACCGATCTAAGTTATACAACCGTTGAAAACCTGGGAGGACTAAACGGCCATTTTGTTATAGGGCTTGACTTCTTTGAGGTATGTGTCCACCACCACACAAACGGAAGTCGAATCCAGGACCTTTGATCTAGCACTCGAATGCTTAACCTCCAAACCACTGAGCCGGGATTCAATTGTGTCCGAGTTCTAATTCAATCAGTCCACAATAAGTTCTCATCTTGTTTTATAACTGAGAGAGTGGATTATACCTACTGAAATATAGACAAGTTTAGATTATGTTAACAAACTTCTCTTCAGATTTTAAACACATTTTCACTTTTGAATTTTAACTACTTATTTTAATTATACAAGTAGTTAAATAATCATAAATAATAAACTGAAAACTTGTAATGAGAAACCAATCTGTTCAACAAAATTGGTTATTCCAAATAACTTATAGGTTATAAAACTCCAAATAGAACTGCTTAATTATATCAGCTGGGTGAAATCGCCCAACATGATGCCTATCTAAAAAAATCGAAAAACGTTTATTTTTCAATCGAGAAATTTTCTTAATACAAATAACTGTCATTTTAATTGCTTCAAGTAAATATCTTGTAGTGCCGTGCTTCAATAATAGTTCACTTCGATAACCGTGATTATACCAATCTTAACGGTGTATAAAATCAGAAGACAAAAGTAAGCGGCAACTACATTTTTATTGATGAATGATGCAGACCAGAAAGCTGTGGGCACATGAGCAAGTGTAAGCGAGCGAAGCAAAGATGATGCATAGCGGAGATGGCTGGGAAGCCACCTCATTTTAAGCAAGCGTTATTAAACATTTATAGTCAGATAAAAATGAATGACAGACATATGATGAATAGGATACGAAGGGTACACACACATGCGCTCATATAACAAGGTAGTCAAGGTTAAGAAGCGAATAATGAACAAGATCAAAATATGACACGTAATGGATAGGTGAATTAGCTTGGCCAGAAGTTAGAATAAGGTATATTGGCTTAACATAACAACCGATACTACAATCTAAAAGACATAACTTTACTTGTTAAATGGTGGGAAAGATTTGTAGCTCAAGTGGATGATTACTTGTTTATCTAAGTGTTATCCACTGAAATGGAAATATGGAAGTATGATATAGATCAACCACACATACAACCACTGACACGGAAGTCCTGCGCACTGCCTTCTCACTCCACGGGTGTTGTTTACGAGATTGAGAGGACGAAATGTGAATGTCCGGCTCTTTAACCGAGTTGGTGGTTACAGAGGACCCATCTAGGGGAGTTGGAAAACCCTGATTCCATACCAATGGTGCACATGGGCTCCAGTATCCTGATGGTCTAGCTTCAATTGACTCATTAATTCAACTATAAAACTACTAAAAATCTCCACAAACCTCCTTTTGATAAAACATGATTATATCATACAGTTCATAATGCAGAACTAATTATTCTCCTTTACAGATGCCTAATAAATTTATGATTACTGAAATTCTTCAAGATTGTATTGAAAAATCATCAATTACATTAAATAACTCTTCAATTGATGTAAGTTATGTTTATTCTATATTTATCAAAATTAATCATTATTTCTAGACTACTCCTTTACTTACATATTTCATCAGTTCTACATCAAGTCATCATCCACAATGTACAATTTCTACAATTAATAGTCTCACATCAAATAACTCAAATTCATCCAACAATATTCAACATACTATTTCATTCATAGATCATAATCATATTGGGAACCATAAAAACTATGGAATACAAATAGGATTATGTTCTGATTCATTAAACCTATTAAATTCAAAGGTTTACACAGAGTATTTACCAAATATATTTAAATCCGAAATGAATAATCATTTACTCAGTCAACCAACACAAAACGAAACTGAGAATCAAATTAGATTAAGTAGCAATAATAGCTGTTTAACAGACTATCATCATCCTCATTCTATGAATGATAAACAATTTAGAGAAGAATTTTTAAAACTTTTCAATCTAATAATTTTTAAACAAACTGATGAAAGTAACTTTCCACAAGACAAACGAACTGAAGACAATCAATGTGAAGATGATAAGGATAAGAATTTGTTATCAGTAAATGATACTAAGAAAAATTCTTTATATAATTTTCCAAGTAAGTAAATAATGAATTGAAAAATTCTTCAAATTGAATCCATCATCTAATGTAAATGTGTCTACAATTTATTGTGTCATCCAAGTCAGGAAATTTTAAAGAAAAGTAATAATAGGTGAAGTTGGAAATATTAAGCAGGAGGTTGTATAATTATCTGAATTTATATTCACTTAGTATTGTTTGTTTGAATCTTCCCATTGATGTCACTCCATTGCACAAGCAAGTGGCTAACAGGACTCAGTGGCTGGGTGGATAACGCGATGGCGTTTGAAACGAATGGTACTGGGTTTGAGTCCCAGAGTGAACATGAAATATGAAATGCAGGTACATCCAGCTGACGAATCCCAAATAGGACGAAACGCACATCCCGGATTCAACTGCTAGACACTATCCATCTTTGCTTATCTGAATTTATGCTTACCTAAATACTGGTATCGGCTAAGTCTGTCACCTTCCTTATGATACATCGTTCTTAGCTGAAAAATCATTTTAGAAAAAACTACTAGAATAGTCAAATAATTATGATGTTTGAAGTTGAACTCAGTTATCTACAGTTTCAAAGTACTCTATGTACTACTAATACTACTAAATTGAAAATTTGTTCATTCATGTCATGAAAATCAGAATGGAGTTTACAAGGTTCTCTTGTAGTTGTAGTCTAAAGGAAAACGATCTTCAAGTAAGTTAAACAAGGAAATTTTTTTAAAAGGATTCTGGTAGCAATAAAAAATTGGAGCTGAAAGATTATTGTTATAAGTTTATGGTCTCAAGTTTTACACATTTTACTATCTTTACTACGACGTTCTATTAGGCAAATACATCTAACCGGCGAAGTGAAGAAGTAAAGTGAGGAATGACTAACAGATTTTGACTACAAAACCGAAGCATAATAAAAACAGAGTACAGATACATATACGTTTGTTTCTCCAAACCTGGTGAGACAGAAAAAGATTTTTTCGAGTTGTTTTGTCACCCGTGTGATCATACGTAATATAAGAGAATAGTAGTAATAATCTGGTTAGAAAACTGATAAGTTCACCAAGACTGCTTGTCTAGTATCGAGGTCCTTTTGCTAACCAATGATAGCACGAAAGTAGTGAGAAAACAGCAGTGATCAATAGTTAACGACTATTGATTCAGAATATGGTTCTCCAACGCTCGATCGACCAGTGGACCAAATAGAACACAGCACAATCAGTTAAAGCCATTACTTAGACAGATTAAACTTATGAATCATCATATAGTAATATTGAGTAAAACCATGACAACACATCAACATAGATATGAAGCTACAATACGAGCAAACCAAGTCGTAAGTGAAGAGGAACTGATTAACAGGCTCGTAATAAATTAGCCGTATCTCATTGGTAGTTCAAAGTACAACATAGTTTATGAATCACGTAAAAGTTTACTAGCAGATAAATACAAAAATTTAAGAGCGTCATATGTGTATCGATTATCACAGTCTATCAGTACTGAAAATCTTCAGTAAGTTGTTAGGTTTTAGAAGACTTATAATATGAATACAAAGTGTTATCACTAAGTTACTTGGGCAGTGACTTAGTTTCTGTTTTAAGTGAATTTTAAGCGGTCATCTATTATCACCTGATAGAATGGTATTCAGGTATGAGATATGGTGATCCTCAACACTGTTAATGTTGCTGATGGCAGAGGATAAATATTATACCTGGTTACATTAGATTTTGCCAACAGTATTAGTTCTCTTGACAATGACTGAAGTTCAGTATGATGTTCAAATAACAAACTAGGTGACCTGGTTGACTGATAAACACAGGCTAGTATTTTACTTAGCTTATTTATGGTCTGAATTCATGGTAGGAATTTTTAGACGAGATTGAGAATGAAAAATGTTCGTGTAAAAACTTTGATTTAAAATATGAAGAATACTGGTTAGTGATCGAAGTTAAAAAAAGAAATTTGATCGTGGAAAAAAACTGAAGTTGTACCAGCTGTACTACAAATCTCCAGGTATTATTCTTCCTTAAAAAGGCAGTATATACATCGTAAAGCCAGATGCTTTTACGTGGAATAAAGTTCCCTTGTAATGCTGTCAAACAGAAGCGATAACAGTAAAGATGTGTAAATATGAATAATTTATTTCAATAAGTTATGTTCCACGAACCATCGACATTTTGTTGTTGAAGAGATGTTCTAGAAATAGAACAGCTAATTGGAAAACTGAAGAAGGTTAACATTTCATAATGGCAAGTGTAAAGTTACATCGTTTTAGTGAAATATTATAAATATTTTCTTTATTTTCTTAACTATAGTTACCGTTTTCATTATAATAAAAATAAATGTATCAAATTATATCACATAAATAAATAATTATATAACAGAAAATCAAGCCCTGCCGGTTACTAATTTAATTTTAGAAGTTCTAGATCTGTCGTCTCCAAAAATGAACCAAACTAATCGATCTAAATATCAACGTAACTTATGGCCTTTAATATTCAAAGAACTGGGATTCAATTGTAAGCCAATGATTGCGATTGAGGATTATCATGAACGTAGCAGTAGTGATAGTAATAGCAATAATCAATTTTCGAAATCAAATAATCTACTCAATTGTGAATCTTCTGTCAGTTATGCAAGTATGCTTGATATGGTTAAATCAGATGATGATGATGATCTATCACAGAAATGGTGTTTCAAATCTGATACAAATACAAAAACAAGTAGTTACAACGAAAAACGGTTGATAAGAAGAAAATTTCGTAAAAGTTTTCTACCTAAAACTAATCAAACATCTGAATTTGAACGTAAACATAGACAAGCTTATTCAACAGATCAACTTGAACGTTTAGAAACTGAATTTGAAGTATGTTGTAAATTAATTTTATTTACAAACGGTTTGACAAATTTCAATATCTTATTTAACTTAAAATTTTATACAACATGCAAAAGTACTTCACTTAGGTGAACCAAAGAATATTTGTCTATGGTTATTTTCTATTCAAAGGCTATAAGTTTACAAAATGATTTAGACTGGTCAACTTGAATTCATTTCTAGTACGCTCCATAGGTAAACAACATAGAGCATCCTTACAATTTAGTTGAAGTAGCTTAATGATGACACCTTGTTGTAGTATTGAGTTGTACAAATTCATTTCTCTAAGAAACCATTTAGCTGTCTCAAGTGATCATTAATGTAGCTTCCTGATGAGAGTAAAAATTTTCTACTCAAATTCCACTCTGAAGAAAAACTCAGTACAATTAATGTATTTCATGTTTCTTGAAAATTACTTAACTGTTAGCTAATGACTTATTATTTCAAAAGTATTATTTTATTAACATCCATGCTAAGCTTTAGAAATAAAAAAACAGGAAGCAATAGACGACTGTTTTGTTTTAGCATATAACTTTTCACCAGTGCTCATCCACGAACTCGTCGCGGGCGACTGAACCCGGAACTTTCAGTCTTTTGGGAAGAAATAACTGTCCACCGAAAGCAATGGGAGATGGACTGATTGAAATTACATTTGTACATCATTGCATCCAGGTTCTTTGGTCTAGGGGTTAGGTTTTATCATGAAGAACTGATATTCCTCAGTTCGGGCTCTGGTAACGAAGTTGTGGATAACCACTGCTGAGCAGTCCCAAACTAAGATGAAATGGGTGTCCAGTGCTACCCTATTTTCAGCAGTTGTTTAAGTTAGATAGGTTAGTAATTTCGATGCGGTTTGACGATTTCAACAACCCCTCCCCTTGAAAATGATTGTGTGCTCGCTGGTGACTAGCTTTAAGAGGAGATTTCCGGAGTTCTTGTAAGAAGCCGTAACCAACGGAATTCAATTGTGTCGGTTTTGACGAGGGTACAGATGGTTATCCACTACTTTTATACAGTTACAGTTGCATTATTATTTTCGTACGATTAAAATATTTTTTATTTTTTTATCAGTAACTGATAAAATGTTGTATTATGTTATGGTAATTTTTGTTACGAAGTGATATCAATAAAGAATAACATAGCAGCAAATACTGGATAGCTGTTTTATTTTTAATTTAGATCTTTTTAACACTTACAACCCCCAAATCAACATAATACCATGTAATGTACTTTTATTTCTTGAAGTGAAGATATTATTTGTACATAACTGGGTCAGAATCCAGTAATCTATACTTATAACTTTCTCCAACCCTTAACATAACACGACTATCATTCTCTGATCTAGTTGAATCCATATATTATTAAAACTTACAGAGATTCATGCCGGGGTTTACAATTGATAAGAGTGAGATTATTATTTGATTAGATGTTTTGGTGGAGATGATTTATCATTTAAAGATGGCGTTAGGTGGTTAAAAACAGTAGACAGGAATTGTCAGACTGAAGCTTTGAACGAGTCAACATTTGTCACTGACTTATACTTGAAATTTCGAGGTAATTAATACTTTGCATAGCACTCAGGCTTGCTTAATCCAGCTTCTCAGTCAAAGAAGTCACCATCTAGTTATCTGGGTAACAGCTCACCTTGTGGTGTATGGTACTCATGTTGACAGTTATGTGTTATGTAACATCAATCAAAAATGGAATGCCAAGCAGTAGAAGACTGATAAGATCGAACTGAAGAGAACTAAAAGGAAAACAGAAAGGACTTGGAATAAAAACAGAATTGAAAGAGTCATGAAGTATGTAGAGGACAACTGATAGAGGGTGTGCAAATGATGTATTTAATTTATAGTTTTTATATTCTACCAAGGTATTGGTTATCCCCACCAAATTTTCGTTCACTGCAACCTTATATAGGAATGATATGTTAATACTAACTGATCAATAAGCATTAACCCCTGTTATATTTGTCTAGCCATTCAGTGTTACCCAAATTTAATCGACCAAGTTATAAAATGGTCACTTAATAAACATCATATTGGTTACTAGTCAATGATTAATCAATATGTTCTATAAAATTGAATACAAAATTGTATCTCATCAATAATCCTTGTCCAATTTTTCATGAGAATAATAAATATATTCTCATCATTTAATTCAAATTCTGTGTTGTGTATTAAATCGATAATTTTGATATTTTAAACATAAATTCTAAATAAAATTTTCATTTTAAACTATTCATGAAAATGTAAATTTATTTACATAAATAAAAGTTACGCAATCAATGGACTGTAAATAGTTCTCACTGAAATTATATTAAAATGAAAACTACACTGAAACTCACTAACACAATATTACTGAGGCTAAGTGATCGTGAGAAAGACTGATAGGTCCTGGGTTCGAATCTCGTGAGGTTGAAGCGTGGATGCGTACTGCTTAGGAGTCCCGCAATAGAACGAAACAGCTGTTCAGTACTTATAGGTTTTCCATGATGGTCTAGCTTCAATCGACTTATCAATTCAACTATAAAATTACCAAAATCTTCACGAAACTTCTTCTGATATATGAAATATCAAATTCAAATGTAATTTTTATGAAATGCGACTGAATTGTGTATTATTTTACAAAACAGACGGAATATATTTGAATTTTTTAATTGTGTGTGTAAGTTTATAATTTTGATGAGTTCAGTAAAAGAAATTTGGATTCATCAGTACTTGTTCATGTTCTTCTGAAATAATATGATAATCATGAAAATTTTCAACAAGGTGTTAGATTTTCAAAATAATTTAGGAGAACAATAGATAAGATAGAATGTAGATCATTAGTCTTTTGATTGGCATCTGGAATATTTGTCAGCTTATTTAGAAACATCGCTTTGAATCAGTTCGTCATATTGACACTTGATCGCATTAGCTGATTTAAATATAAATTGCTTTGAGTTCGTATCATATTAGTCAAATTAGCTAGTACTTAGTGAGCATAGAGAGATGATTGTTTAGCTGCTTTTATAAACACTTACTGTAGTTTTATGACGAATATTTCAATAGGTGTACATGCCTATGAAATAATAGTCTATGAAATAGCAATAGTGTGATCTCATTTTAAAGTTCTAAAATCTTCATAACTCGTTTTTCGCATCATTAATATCATTCAGGTTACATCGTTCCTAAATGCTCTGGTACGGCCGAGAGTGGGGAGAGTTAGCACACATTCTCCAAACGCTCTCACATGGTCACGTTCATACAACCACAGACAGGAAAGTCCTACCCACTGCCTTCTCACTTCAGGGGTGTTGTTTACGAAATTGAGAGGACGAAGTGAGAACATTCGGCTCTTTAACTGGGTTGTGGATACAGAGGTTCCATCTAGGGGAGTTGAGAAACCCTGATTCTAAACCAGTGGTGCACATGAGCTACAGGATCCTGATGGAAAGTATGGTGTATGAATCTATTGTTGGTCACCGGCTACCATAAGACAGCATCTCTTGACGTTGCTCCACTGCCTTGTGAATCAGACCTTTAGGTCGAAGGCTCGGAGTGCGGCCTTCTAAGAAAACCACCTGTTTCGGTTTGGATACTCAAGCAACCCTAACACAAATCTAATGATTTATGTAGCGCATATATATTTAGTACCTTCTTGTACCCATGTTTATATGATTAAAGAAATAAATTTTAAAATTTGATTTATAAAAGCATAATTTAAGAAATGAATAACTGATTATTTGTTCCCAGTTTACTTCTGTTTGTTAATATTTAACAAAATGATTTATACTGGATAAATTCAATTTACACATTCATTCATTCTGTTTCAGTATACTTAAAAGTATAATATATACTTTTCATAATAATTGACTTTAGTAAATTGAACATGTTTGGATTCTAATATTTCTCATTATAACATAAACAAATTGGTCAAAGATTCTTGTTTATTTATTTAGTTTTTTTTATTTCATTTATTTATTTATTATTATTAGCTTTATTCAGTATTATACTTTTGGTACAATATAGAATTCTCAGCAAAAAGTATTTCAACAAGTTTCCATTTCTTACTTCTTCGTCGATTCTGACAATAAATATTGAGTGATCACCAATTAGATGTTAGCAGTCCAGTCAATTGACATCTGAATAATGTACATTCTTTTCGCTGCATATTGTCAGCAACGACGATACCTTTGATTAGGCCTTTTGTGTAACCTTTACAGCGAAAGGTTGTACACTTTTCAGAAACGCACCCGAATAGATTATGTGATTAATAGCCATAATGATGTATTAAAACAAACAAAATTAGATAACTTGTTGAAATATATAGATGACAGGAACAGGTAGCCCAGATGTATTATGCAGGCCGCTGTTTTTTTATTTTTGAAAAAAAATTCTATTTTTTTGGAATTAAATTTTAGAAAGACAAATATTTAAAACTTAACAGACGAATTGAATTATCAAATGAATTAAATCTTACTGAAACACAAATTAAAACATGGTTTCAAAATCGTAGGTAAGTGTGTTAAATAAAATATAATTTTATTATTAATAGAAAAAGAAAAATTCTTTATTTTATATAGTTGAAATCATGAGTCAATTGAAGCTAGACCACCATGGAAAACCTAGAAACACTGGACGGTCAACACATCCCATTGTGGAACTCCTCAGCTGTGCGCATCCATGACCTCGCCTCGCGAGATTCCAACCCAGGACCTATCAGTCTCGCGCCAGAGCAATTAACCGATAGACCACTGAGCCGGCATGCAACGGTGTTAATGTCTAACTTCAACCGATCCGCAAAATTGAGCAACCATTCACAAATGTCTTTAGTGAGTTGGTATCTCCCAACAGACTTGGTTGAACTCCACTGGTTACTGCTTCTCACTAGAACTCCAGGATATACCTCATGGAGCCAGTCACTAGTGCACATATAATCATTATCAGAAGGGTTTTTTTGGAGATTTTAGTAGTTTTATAGTAACAGATTAAATGACATATTTCTAGTATAAATTTTATATACATCATTTTGTTGTATCTCATGATAAAACCTTATAGTATTTAATAGTTTAAAACATCTAGGAAATCCAATTTATTTCTTTTGAAATATGTTATGTCGAGTGAGTGTAACCGTGCCCTGTTTAATATATGATGTGATAAGACCGCTTATCAGAGAGCAGTGATTTTATAGATAGGATCCAATGATACACGAAAACCGTATGAGCAGTCTTAAGTACTTATTAGTCCTGTTATCTGCCTAGCCCAGCCAGTTAAGTCCAGAACACCAATAACAGCCTCTAAAATATAAATAATTGTTCTCAAACATACTGGGTTTACATACCAAACAAATTGGCCGCATCGTACCATAAAATAGAAAATGACATTTGTACAAGATTTAGCCAAATGTGGATGTGAATAAGGGGAACAGTAATTAGTAGACTGGGTATAACTCAAGAATGGTAAGTCGTACAGTAACAGTCTATAGGTCAAAATCAAGCTTATAATAGGAGGGCCACGAATATGAATAGTTTAGTTACTTAACACTTATACAATAGGGAATATACATATCACATTGGTCCATAGTCATCAAAGTCGCCATTCATAATTCTCCACGGGATATAAAAAAATACTGCTTCTTTATCATCTCAAAATCACTTGGATTGTAGTTAAGATAAATTAAATTTTGTGTATGATATGGTACGGTGGAATTATACAAATAGCTATTCGGAGGTAACATTTTAGTGCTTGAATCAAACTATCTTATTATTAGTTTCCTACGAATCCTACAATTCATTGGTTTGAGATATCATGAGAAATGTCTTAGAACCAAAGTAATACTAATCCCATAATAGTAGACTTCTCTTACATTCCTCATATAAGTAACACGAATATTCTTAGACAATGGAAATTGATCTTAACTGATTATTTCTTTAATCGAATTGTATCTTTTACGAAATATGATTGTCGATCATTTATTAATTAACTATATGATCTTTTCCTCTTCGGTTTCTTCCACTATGTGTCACATTCTTTGGTTTCTTTGATAAATATGCATGTTATTTTAAAACAACAAAAGAAACCTATTTTGTTTACTAAAAAGTATGAAGATGTTTCAGTGATCAAGATTTTGTTTTTGATGATAGCGCTTTCTTATGCTATACAACCATATCAATGGGTAATTATTTACATATATTAGTTTATAATAACATAGAAGTGAGTTACAAAATCATCAAAGGTGGTTGACTTTATTCGTGTTGATTGTGAATGTCTGTAAAACTAATGTGTAGTTCTAACTTTTTATGTAGTAATCAAAGATTATCGAAAGATTTTAAGTACTATATATAATAGTCCATAAACAGAGGAGTGTTACTGGAAAGTAAATAAAATTATCGGAAGTTTATGTATGGGATAAAATCAGTGCTAGATACATTACCATTGAGCTAGCTGAACCGTGGTTTCACTGACTGATCAGAGGTGTTTTTTCTCACCATGACATATAGTGTAAATGATCATATATATTTTTTTAGAAATAAATGATTAAAACACTCATATTTTGTATCTATTTCATTTTTATTAATTTATCAGAACTAAATGGAAAAAGAAATTATACTGGTTGAATTCTGCAAGTCAATTTTCAGTAAATTCTGTTAAACATGGAAACAGTTCATGGTCAGTAGCTAATAAACCCACTACCAACAATGAACAGGAGTCTATAATGAATAACTATTATACAAGTTTTATATCTACTCAGTTTCATTGATGATAAACTGGTCAAATGTTATATTTTATCTATTGTCTTTATGAAATAAACAAATATATCAGAATTTTAATTGCCTTTCTAAATAACTGTGCTATGTCGACGAGACTATAATTTATGGACAAACTAATCAGATATAAGATAACAGGTCTTGGATTTTGGCGCGAAATTCATCTATCCATCTGGCTAATTAACATCTCGGCATGTTAGCTGATATCAGTTCATGATGAAAACCCTAAATCTAGATTCCAACCCTAATTGCAAATCATAATTCTAATTTCTCATACTGCGTTATAACCCTCATTTAGTCTTAGTTAGTGAACATCCTCAATATCACTTTTGCGTCACTCAGAGGTCGTCAGTGAATTATAGTCTCATCGTTATGTCCTATGGCCCGTCAAATATCATATGACAAAACCGCCAATCAGAATGTCGACTTCTATGACCTTATCCTTGCTCTAACTCGATGATACGTCAATCAGAACTAGAAGCCTTAATTCAACTCTGAGTCCTTATTGATCCTCTGTATAGTAGCTTCTCCATCCCCATCCCGTTGAGTTCAGGCCACAAATATTAGCCTACGCTTCATTAGCCGTACATTTCAGGCATACGTGGATTATATACCAGCAAACCAAACTGTATCACACCATAAAATGAGAAGTAATAATTATACAAGATCAAGCCAAAAGTGGCCATGAGTACAGGAGACTGTAATTACTAGGTTGAAAACAAGTCTAGGCCGTAAATCGTATGACAGTAGCCAATCGGCCATATGAAAGCTTATCATAAAAGAAAAGTGAAAAATGTACTATACGGTTACTAATTGATTATCCGATGAGAACATATGTAATAATAGTCCATAAATAATTTCTGGCAGTTACCATTTATTTATTATTTATTCAGATGTGAAAAACTCATTTTCGAATATGGTAATAGAAGATGAATTTGGTTTTCTACAGGCTCTTGAGTGTGGTTTGACAATATTTCCCTAACACCAAGTTATCAAGTTCGGAAAAATAGCCCAATTAATTCATTCTCTAACTTCTAGTGGTCCTTCTCTTGAAATTATTTTACTATAAGGATTACATTGAGATGAAATAAATGTCCGAAATCACGTTCTTCTCAGTACGCGTTCTTAACCATGCTATCATTATAGAATAAATATATAAGTGAATGACTAAACCATAAACCTTGTACCTGTGACATTTTGTCATCAAAACTGGTTAATAGTCTTTGTAACCAACCATCATAAAATCTCATGAAATAAGTTAGGTAGCAATGTAACAGGGATTCAGATAACCTTTAGTCGCTCACCTAATATAAAATCTATTAAGATCATATGTTTAACCAATTTACTAAAACTAAATCTGAAAGTAATGGTTTTTAATACCATAACTCTGAAGTGCTCCAGAGGTATATACGGAAAGATCAAGCAGTTGTCGTAGAAACATTACTATGAGGTCATATTTGGTTTGAGGCAAGTGTTAGAAAAGAAAACGATGTTATTAACAAAAGGACGAACTCTAGCACAAACTTTTAATATTCGATTTTCTGCATGCTTGAAGATTTATAATTACGAAAATCTATGAATAGTTCTTTTATACTTTACCACTTGTCATGACTATGATCAGATTGAGTTGGAGTTATAAACAGTAAAAGGTTAAGGATAACACTTAAAATATAATGTAATTAAAATTATTGGACTTCGTAGGCTGCTAGATTAGGGAGAGTAAAAATAGACACATAAAAATGGTACGAAACATGAATAGTTCCGAGATTTCTAAAAGAAAAGAATTCTTCTCGTAGGTTATGGAAATATTTACTTTTAGTCTCCTAAAATCCTAGGTCAGTAATTGTTGAGTTAATAACTTGCTAAGACCGATGAATCTAACAGAACAATGGAGATATCACAACGTATTTATTGTCATGGGTGTTCTTAATATCATTTCTCCAGTAAAAGTCTGATATACGTTTGTTGGTTTTAATATTTTGTCGTAGGATTTAACTGTTATTCGATAAAGAACGAGGATCAAAAATAAACCAAAGCAATTTTTTAAACAAAGTCTGGAAGTTAGGTTTACCTAAGGCTTACTGAATATTCATTTCTGAGTTCAGCATTTATGTGAATGGCTCCAGTAAGAATGAAGAAGTGTTAGTCATGTAGTAACGTCTCATTACATAAGAAAGAAAGAGACCAAGGTAGGCAGGAAAATTGGATATGAACTATTAGACTTTTCCACGAATTTCTCAATTTTCCTAAAATACCAAAGTAATAGCTTAGTTCGTAAGCCTACATTGATCTTATATCTTGACACAAAACCGACAATTACACAGTAGACGTCTTTATGTATCTTATTTCGTAGTTTACTTAAATCGCACACAACAAAAAGTAGTGACTACGGCTGCTAGGCGTATTCTGTTTATCATTTGTTATGGGGATAGTCAACTCTCCCAGACAACTGGCACTTTGTCTTTTCATAAATTAAAACTAGTTTTTCTTCTCCAAATGTTACGATCAAACAATTCCTTACTTTTGGTTGTGTCAAACACCACTTCTATCACTGGTTTGTTTATTCTTTACCATGCTACTCTATGAGCCTGTTTTCAAGGAAATTGTGAATTTAATTATACACAATATTTGTTTGCTTAATAGATTGCTTTCATCGTCAGATATAACTTCTCTTATTTAACACTGCTTAACGAACACTTGATCAGCAGTGTAAGGGCAATTAAGCATTTGGAAAACTAAGAAATTTTATGGAGTTGAGATCGTGAGTCAATTGAAGCTAGACCACCATGGAAGCACTGTATGGACGTTTCGTCCTATTATGGGACTCCTCAACAGTGCACATCCACGATCCCGCACTCGCGAGATTCGAACCCGGGACCTACCAGTTTCGAGCCAGAGCCCTCAATCGATAGACCACTGAGCCGACATCCAGCGGTGTTAATGTTTAACTTCAACTGTTCCACGAAACCGTGGATGCGCACTGTTGAAGAGTCCCACAATAGGACGAAATGGACGTCCAGTGCTTCCAGGTTTTCCATGGTGGTCTAGCTTCAATTGACTCACGATCTCAACTCCATAAAATTACTAAAATCTCCACAAAACCCCTTCTGAAAACTAAGAAATTGTTTGATGTAGATGTACGGCTAGTAGTTTTTAAATCATGTGGAATAAATTTCTATTATTTTGTTTTTACAAAAACACAGTCGAAAGTAGTCTTTCTATAAAAAGGGAACATTCTATTATGGTCAAATAGTTGTGTGGTAACTAAAATAATGCAGTTACTTAACTTTATTTTGATGGAGTTTTCTTCTCTGAGCTGGATGGGTTGGTCGTGGAGCTTTCATCGTTCTTCTGAACGACATCATCAGCACAAACCTCGGGTAGAAGTGAAGTGTTTGAAGTGCTGATGATGTCGTTCAGAAGAACGATGAAAGCGCCACGACCAAACCATCCAGCTCAGAGAACAAAACTCCATCAAAATCACCCATTTGAGCTACAAATCTTCTCCACTACTTAACTTTATTTTACAAATTCTAAATATTTTAAAAAAAGTTTGTTTACATTAAGTGTAATAAAAATAAATTTTTAAAGACTCTTTTCAATCAAGTTTTTTATTAAATTGATTAATCTAATAGATTCAAGCATACAAAGTGTGCTAAGATTACACGTATACACTGAAACTTGAAAATTACACCATTACATTGTATAGTTTCACAATGTTCACTTCATACATCTATAATACTGATATATTGTGAGACATATTTTGTCCTTACCAAGATCACTTCTGAATTGTAAATCATGTGATTATCATTCTATCAATAATAATTAGATCAATTCTAAATACTGCATTATATACCATTATGTTTATATGAAATACCATTGACAATAACAAAAATAATGTTAATGGTAAATATAAAATCAATGATCACAAACTCCCAATCAATCAAAATAATACTGAGTGTATACCATTGTCAAGCGTCATAAATAGTGTTACTATTTAAGAGAGTTCTAAACAAATAAGGTAATACAAATTAGTTGATATTACAAGGCAACAAAATATGCAAACGTACATTTAAATTCATTTGGTATTGTTTGTCTGAATCTTCCCATTGATGTTTAGGACTGCAACTGATCAGTCTCTTATTGGCATGTGTGCAGATTGCCTCGATATAGCCTTAATTCAATATGCACGTATACCAATAAGAGAATGATCAATTACAGTTCTAAACATCAGTGAGAAGATTCAAACTCACAATACTAAGTGAATTCAAACTTCACCCCATTGCACAAGCAAGTGGCTATCAGAACTCAATAGCTGAGTGGGTAACGCAATGGCGTTTGAAACGAATGGTACTGGGTTCGAGTCCCAGAGTGAACATCAACTCTGAGATGCAGGTACATCCAGCTGACGAGTCCCAAATAAGACGAAACGGGCTTCCTGGATTCCACTGCTACTATCTATCTTTCCGTATATTTAAATTATTTTTCATTCATATATTAAATGAAAAATTCACAATCATTTGTATCATGATAACTATGAGAAAGGTTTCATTTTTTAATATTAAAGTTATAAAAAGAAATATAATTTCATTAATCAATAATCCATTAGTTCTGAATGAATCTTTTTGGTCATCATAGAAAAGATGGTTATTCATCTACGCGATTGTTTAAATCGTAATGTGATATAACAAAAAGTAATAAATTGTATGAAAAGAAACAAAATCCTTAGGCTATGGAATTAATGTTCTGATTCTGTTACACTGGGCTTTGTTGATAATGAATCCACGTTAATTCAAGAAGAAACAAATGAAAGTCAGTTTCGAAATGTTAGTTGTCTCTAGCGTTGATATATATAATGCAGTATTTAGAATTGATCTATATATATATATACATGACTGAATTCAGTGAAAAATTATATATAAAATTTCTTCTAAAAATATCAAGTTAGTGATGAGATTCACTCAGTAGATGAACTTTCAATTAAAAAGATCAAGTGAAGATTTAAAGTCATATTGGTAGGCGAATACAAAGCGCATAGACTGAGTCATTTAAAAAAGCATGTTACGGGTACCTTTACAAATTTGTCTCAACAAACTGATTATGTTAATCCTTCACCAACAAATGATTGTTTCCGGTTAGAAGTCAATATCAATCAAGAGATAGGTGAGATCACGTTATGACTTAGGCTTCGATTATAAAGTGATGGGGGTACATATGTGTTTACATTCGGGTCAGAGTCATGACTTCAAATTAGAATGTTGCTAGATGGACATAATGTAGATGACCTCATCAAGTGCGTACTCAGGTAAATATTAATGAGGTATGAGAACGACTGATAGGTGTTGTTGTTTGATGATGGACACGGTTTTATAAACATCTCCCTAAACAGTGATTCACTGCTGAATAATATGGAAAGCTAGTGCATTTCTAGAACTCCTAGTAAATTAAAATGCTCTAAGATCCATTCTAATTGTCTCTTTAAAAAATTATTAGTTGGAGTGAACTGAATTTAAATCGATCAATAGTTCACGCGAAAGGTTCTAGAATTGGTGGTTGGTAGGAATGAAGGTAAATGACACCATCCCTCCGTCTGTTATTGAAGTCAGGTTCGTACCGAAACTTCAGCGAGATAGAGTAAGAGCAATAACCAACAGTTGCCACGTGAATAGAAAAGATATATATATATATACTTTATAGGTCCGATAAATTAGGATGGATTAGTTCAAACTCAGAGCATACATAAAAAACGCTCTTCTAGGATTTATCAACTTAGGCGGTTTGTCGTATTTGCAAGATAACTAACGGGATACTGAAGAATATAATTTTTATGTCCTAAGGAAGAGTAAATGAATGGTAACTTCTGGGACCTATTTGTAGACTATTACATATATGTTCTCATTGCATAACTATTAAGTAACTAGAGTATGTATATTTATGTCCCCTTTATCATAAGCTTTTATTTGACCTATTGACTGCTATTATATGACTTACTATTCTTAAGTTGTTCCCAATCACACCCACTTTTGACTTGATCTTGTATAATTGTTATTCTTTATATTATGTGGTCTGGTTTGCTTGTACACGAACCAAGTACTTCTCGAATATATGATTTATGCAGTGGAAGCCGAGATTGTGTTCTAGACTCAACATGCAGGGCTAGACAAGAAAAAGCAATAAAGATTCTAGGCTGCTCGTAATGGTCAACATCTAATTGTGTAAGTCGTGTTCTGATTAGCGAGCTTATCAAGCCACAAGTCAAAAAACAATATACTGAGTAACAACCCACTATGTGCTACCTTTAGGTTGTAAGAGATGGTCTTCGGTGGATGATACACATGGGTGTGTATGACACACTGATCCCGCTTAGTTGAACAAAAGTAAATTCGAGTGAAAAATGCTGCAAGGTATATGCACTGCACAAAACCCGCAACTGCAAAACATGCATTATGGATGGAAGATACATGACTGGCTTTGGTCACTGCTGTGAGAGTGCAGTGTAACCTTTAAGTACGGAATGTTGATAAGAGTTCTAAGCTAGGAGAGTAAAACAACCAATCACGTAAGGAACTTATACCGACTGACTGAGGTGATTAATGTACGATGACATACAATACTGGCTGAAATAAGATTTACGAAGGGTCAGACTAGAAATATAACACCACCTCATGTAACCACTATTCTTTAATCTAAGTCATGTAGACCCCTCCATGTAAATAGAGGAATAAATGACCATAAACTAAAAACTGTATGACTTAATAAAGATCACATTGATGTGGGTACTTTCACTTTTAATGTATTTCACAATCAGGAACATACATAAACATTTATAAATTACACTCCAACCAAATGATATAAAATAGAAACAATTAGGAATAGTCAATTATTTGGTTGGATTTTAATCTATAATTACTTAGTTGTTTTTTTTCTAAAAATAAAATAATCAAAATAGGAAAATAGAATCAAAGGGTAATTTACAAAACAAAATGGAAGCAAATAGAAAACATGGACAACTATGAGTATGAGGGATAACAAAAATAGTTTTTCTAAATCATGGATTCAACTTATTTACACAACATGGAAACTATTCACTATTAAAAACAAATAAATAAATAGAAATATAAAAACTTTAGTAAAAAAAAGAAACATTATAAAACATTTAATAGGTAATTAAAAAAATAACTTGTAAATTTATATTTTACTCATAATTACAGAACTGAAAGTAGGATAATGATTACAAACGGAATGTTATGTTAGAATAGAAATATCAGATGGAATTGCTACTGATCGACGGGCACTTGTATTTCGAATAGAATTTGATTTACTTTTAGGGATAATAATATTCTCAGAGAAAGCTTCAGAGCCCCAAATTTCTATAATATTTAAGAGAAATAAGAAAAAGAAGGAAATTTACTGTAGAGTTATATATATATATATATATATATATATATATATATATATATATACGTGTACACATACACAACGTGTGTAAAAGCACAGCGATGATACTTTAGTTGGTGTCATCATCTCGAAACACTGGTGGCTTGGACATGTATTACGAATGTCGTCACACAGAATTCCACGTCCTGCATTACTTGTCAACGCTGGAACTGGTTGAGAAAAGTGAAGAGTTGGTTAGTGTATGACATGGTATGAAAGAATGTTATACAAAACTGGCTTCCGTTGGATCTTCACGACTCCCTGGTTGGGGTCATAGAGATGGTGCGACACAGTTGCTTCAGACGTAATCGGAAATGGCTCAGGATAAAAGTCAGTAGTTATCCTGTTGTAACTTCCTTTTATTTTTTTCATAAAAGTGAACGTAACTTTTTTAACTGAAAGAATTCTTTCTGGTTATATTTTACCTAACTGAACTGCATCTTCTATTATTATTATTATTTCTTCCTTCTAAACTAATTTCTGTTCATTGTTGCTCTTCTTTTATTACACTCACTTTCCTTTCTCTATCTCTTCATAACTTTATTTTTATTGTATGGTGCATCCATATTTTGGTGCCAACTTGTACCAATGTTTGTGTTCAAACAAATAAACAAATAATACTACATCTAAGTTTTACACAGTTATTAGAAGTTTTCCATGTCAATGGTACTTGAACTCCTTTGGTTTGAACACAGACTATCAATCACAACAGCAAAAAATATCATTACTGAGTCAATAGATTTCACTGATGGAACGAAATTTTAGAATGAATTTTCTTAGCTTACTACTTCAATATGAAATAGGCTTGAGAAACACTATATCGATATGCTGAAACATTCAAAAACCTCAAATAAGCAATTGCGCATTATAATGGGAAGGAAAATCAAGATCCTTTACCATCGAGTTGAACTCCGATAATACCGCTTTGATGATCCAAAAATTGCAAATATTAACACAAAGGAGATTTTGAAATGGAAAAATCCAAGTTGACCACTACATATGTACAGCGCCAAAGGTTTATTACATAAAAAAGTGGGGTCACATGTAATCTCTTGGTTAGATAGTGATCAGAGTTCATTTATATTTCATTTCTTCCCTCTGATTAAGTGAACTAATTAACAACATTGGTTTAGGGTAAGTGTTTCGCAATCTCTGTAGGTAAACTTTCCGAATACATGAGAGCGATTTATGCACCGGATGTCCACCTTCACTATTGTGAAAACAACCTAGCCAAGTAAAAGCAGTGAGAAGGAATTACAGGAAAGAGGGGTTTAAATCCGCAGTTATAGGAAAGCTTTTCGAGAAGGAATGAGAACTTTACCACTCATAGCCGTACCAGGGTGTTTGGTGATTTTAATATAAGGTTTTGAAATTCAGAGATTATCTATTTTCATTTTACATAATATTCAGTATCTTTTCCTAGACTTATAGAAAGCAATTATTGTTTGAAAATATTTACAGAAATTGAGGGGGAAAATTAGAATAGCATATTTTAGTACTAAAAAACAAGTCACTAACTAAACTCCTTGAATATTATTTAACAAATATACCTTGTTCCTGTACATGTTTTTTCATAATGGAAAACCAGGCAATAGTTTCTTCTTCATCACTTTTAAATACTGTGCTTGATTCATTTAACTGATCTAGATCATTTTCCATCATTTGTGTTGCTGTGAATTCAAATACTTCAAGAGAGGAACCATTTTTTCGTAGTTCTGATAAATGGTGTATAGTTGAGGAGACATTTCTATCTAAATGACACGTAGCAATACGAAATGTAAGTAGTTGAGATGAAAAGACACATGGTTGATGACAGACAATTTTGTTATCTTTGTTAGAATCGTTAACTGAAATAAATGAAGAAGCTTTAGACGAATGTGGTGTTAAGTATTGCAGTTCTCTGAGTTTAGTTAGATCAAATAAGCTGCTTGTATCCATTTTATAAACAGTTGTTACTTTAGGAAAAATCCGACGCACAGGTTCTACCGAACGAGAAACTCTATTATATCTCTTCCTAGAGTCCACGGGGCTAATTGAAGGTTCGTTAAAATGTTTTCTTATTGGAGACAATGAGCTTTTAGAAGTAGACATAAACTTTTTTACACTTGGAGATGAACCATTAGACTTTGTAATGGATGCCGCTTCAGACTGACTCAGTACGTTGTTTGACTGTGATTTTAGGATATTTGTTTTGCCACGGAAATGTACAAAATGTTCAGTTTTCGAAAGATCCAAAATGTTATCGACAGACTGATAATTTAATAATCCAGGTTTATTTGCAGAAAAGAAAGATTGTGTGGTGTACGATTGATCATTAGAACTTGAGCTGTTAGACAAACATGACACATCTATTGCTGAAAATATTCGTTTGTTGTCTAAAGAGACATAATTTACATCTGCGTGATGGCATTTGACATCGGAATTCGGTTTATCATCCTTAGGTGATAAAATACTACATTCATTTGATTTATTAAAGTCATTTCCAGAGATGTTTGACGATTCATTGGTTCTTTGAGATACACTTAGCTCAGTTTGTCTTAGGACGAGCTGTGAATCAAGAAAGTCCGTTTCCTAATGCCAGAAAATAATCACAAAAAAATCAAAATTTGGTATCATGGATATTATTCAAACGGACGAAATGTGAAAAACAACTTCTTTACGAATACTGAAAGTCTTTCTGAAACCACATACACTATTCAAACTGGCTTCCTTCAACGTTCGCACACTAATGCAGATCGGATAACAGATAGGGCTGGCTATGTCTTTGGAAAGCCTTAATGTTGACGTTCGTTGTTTATCGGAGACCCGCATTCAAGACTCTAGTGAACTACTACAAATTTGCTCTCCATCTGTCACTTCGAAAAGCTTGTTTCACGTGAGCTTATCCGGGGACCTTGTGACATCTTCGTCTGGTTTTACCGGCGTTGGTGTCGTACTAAGCGCCAGAGCTGAGGCAGCACCAATCGATTGGATCCCCATTAACAGTCAGTTATGTGCTGTTAGATTAGAAAGTTTCATCAAGGTAAGAAAAAATCAGTATGAGAAACAATGTCTTTCCGTCATCTCCGCCTATGCTTCGACAGATAGCACACGGATGCCACCAAGGATGAGTTTTACCACCAGTTTACAGTTCTTCGACAGAACGTGCGTTCGACAGATATTGTAGTACTAGCAGGAGACTTAAATGCTTAGGTTGGGCGTCCAGGCACAGAAGAGGGCCGTTTAGGTGACTGATGGGGACTTGTTGATCTCAGGTCAGATAACGGGGACTGTCTACTGCAACTGTCCACAGACCCCAACCTGTTTCTGGCTAGCACCAACTACCGGCACAGTCATCGCCGATGTGCCCCTGGCGTCCTCCCTCCGCATCTCAAGCCTAAACCCAGACTGATGATATCGCGACAGACAGGGCTGGCGTGGTTGTGTACAAGACTGCCGCTCCTTTTCGAGTACCTATCTAGACTCTGATCATGCCCTTGTTTGCGCTAATCTTACCTTAAATTTCAGTAGTCAACAAACTCATCGTCCTAAATCGATCGATGTCAGTAAATTGGTTGAAACTTCTGTTGCAACTAAACATCAAACCGAGCTAGATTCAAAGCTAACTAACATCCCACCGAAAAGTATAGATGAGCATTGGTTGCAACTGCATGACGCCATGAAAATAGCGAGTAAAGTCGCTTGTGGTTTCGCAAAACGTATCACTTATAAGCGCTAGGTTTCTTCAGACTCTTTACAACTCGTTGAAGCCTGTCGATCTACTCGGAGTGTCCGAGAGTTTGACCACAAACGAAGACATACGTAATGACATTATGCAAAGCTTGTGTAAGGACCGAGAAGCCTGGTGGTCGGAGTGTGCCTATGAAAAACAACTAATCAATAAAAAAAATTGACTGGCAAGCAAGATAACCCACTGGTCGACTTTCAAAATTTACTTCTGATATAAATAAAAGCAGAACAAACGGCCCGCTAGAACTTCATCGTAACATTAAACATAAAGACATCGGTGATAAGATATTCTTGTTTAAAATATTTCAGCAATATTTAAAAGTTATTATACGGTGTTGTGGAAATTGTTGAATTCTAAGTGCCACATTACGAACCAGTTTAAACTTAAGAACTATTGAAAACTAAGAAACACTAAGGAGCTATTTTGTTTCACTATGGGACTCCTCAGTAGTCCATATTTACAACCTCACCGAGGATTGAAACCAGGAACCTTATGTCTACGCAGCGAGGCCCCAACCATCAGAATACCGTGTTAGCATCCAATGATTTGCATTCACAAATTTAAAAGCGATGACTAGACTTTAAATATATTTATGAGTAAAGAATTGTTCGCCTTATCATATCAATTAAGTTGTGACGTTTAAATGTACTCTCATTGGATGCTTCAAATCATACTGAGTTCTATATTGAAACAGGCAACTTCCTAAAATACTAATCAAATTTTAATGACACAACAACATATACTGTTTTAAATAACCAGGCAAACGTGAATAGTTTTCATTGTTGTTTTGTTCACCCGATCATGCAAAAATCCGGACACATTGACTGGATGAGCCATCATAGAGACGACTAGTTTGCTAATGTTACTAAACAGGAAAAAACTTTTAAGTGATTGCCTAATGATTATCACTAAGTATCATAAAAACTAGAAATTAATATCGATTCTATTCAAATAGCTTGATATAAGTTGAATGCAAGTGATAACTTATAGATTATTAAAGTTTCAATTTTCCGACATTTTGATTATTAACTCAACAAGAGATACTTACTGTATGAATAGGTATAATTAGATCAGCATGACAATTATATGATGACAGTAAATTACGATTTATTCCGGAACCCAATGAACCACTAACTGAAGTATGGTCAAATTGCTTTTGTGCAGACAAATTGTTTCTTGATAAATCAACAGTTGGAAAGGAAGATGTTGGATTTTTCAAAAAATCATTTTTATGAGAATGTTCTTTAGGAGGAATGAACATTTCATGGTTTTGGTTAAAATTTTCTGAATTTATGCCAGTTGGGTTACAACAGGAGTCAGTTTCAAAGTCATCGCATTTTGACACTTGATTGTTCTGCTTGTTCAAAAGAAATTGGTAAAACTCTTCGTAACAAAACTCAACAAAAAACATATCGGATAAATATACAAACGCCCAAACACTTTGGTACGTCAAAGGATGGGGAGAGTTCGCTCTCTCCTTCCGAAATGCTCTCATATGGCGACGCGTATACAGCCACTGTCAGGGAATTCCTACTCACTGCCTCCTCGTGGCTGAGGAGTTGGTTACGAAATTGCGAAGACGAAATGCGAATGTCCAGCGCTTTAACCGGGTTGGTGGATACGGAGGATCTACCTAGATCAGTTGAAAAAACCTGAACAAACGGTGAACATCGGCTCCAAGATCCTGAAGGGACAAATGGCGTATCAACCTATTGTTGGTCACCGGCTACCATGGGACTGAATCTCTCCACGATGTTCCACTGCCTTGTGGATTAGCCTCTATGTCAAAGGCTAGGTGTGTTGATTCCAAAGAAAACCATCTGTTTCGGTTTGAGCACTCGGGAAGCATTCCAGCTATCACATATATCGAACGATTTGTGTGGCGCATATGTATTTGGTGCCTTCTTGTACCAATGTTAATGTGTTTAAATAAAATACAAGCGTATTGATGAATAACGTTTAAGTATCTTAATATAGGTTAAACGTCTTTTAGGGATAGTTGGGATCTAGCTGACAACTAAACTGCAGCAGCTCACAAGTAATGTATGAATAGTGAATAAAAAATTAGAAAATGTTGACACATCTTATCATACACAAATGACATCTACACTCAAAAAGTTATATTAGTCGGAAACTCTCTTACTAGGCGTTAAGTATATGTTGTAAGTCAGTCAGTCACAACGTAGAACTTCGTACGTACGTACATCAGTTCGAGTTGCCATACCACATTAGCACAGAGATGCAGTTGTCGATTCAAATCCCATAGTGGTAGAAGTAATAGGAGTATAATCAGAAATCCAAAAGATTAGGGTTTGAAGAAATTATTGAAGGAGTATAGTGCAGTGAAATAAATTTGGAAAGAGAAAAAGATAAAGACATGAGGAATTCAGAAGATCAAAATTTGGTAGAACAAAAAGAGTGGATGCACCTTCGCCAATGCAAACGATTTTGAGCCATGTCATTCAAGGTCTCTAACCATCGGTTGCTGTCATCTCGCGAATCCCAACCAGGTAGTCTACACCTACCAACATGGCCCAGTCCACTTGTCAGTGACTTCATTGATTTGTGCCACATTTTGGTCTGGCCACCCCTAGCTTTCTTCCAACCTACTCTTACACCATGAAACATTGCACGTCGGAGCAGTCGGTGGTCGGGCATACGTAACACATGTCCCAGCCATCTCAACCGATGAAGTTTCACTACTTCATCAATCGATTTGCCATCCCTACCTAGTACTCGTTTCCTAACAACTGCATTACTTACCCGGTGGTCCCAGGATATACGAGCAATGCTTCGAAGACACCTATGATCGAACACTAGTAGCCTACGAATATCCTCTACTCTTATTGGCCATGTTTCACTGCCATAAAGTAGGACGGAACGAACTGCTGCACAGTAAACCCGTCCTTTGTTTGGTAGACGGATATCTCGCCTAAGCCATAAATGACGCAAGTTCGCGAAAGCTAGACGAGCCTTCTGTATCCGTGCTGTGATTTCGTCACATACCAGACCACAAGGGCTGATGAGACTCCCAAGATAACTGAAGTGGTCTACAAGCTCAACTACTTCACTCCATATCATTAGTTCAGGTGTCGCTGCAACCCAATCCTGAAGTAACATTTTGCACTTAGAGGGAGAGAATCGCATCCCGAACATGCCTGCATTGTTGCTTATAGTGGTCAGAAGACTCTGCATGTTGTCAGCGTCTTCACCGAGTAAAACTATGTCGTCGGCGTATTCTAAGTCAACAAGTGAGCCTCCTGGTAAAAGTTCAACTCCTGGAGGCTTAGCTGATGAAAGTGCTATTCCTAAAAGTATGTCAATGACAAAGTTAAACAAGAATGGGGAGAGTGGACAGCCCTGACGAACGCCACTTGTGGTAATCAGTTCTGATGACAGTTCGCCATAGGCTCTAACTCGACCAGTTGTGTTCGAGTAGAGAGCCTTTATGAGGTTAATGTACTTCTCTGGTACTCCTTTCAGTGACAAACACTGCCATAGAACCTCACGATCAACGGAGTCAAATGCCGCCTTAAGGTCAAGAAATACTACTATTGTGGGACGTCTGAATTTGTGTCTATGTTCTAGGACCTGACGTAGGGTGAATATCTGGTCTATGCAACCACGTCCAGGTCGAAAACCAGCCTGGTTTTCTCTAGTCTGCTCTTCACGAGCTTTGGTTAGGCGACCTAGTAATATTGAAGCTAATATTTTAGACACTATATTAGTCAAACTGATCCCTCTGTGATTGTCACAGGAGGACTTTTATCCTTTCTTATAGACTGGCACAATCAGTGACTGGGACCAGTCAGATGGAATTACGTCCAGTTCCCAGATTCTACCTAAGACCTCAGTCAGTCTCACTGCTAGTACTGGACCACCATCCTTAAAAAACTCAGGGGTCAACCTGTCAGGGCCTGCTGCTCTCCCTCGCTTCAGATTTCCTATAGCTTTTTCAACCTCACAGAGGGTTGGAGGACTTACATCAATTTGCCATTCAGGACGACTAGAGATCGTGGGTAATTGAAGTGTGGCTGAAGGCCAGTTGAACTGATCCTTAAAGTGTTCTGCCCATCGATCCAATCTCCTGGATTGAGAATGAATAATATGCCCATCTTTATCTGAGATGGTTTCACTGATATTCGGGTTCCTAATACCGGTTTCTTTAACGAGTCTGAATAGCTGCCTACTGTTACCTAGTGCCGCTGCCTTTTTCATCTCTCTTGCTTTCGCTACCCACCACTGTTCATGATCATTACGTAGGCTTCTTATTAGCCTTCGCTTAAGCTGACTCCGCTCTTCGTTGTGTTCAGAGCCAGGTGGGATGAGTTTACGAGCATCTATCAGTGCGGTAGATGCTTTCGAGATCCATTGTTTCTCCCTAACGTTATGGTTTACCTTACTAGCGGATATCACTGCTGCTTCCACAGCTTTCCGGGGTGGACACAACTTACATGGCTGCCTAACTGTTTTTCTAGTTGTTCCTGAAATATATTCTTAGCTTGCCTATCATTAAGTAGAACCCTTAGAGGCTTCCCTGTAGTCTTTCCTACGACCAGTAAGACGCAGACAGATACGTGCTCGCACTAGAGCATGATCTGAATCTAAACATGTGCCCCAAAATGAGCGACAGTCTTCTATCGAGCCTCTCCATCGGTGGCTGATAGCGATGTGATCTAATTGGGTCCAACGTTGGGACGAATTCGGGGGTCGCCATGTCAAAAGATGTTTTTCCTTATGCTTAAAGTTAGTATTTGCAAGAAATAGGCGGTTATCTGAGCATAGCTGCAACAGACGGTCGCCATTATCTGTTCTTTTCGCCATGACACCATAAGATCCACCCAGGTGTCTTTCCCTTTCACTTAGTTTACCTACTTGAGCATTAAAGTCACCTGCTACTATTACTACATCAGAACGCCTAGCTTCTCGGAGAAGGTCAGAAAGTTTCCTGTAGAACTCATCTTTTATATCGTCTGAGCTGCAGTTAGTGGGAGAGTAGGCAGAGACGACGAAGAGGCAATGACGAGTTTCCCTATCTTTCCGGGTCCTTACTGATCCGTTTAGTCGGACAGCGCATAGACGACTGTCTACTGGGATTCAGTCTAAAAGAGCTAGTTCTGCCCTACGACTTAATGCTATACCTACTCCAGCGAGGCTACGGGAAGCAGCATCAGGGCTTCCAGATACACGAAGCGTGAATCGAAATGAAACTTTATTTTGATTAGGTGAGGTCAAATGAATGACACTACTCGGATCTTGTATGCGCGTTTCGGAGACGCAGCACACATCGATGGTGTAAGATTCTAGAGTCCTAGCTAAGGAAGCCTGTTGTCCTATTTGCCACAATGTTCGGACATTAAAAGTTCCTATATGTAGTTTAGAGCGTGGTTTCAGGAGACCAGGAATAACGTTCTGTGTACTCGAATCGTTTGCCCTAGCGGTGCGAGGTGATAAAAGGACGTGGGAAGGGTTAGTCGTGGAGATAACAGAGTTATTAGGTGTAGGAAGGATTTGAAAGCGACCAACTTGGTCTTGTGTGCAGTTAAGGGTATGAGGGCTAGTATCACTTCCCGGCTGCCCACACCGTGGAAGGGTATTTCTTGAGGGACCTGAAAAAGAAGTTGGATTAGTATTGGTCTTAACGACCTGGGAGCGTGACCGCAGTGCCCAAGGGACAACTGCTTGAGGCCGGTAACACACGGACTTTTTGTGGGGGGTTTTTGACGTGTTAGCTCCGTTCTTCAAAAGTCCTTACCGCCGGAGACGGAAATCCGTGGGATAAGGCGAGGTGTGCATTTTTAGGGTCGACCTTTTCTAACCCCACCCCTCCTTGTGGGAAGGCAGAATCGCTGTCATGCTGGTTGTCTGAAAGAAACACCTTACTGCTTACACACCTCTGTACAGTCAGCAGTACGACTTCGCCTTCGGACCTTGGGATTGCTGCTTTTAGTCTCACCGCTCTTCAACCGACCTGTCTGGCATGGTAGGACCTTGAGGAACGATTGTTGCAGCCAGCATAGCTCGATTGGATCATCACGATAGGCAAGCCCGACCACCACGTCAAGGTAGCAGCAACGGTCGAGTATGTTGTAAGACAGAGGAAAGTAATAGTTACTTCGACTATACTTTCGAAGTTAACTGCAAAGCTTATCGGCATTAACAATTGAATGAAAGTATTCGAATAATTCACGGTATCAGTTTAAATCACTCGTAAAAATGTATTTCTTATAAGAATCAGAGTAAATATATTCAGTTGAGATTACTGTAACTTCCTATCAAAGGGTTTTAGAAGTATAGTTTAAGATACACGTTAAATGTAGTTGAACAGCCATCGCATGAAACTTTTTGGTAGCACTCTTGAATTATTTTGAAACTCTTAAGAGTTACGTATCAATAACCGTTTATGAAACTAAATTAGGTAACTTCAGGGTCACTGGAAAGCAAACCACGATAACAAGAATGACACATGACTGTCGAAGGTTGAAAATATATTTGCTAAGACATGGAGTACAAAAAACGCTCAATGTACATAACCGACAAAAGGAAAACCACAATACTGGTCGATGACAAGTTACAGCACGATGTTACACTTAATGAACATATGTTTATGTTTCCTGAGAAAATTATATTTAGGCTACCATATAGCCAATAGAAGGCCAAAGTACGCAGTAAAGTAGGTACTAAAATGTATTGAAGGTTTTCAACAAAGAAATGAGACCGAATTTGATGAATACACGGTGTATTTCAGAGACGCAATGATCACAATAGCTGGTCATTAATATTTTTGAGAGCTACAAAATAAATAAACACATCCGTCACTTCAGAGACAGAATGATGTAGTGTTATGGAAAATAAGCAGTTGCGCTTGATATAAATTATAGTATTGGGACCGAAAATGGAATGTTGTAACAAAAGAAGCTTCTAACTACATAATAATGGAGTGCTCTGGAACCGTTAGTGGGAACAATCAATTGTTACCTGTCAGTAAGACCCATATCTTTATGCTTTATATCATGAAATGTTTAACAATATATTGTTATATGTAAGATAAGTTCAAAATGTGATGAGAGGCATAAACAGTGAAATATTAAGAGCTAATGAAAAGTAGGTGAAACAGATACAATGAAACTTGTTTGAGATTTAGAGCCCAAGTAAAAAATTTGAAAATTTTAAAGTAGATAAATAACAGTGTAAAGGTTTATTTAACAGAATGAAATCCTACGTGTTTTAACAGCTACCTAAACATATGGTAGGTATTGAAGGTTAAATTAATGGATGAAAGTGGGCTAATGGTTTACCAATGAAATTTGCCAAAGTTAACATGATTTGAGATATATTTTCGAAACGTTATCACTTTTGCATGTTTACACATACATTATAGAGAAAACTAGTACTTACCGAAATTCGGGATTAGTCCAACAATTTTGAAATGATGGAACGGTAATAAAATAAGTAAACTATTAAAAAAGAATGCCGCTATTCATCAAGAAACTTTAACAAGTTACAACTTACACGAAGAGATGAAGAAAATTCATGTGAACTGCCTTCATTATGGCTTGTATTAACCAACGTACACCAAAGGTAACGATCCCGAAGTTCACAACGATAAAGCATCATAGGCGTCTGAATAGGTGAAGGAGTTAATTTCTGATAATCGAATTTAGTAAAAGAAAATTTTTTAGTAGTTATTACTTTTTGAGGGTAAAAATGTATCACAACGAAAATGAGAAAAGTGAGGTAAATGTCTGAACAATATAGTTGCTAAGTGCATGAGAATTACAAGAGCCTCAAATGGATATTGATATTTTAAATTCTTTTAAAGGCAAAAGAGTAAAATGTTCAGTAAACAATTCAGCATGATAAATACTATAAAGTATACCGTTAAAATGTTTGGAACCTCATTTTATATTACTGAAATACGCAGTAAGACAGTTTTCTTATTAGTAAATTCATGTCACTTTAAAATAATATATGAACTTCTTAACGTTAATCAAAATTTATCTGTCCGAATAATTGGTAAGAACTTTTCACAGCTTTGGCATTGCATTTAAAGATCCCAATTCAATGTAAATCACAATATAGTGTTAAACAGAAGTTCCAAAACGCTTATCAGATATGAAATCAATCTTTTTAATTGGTAAAGTAACACACAGGCAACTAACAAAGTGAACAAAGTGTATTGACGATTAGATCAGTAATTATTTCATACAGTAAATATAATTGCTTTTTATTAACGTTAATAAATCAAGTAACTGCATCGACTAATTGAGTTGTTCGTGTGATGAGCATTTCACCACACGAACTCTTCTATTAACGCGAAACGTTTTATTTTAAAAGTCTTTTTTCTAAGTCATGACAAGTTGTTAGGTGGACTTATTTACCAACATGATGTTAATAAATGTAGTTGTTTTATTAAATATAGTGGGCAGAAAAAATTCACGTAAAAACAAAGCTTAAAATGCGTTTTGTTTTTATACATATGAATGAGCTGATAATACGCTGTTTAAAACTGTTAAAATTTAAATGTAGGTAAACTATCAAATTATCTACTTCACCGATTCTGACCAAACAATTAAACTTGAATCATTAATCTTATGAAGTTGAATGGCTAGTCAACACAGGTGAGGGAGCATAGATTGAGATGAAGGGAACAAGATAAACTATCGATTGAAATAAAAGCCAACAGTATTTTGAGCAAGGACGGATAGTGGATAGCAGTGGAACCCAGGATGCGCGTTTCATCCTATTTGGGACTTATCAGCTGGATGTACCCGCATCTCAGAGTTGATGTTCACTCCGGGATTCGAACCCAGTACCGTTCGTTTCAAACACCATAGCATTACTCACTCACCTATTGGGTCCTGATAGCCACTTGCTTGTGCAATGGGATGAAGTTTAAATTCACTTAGTATTGTTTGTTTGAATCTTCCGATTGATGTTTAGGACTGCAATTGATCAGTCTCTTATTAGAATATGTGCATACTGTGTGTATTGCCTCGATATAGCATTATAAGCAATAGGTTAAGGCTATAGAAAGCTTGTAACTGAGGACAATATCGAGGCAATCCGCACAATATGCACATATGCCAATAAGAGACTGACCAATCGCAGTCCTAAACATCAATGGGAAGATTCAAACAAACAATACCAAGTAAATTCAACAGTATTTTTGTCACTACGTTTATCTACAAAAAATAATTGAACTTGAAGTGTTGAACAATTGAGTAACTTACACATGACTTTTTATTTAAAATAGAAGAGTCATGCCATCTATTACAATAGGATGCAATATTTCAATAATTAGTTACAATCCATTTCGAGGATGAGCTTCAGACGGTTCAGCCCTTAAAGCTGAACGTACATTCGTTGTAGCGCGTAATTTTTGAGTGGGGAAGATTTGAATCACAAGAGTAAGTCATATTTGAGCAATATGCATATTGTATTATTTTAAGTCTTCTGGTTAGCATATTTAAATGGTCTATCGAATTTCGACGCGATTCAGAAACATAAGCTGTTAGAATTGGATTTTGAATGATAGAGAAAATCTCTGGTAAAATCATAAAACGTTCACCGAACAGCAAGAATCTGTGTATTGACGTTTGATCTAATTTATTAGACCATTATTGTAGAGGTTATTGACATGAAACTGGTGTATACGTGTAGGACACAAATTTTCCACGTCACTTATGATTACCAAAGGCTGAAAGATTTCCATAGTTTGTTATCAAGATTCCAGTCTTCTGTTTTTGACAATACAACAATGAAAACATAACAGTCAGCAATCTTTAGTGCAAAACTCGTTAATAACAGTGTATTCTCATTATATTGAACTTTCACTTAATAAATAAGAATATGTGAAACGTGGTGGCATATGATATCACGTAGCGTCAATTCGTTCCATACTGAATACCTATTCGTTTGAAAACAACCCTGTTATCTAGAGTCAACCACATTATTATAACAACATTGTGACATTTTTATAAAATACATTGACACAAACCAACTTCAGAATGACAGAGAAGATACTTTAACGATATACTAATAATTACAGCAAATCAGCTAATATGTACCATGTTTAATATCAGTTACAATAGATATTGTCACAATAAAATATTTTGTACTTAAGTAAATAAAATGTTACATGAATAGTTATATGTGTTATAACTAAACGATTTTGAAGGTATTTTGTTGACCATAATACCTGACTTCGATTTCATAAGTGGATAAGTAGTTTCCAAAAAAACAAAACAACAATTATTTAATACCTTTGTGATTTTCGAAACAGTTTTCCGATTAACGAAATCAGTTTGTGATGAAAATCACAGAATGTCACGTGAGAATATCAGACAACTCTAGGGCGCAATTAAAAAATCTTGAGTTCATTTCTTCATTTATGGAAATATCTAATTTAAAACTCTTTAATTAAACACTGAATACTGAATGGTTCAGCTGTACAAATATTAATACTTACACGAATCCAAAGATATCCAGACTTTAATGGTAATTTAGCTGAATGAGGTTGTGCAATAAGTCGATAGCAAATATTACCAAATAATGGTAAATCACATATTTCTGATGTTTCATTCGATTGGTCGTTAAATAGAGAATTTCTATGTATTGTTGTAGAATTAGACACAGATAATGATGAATTCTTACATTCACGTGAATAAACAAGTTGATTACCCATTTCTAGTGTATGAGAAGAGACTTTGTTTTGTACATCTTTTAAAGTGGCAACACAACGTCCAATTAAATCAAAATATTGAGATCTATAATGTACGAATATGAATGAGAAATTAACATGTTTAGAATAGAATAAAAAATCTAACCTATTAAACTTTATTCTTTTCATTTGTAAGATAACATTCATACGATTAGGTGGGAAATATCACAAAAACCTTAGTTCAAGGGCTTTGCAAATAAGATACTATATTAGTTTATCATTTGGACGCGAATATCCTTAAATTAATCTTTGCACAAAGAGTTAAAATTGTTTATCATCAAGCCCAAGTATTTTCAAATGACGTAAATACAAATTACTTTATGAAGTCTTTTCTAATGCACGAGAAATAGATATAACATACCACATTCGAATAGATTTTACAGAAACTTTCCTTGCTACGTTTATCCGTATATCAGAGGAAAGTCAAACTTCTACACAGACTCGAATCATTACTGAACTAACTGGATTACAAACAAAATCCTAATCAATTAATGAACAATAACCAATGTCATAATATCTAAATATTACTGTCCACCGAATCCTATCAATTATGATCAGCAAACTTTGTAGCAATCCAGTTTGACCACAAATAAACTGCCGATCATTTCACTTAATTACATAAACAACATCATATGTATTAGCATAATTATGCTTATAACACTTAATGAGATTTAATTAATTATTTTTTATTCTTGCTTAAAATAATTTAAACAAAACGAAACTCACGAATTTTGATTGATGGATGAGTCGGAATTCACAACATGCTAGAGAAAAATAAATCGAAGGTAACCATTTTACTACTTAAAATAGAATATTACAGTCAGATGATCGAAATAATTCGTTCGGTGAGTAAATGAGTACAAGGTTATCACAAAACATGAATTAAAATTTCTATTAGTTATAGTTTTGTTTCAGTCAGTCAGTCACAACGTAGAACTTCGTACGTACGTACATCAGTTCGAGTTGCCATACCACATTAGCACAGAGATGCAGTTGTCGATTCAAATCCCATAGTGGTAGAAGTAATAGGAGTATAATCAGAAATCCAAAAGATTAGGGTTTGAAGAAATTATTGAAGGAGTATAGTGCAGTGAAATAAATTTGGAAAGAGAAAAAGATAAAGACATGAGGAATTCAGAAGATCAAAATTTGGTAGAACAAAAAGAGTGGATGCACCTTCGCCAATGCAAACGATTTTGAGCCATGTCATTCAAGGTCTCTAACCATCGGTTGCTGTCATCTCGCGAATCCCAACCAGGTAGTCTACACCTACCAACATGGCCCAGTCCACTTGTCAGTGACTTCATTGATTTGTGCCACATTTTGGTCTGGCCACCCCTAGCTTTCTTCCAACCTACTCTTACACCATGAAACATTGCACGTCGGAGCAGTCGGTGGTCGGGCATACGTAACACATGTCCCAGCCATCTCAACCGATGAAGTTTCACTACTTCATCAATCGATTTGCCATCCCTACCTAGTACTCGTTTCCTAACAACTGCATTACTTACCCGGTGGTCCCAGGATATACGAGCAATGCTTCGAAGACACCTATGATCGAACACTAGTAGCCTACGAATATCCTCTACTCTTATTGGCCATGTTTCACTGCCATAAAGTAGGACGGAACGAACTGCTGCACAGTAAACCCGTCCTTTGTTTGGTAGACGGATATCTCGCCTAAGCCATAAATGACGCAAGTTCGCGAAAGCTAGACGAGCCTTCTGTATCCGTGCTGTGATTTCGTCACATACCAGACCACAAGGGCTGATGAGACTCCCAAGATAACTGAAGTGGTCTACAAGCTCAACTACTTCACTCCATATCATTAGTTCAGGTGTCGCTGCAACCCAATCCTGAAGTAACATTTTGCACTTAGAGGGAGAGAATCGCATCCCGAACATGCCTGCATTGTTGCTTATAGTGGTCAGAAGACTCTGCATGTTGTCAGCGTCTTCACCGAGTAAAACTATGTCGTCGGCGTATTCTAAGTCAACAAGTGAGCCTCCTGGTAAAAGTTCAACTCCTGGAGGCTTAGCTGATGAAAGTGCTATTCCTAAAAGTATGTCAATGACAAAGTTAAACAAGAATGGGGAGAGTGGACAGCCCTGACGAACGCCACTTGTGGTAATCAGTTCTGATGACAGTTCGCCATAGGCTCTAACTCGACCAGTTGTGTTCGAGTAGAGAGCCTTTATGAGGTTAATGTACTTCTCTGGTACTCCTTTCAGTGACAAACACTGCCATAGAACCTCACGATCAACGGAGTCAAATGCCGCCTTAAGGTCAAGAAATACTACTATTGTGGGACGTCTGAATTTGTGTCTATGTTCTAGGACCTGACGTAGGGTGAATATCTGGTCTATGCAACCACGTCCAGGTCGAAAACCAGCCTGGTTTTCTCTAGTCTGCTCTTCACGAGCTTTGGTTAGGCGACCTAGTAATATTGAAGCTAATATTTTAGACACTATATTAGTCAAACTGATCCCTCTGTGATTGTCACAGGAGAACTTTTGTCCTTTCTGATAGACTGGCACAATCAGTGATTGGGACCAGTCAGATGGAATTACATTTTTAGGATCGATCTTTTCTAACCCCACCCCTCCTTGTGGGAAGGCAGCATCGCTGTCATGCTGGTTGTCTGAAGGAAACACCTTACTGCTTACACACCTCTGTACAGTCAGCACTACGACTTCGCCTTCGGACATTGGGATTGCTGCTTTTAGTCTCACCGCTCTTCAACCGACCTGTTTGGCATGGTAGGACCTTGAGGAACGATTGTTGCAGCCAGCATAGCTCGATTGGATCATCACGATAGGCAAGCCCGACCACCACGTCAAGGTAGCAGCAACGGTCGGGTATTGTTTATGAAATCATATTTGATCATTGAGATGAAAGCAATCCATAGACATGAGACAAAAGAGACATTGTATTCAGGAAGATCAATGTCAGTAATATTGGAACATAAACGGAATAAAAATAAGTTGAAACTATCTCACTAATATGATATTACATAAAGCGCCTAAATATTAATCTGTTAACCTTAAATCTTAAAAATTATAATTGCTAAACTTCTGTAATCTAATGTTTTTAAGCCTTTAAATCAAGTTAAACAGAATGATAACATATCTTTTTGATGACAGATTGTAGGATTTTCCAGCAACCATCAAATGAATTCGAACTCCGAAAATATATATGATTTAACGGAAAGATCTTACAGAGTATCTGGCAGGTACAGAAAGTCAGAAAGAGGTCAGTAAAGGGTAATGAAGAATACAACGACATATGAAATTATCAAAAGAAACTATGGACAAACTAAATGTACCGAAAAATATATATGCCATCTAGTGTCACTTAAAAGTTAAGACATGTAAATAAACAGTTTAACAGATGAACTTTTAATGAGACGTAAGCATTAATTTCAGACAATGTGTGGTTCAAACAAGTAGCTGTGATAAAACTATAAAGCCTTTTTTTAAATGTTTGGAGGAAAGATATAAACATAAGTGAACTCACTTGGTCTGATGATCTTCTTACTCCATCATAGATTGGTACAATTCGACGTTTAGAAAATAAGGAATTGCTTTTAGAACCTCCCTTTGGAAAAGCATAGATTTCAATTACACATTCGAATTCCGGTGTCACATCATCACTTAATGAATTAATCGAAAAGAAAAACCGACCAGTCAGTTTTATGCCATGAAACAGAATTATGTATTTACTCTAATAAGTCATTTATTTACGCAATGATAATTTTAACCAATGACAATGTAGATAGACAATTATTTTAAGCTTTCAAAGAATTCAGTAACTTACGAGTTGTGAAACGATTAAAGATACAGAGTAACGGAAGTAATGCAGTTCGATTAAAATAGCGGTGATTCTGAGTACAAAAGCATCATCGGTAGATAAATGTATTCACCAAACTATGATGTCAGCCTGTCATGATAGGTAAGGTGTAATAAGAAGTGCTACACAAAATGATCCTAATAAATAGCGACCTCTACAGCATTGGAATCAGAGGTCGAATCTCACTGGTTGGAAATCAGGGTTTTCTGACTTCACCAGGTACATATTTCGTGTTCATTGTTTGACAACTGATTTTGCTTACATTCTAATTGCAAGTTGTCAGCAAGACTAAAGTGTCAGGATATACATAATAATAAATTTAGGTGGGAGAATGTGAATATTAATCAATTAAGCTGAGACACGTATTTGCATAGACAGTAAAACTCGAGTATGAAATAAACAATCAAGTTAATAACCTAACTATAACATTAATTAACTAATAAGCAAATTATTTAGGTAACTTACAATGTCCATTTGTCATTAAATTCAATATCTGCAGTACCAGGCTTGATATCGAAGATTAGCCGAGTATCCCTAATTATATGACCAACTTGGATTATACAAAACAAACTATAACCATCACATTGTTCCCCACTATCTGAATAGTCCGCATTATCGCCAGAGGCATTAACAACAGCAGGTAATAGACCGCTAACAATGCTAGACGTTGGAAATAACTGTTGCATAGTTAAATGCATGTTAGTCCCTGGGGCTATATTACGCCAGATCAATGGTATACGAATATCTATAAACACAAAATTCATACAGAATAATTATGATTAATAAAACACAACCAATTAGTGTAACATACACATAAGTAAAAAATACGTGTATAGAACACAAAAGTACCATTTGAAAACAACATCCACGACTAAACTATTATGAAAATAAAACAATTATTAGAAACATTGTAGTATTATCATTTTATCAGAAACAGAGACCGGATACTAAGAATATATGGTAAATCAATTGATAAGGTTGTGTATATTCATTGACTGCAGTAGCTGGGACATGTATTACTTACCCTCAACCACTATGTCGCGCGACGTCTGATTAGGTTGTAAGAAAGTTAGAGGTGGCCAAATCAAGATGTAGAACCGGTCAGTGAAATCAATAACTGTTGGACTAATCCATACCGACAGATGCAGACTACTTGGATAGGGTCGGCGTGGTAACGGCGAATAATGGATGGAGACTTATGGTATTATGGGACAAAAACGGTCACAGAGGAGTAAACCCATCCACTCTCATATCTACAGTAGACCATTCGCTTCAGTATCCCTCCGTAAATACATTTTTATCAATTTTTCTAGAACTATATTCTCAATGTTAAACCCTTCTTACTATCACTACTATTATCATTCTGTATTATTTCTAATCCATTTTTCTAATTTAATCTCGTGGTGATTTGGTATAACAAACTGTGTGAATCGACAATGATTTTAGGCTCTACGTTCATTATGGCATACTGACTCATATTTAACCCAGCAAAATGTAAACAGACAGGTCTTTTGCTGGTTTGGTGATCTACTTGCATCTGACAATGATATATATTGATTTAAAACTCATTTGCAGTTCTTACAACGCATCAAACTTACTAAGTTTATCAAAAAGATCTTACCTAAAAGTTTAAAAACTACTATTTCGGGCGAACAAAACATTAAAATTAACATGGCAAGTATCGTACAAGTAAGCTAAGTTCGAAAATTAACTCGCAGACTCAGGAATTAAATAGGACGAACTTGATGTTGAAAGTTAAAAAGTAAGGAAATTGAAGATCAGTCAGTAATTTTATCACAAATATCATTCATCGAAATCATATTCAAATCGAAAATTAAACACCCTAAAAATATGAACCTGAGTCACAGTCTAGTGAGCATAAGTAGGGGAATCCCAACTGTAGCCAGATAAGTCAGAAGGACAATTTACGGAGTGTGACGTCGCCAGAGGGTCATATATTATTAGTTTCCTGAAGTTAAAAAGACTCAAAATCTTCCCTAGTCAAAAGACATGAAAATATTCAGTTCAATAGTCGAGGGAAAGCTCGTGAACACGAAAGAAATAAGAAACTAAACACAATCACCCAGTAAACTCTAGCTTTCAGTGTCTGTCACTATACAAATCAACCATACTTGAGAAAGAGAGTCACAAACTAGTCACATATCTCGAGACACATATCGATATTATTCATTATATGAGAATATTAAGACGTGTATATAGGCTGCAAGGTTTAGAACAACATTTTATATCTCATCGTTAAGAAATTCTTTAACATACATAAAAAATCAAAGCAAAACTGTTACTCGGTAGTCTAGAATACATCTCCCTAACATTTAAACAGTAACGAGTGGATAGTTGAGGTCTTTATAGAAAAGCGAAACCGTTTCCACATTAGGTAGGTGAGTTATAACTAGTGTTACATCGAATATTTTAATGTTGTGTAAAGAGTGGGTTTAATCTAAGGCAGATTCCGATAAGATACTTAGTATCCCATGAAATAATACCAGATTAATAAATTTTCATGGACGCAGAATGAAACACAGAAGCTAAACTTAAGGTAGATTTTAGTCACTTTTCTTTAAACAAAATGAAAGTATCAACTTAAGTACGAATACCTGATAAGCACAATTGGGCGTAGCCTGGCTTTGCGAAACACGATTTTCGTAAAATAGTCCCATTAAAGATTGAAGCTTCTTTAAGTAGTGTATCGGAAGGCGTTTTGTTAGCACGCTTGGCATCTTCAACTTTTTCACGTTGAACTAATCGCATACAACTGAGTAGCTGTGCATGACTGACAAGTAGTGTTTTAGCCGCATCAAGACGTTGTAGCGGATTCTGAGCGATCGACAAAATTCGACAGGCAGCAGCTCGTATCTTATAAAAACGTTCCAAATCCTGCTGTAATTTCGGGTCCTTAAGAATATAACAATTATAAAGACAGTGAAATGGAGTGACAGAAATGTAAACGACTGAAACTTTAAGAAAAATTACGTTAGTAAGGTTTAATAGACGGTGCAATTTATGAAATGAGTGATTTTATCTCAAATATAGGAAAATAATGACAAGTACACTTTAGGAAAAAACAAATGAATACTTAAACATTTTACTGGACTTGTGCTCAAGGTTCAATTATTTACAAATTCAGTTGTGAACAAGGAAATGTTCAGAAAGTTTGGACTTAAATTTAATTGCTGAACATCACATTTGGAATGTGTGATAGACGAAGTAAAAATAAAGTACATATTGAGTTTTGCAACCAGCTTCAGTTTGTTTGAAATTAAAGGAATGAACATTACCTGATACAGCAACCAAGTGAGTTTTTGTATCGGGCTTTCCAAACAAGACAATATACTAGCTTGGAGCACTTAATAGTTCTAAGATTAAAATAATGCTGTAGAAACTAACGATGCACAACACAAAAAACCACTTCAGAGAACGGCACTCAAACAACTACGAAATCACTAGTGCAGTCTTGAGTGCTGTTAGAGGTATGAGGGCGGTTATCACTACCCCGGTTGTTCTAGAGGGACCTGGATAGGAAATTGGGTTAGAGTTGGTCTTATTGACCTGGCAGTGTGACCGCAGTGCCAAAGGGGCAACTGCTTGAGGCCAGTTACACACGATCATTTTGTGAGTAATTTTCGTGTTAGCTCCGTACTTGATGAGAACTTACCGCCGGAGACGGATATCCGTGGGATAAGGCAACGTATGCATTTTTAGGGTCGACCTTTTCTAACCCTACCCTTCCTTTGTTGAAAGGCAGCACCGCTGTTATGTTGGTTATCTGAGGGAAACGCCTTACTGCCGTTACATCTCTGTACAGACAGCAGTAAAACTTTGCTCTCGGACTTTGAATTCGCTGCTTTTAGTCTCACTGTTTTTCAACCGACCTGCCTGGCATGGTAGGAACTTGAGGACGGATTGTTCCAGTCAGTACAGCCCAAATGGTTCATAGGGGTAGGGAAGCCCGACTATCACGTTAAGGTAGCAGCAACAGTCGGGATAAAATCACTAATGTTGTCAGGTAATATAATTCATCTGCCTGAAATCACACCATCGGGAAAGATATGTGGCCGATAAAATTTTACGAGACATTCAGAGAAATCATTCAGTACTTGTCAACCAAATCTATCAGTGACAGTGGGAAGCTAGAATGGTCTGACAATTCAGCTCTCTGGGGTGTCATTAAAACGATTTGCAAATTTAAGTCACAACTTGTTCATCAATACGTAATGCCAAGCTTTGACGAGCTGACAGACGAGAACGCTGATAACCATATGCACATCAAACAATTAAACAGAATGTGGATCAACGAAGTGATTTGTGTAATGAATAACTAGACTTGAGATATCTAAACGTATAGTTACAAATTTCCAGGGTCTGATGAGACGTTTCAGTTCTCTACAGTTTTAGAAAAATGACTTACTGAACTTTTGATTTTCGACGGTGGTAATGGTGGCAAGGTTGGATCAGCTAGTTTGGGTTTAGGAACTTTGAAATGCTTTCGATTTAAATTCCAAGATAAATGGGACATAGAAGATGAAAGTCTACCTTCTGTGATTCAAGTTTTGAATTAATATGTAGTGATAGGATTCTTATGTGTGCTTTAGAGCAATCTACCAATCAATTTTGCAAAGTGATGTAGTGTGACATGGTATAATACCAAATGATTATTCGCTATGCCGCTTAATACTTAATTATATCAACATGTGACTAGAAAATTTTGTGAAACTATGAGTACAGTATTTTTTTGTCAAGTAAACAAGAAAAGATTGAAATTCACACATAAATTGGAAACATTACAAAACAATGTTAAGAAAACCTGTTCCAAGAGGTTTTTGACTGACAATCGGAATAAAAGTACGCTAGACAACCTAAAAACCATAAACTAGGAATAACTGGGTAAACATTCACCACCAAATAGTGTTGTGAACTACAATCGAAGTTTCCTTGCTCTTATAATCATCTTAATAACGTACATTAGTACGACGGGACCTAACTGCTTGCTTCAATAATTTGTTTTACATATGATCCAGGTTTTGATAATATTTTGGCTACATAATATCATGGATGGTGCTATTAGACTTTAACAAAATTATCGAAGTATTGGTACTTCGTAGAGCGACTATCGCATTTATTCATACCATATACTTCATTTCAAGTGATAGAAACAAAAAGACGTAATAAAATAATGTTTCATGCGATTTTATGATCGACAGTTAGATTGTGGAGATAATATAATAGGAAGTCCTGGAGGTATATCTGATTATCTCCTAGATTTTCTGTTATGGCACCTAGTTGAAAATTTTGAAGGGTCATCGGGAAGGATGCAAAGCCAGCCACAAGCAGAAATATGGGGAATCTGAAAACGTAAACAACGAGCGTGCACGAATCGTACGAGGCTCAATTAAAAGTCAGGTTACTAAGACACAGGCGAATGTCGGCGAGACTAAAGAACATGGACGAGCCAATCAGAAGCTTTCGTGGGTTTTCAAGGTCACGGCGCTAAGTTCGGTACCTGATGCTTACGTACGGTCGGTTTACAACGGATTTTAGAGAAAACATGATAACTAAGCGTCTACAAGATAAGTTATCATAAGATTTTGGCGCAAAACTCAATTATACATTTGGACAGAGTTGTGGCATTATAGCTGATGTCAGTTCGTGATGAAAACCGTAAGTATAATTCCTAACCTTAACCATGAACTGTAAATCATAATTTGAATTCTTCACACGGGTTTATGACCCTCATTTAGTCTTAGTTATTACGTTTACACTCTCAGATTCACTCTAGCGTCGCTCAAATGTCGTCCATAATTCATAGTCTCATCTTTAACCCTAAACCGTAACCCTAAACCTTAACCCTAATCTTAAACCCTGAACCATACCAACATACCGACAACACTGAAACTATGTGGTCGAGGCTGAAAGAATTTTCGGGACTTTATCATGGTTTCAGAGGTCGGCTACTATGGAGCCACAGGGATGAGTTCCTGTGCCGGATGCACTATGATTTTAGAACTTCTGAACCTATATCTAACCTTGATAAGTTTTTGATTCATGTAAAAGAACACTATCCCCTTTAATTTTTGAGTTTTATATAATATATTTTTACTGTATGCTAACTGTCTTCTGATTGGCTAATATTTCTCAAGGTCATTTAAGATTCGTTCGAAGGTCGTCCATGTTCTTTAGTCTCGCCCGAATGTCTATAATGTGAGTGATAATACATGGTTAGACTAACAGTATAGAATAACTAAAAGAAGAAACGATACTAGTGAGAATACAATTTATGGACGACCTTTGAGCGACTCTAAAGTGATATTGAGAGCGTCCACCTAATAACTAGGACTAAATGAGGATTATAAACCAGTGTGTGGAATTAGGATTATGATTTACTGTTGATGGTTGGGGATTAGACTTATGGTTTTCATTACCAACTGACATCAGCTAAAATGAAAAACCTCTTTTTGGATCAATGGGTGAACGAATTTTGCGCCAAAATCCAACACCTATCGTCCTGAAACTGATTGGTTCGTCCATAAATTGTAGTCTTGCCGCCAAACTAACCATAGCCCTGTTCTTCACAATATTTTGTTAAAGAAAAAGTTGACAAAGATATTGACAAACAGTGAAGGATTTACTAAACATACATAGGTGGAATGAGGAATAACTATCATGAAAACAAAAAATCCTAGGCCCAAAATCTAAGTGCTTAAGGTTACCTTGGAAATCGTCCCTTTTCTAAACAAGCTCGCCATGTTGACTACAAGCTACCGGTCGAATGACCGCTAACTATGACCTTCAAACTGAAAAATCTGGATTGGTTGTGAGCCTGTATGCCTAGACAGATCGATAAGTGACTAGACAGATTCTATTGGCCGAAATAAGTGTTTGAGATTTGGCTTAAGCAATCAGAACTCGATCGTACCTCACCCAATTGTAGTACTTTTTTTTAACATGATGAGACGTACTTTTAGTTTTGACTAGGGTTTTAATTATCTTGAAAGCGACGCTAATTGTTTTGCTGAATAAGTTGGTTCTACAGGCTTTCTAGTTGTTTGTTTGATCACGGTTATAAAAATCCAAGATTTAAAAGTGAGATTTTATCACACCAATGATTTATATTTAATAGCAGTAAATAAAAGATATGCTCAGAAAAATATATTCATAAATCAGGGGGAATTACCTTCGATAGAGAAATGCATATTTGACAACAAAAGTGTATTGAAAATTACATTTACATATAATGTTGACGTTTTAGCTGTTTTCGACCCATGTATGTTTGAACTTATTTAGTTTTTTCTCAGTTGTTTGCCAAATCAGCTTGTAGACTTGTGCACCCTGCAATGTTTACACCTTAACCAATATTTACCTCCTTACCGAACGGTTAGTACAAATAGCAGTTTCATTAGCTATAACCCTCTTTGAGATTAATTACCATGTGATTATATAGAGACCCGAGAAGTGATGGTATTTTGGGATTTTAGTCGGCTCACGGGTAGGTTGGAATGTCGGTTTTCCTGTAAAATCGACTAGACTATGAACATATGATTGTTTTTAACATACTCGAACAGTGAATTAGTCGAACACATACAACAATACTGAAGACAAGACAGGGAGAAATTGTAAATGTTACTTGTAATGTAACACAAAATAAATTACAGTAGCTTTGGTAACTGTGCAGTATTGATACATAAAAAACTAACTTAAAGGTTATGTACAATTATTCGGAGCTTGATATAGTAGCCAGCCATTTTCGTGGGTAAATATTTTATTTTTGACATCCTAATGAAATGAATCATGGAGCAGTTGATGAGCAATACCAAATTCTTCCTCAACAAACCTATATTGGATAGAAGAGCACTAGTGATAATCATCACACTTGAATACATTTTGATCTCGGGGCTATGATATGGTATAAATCTGAAATAAAGTAGTCTAAAAAAGTGAGGATAATAGAATTTAGATTTTGTCTATTAATGTTGAAAGTCGAACTATCATGGAAAGTAAGAATAATACATAACTGTTTATTGTAACGAAAAATGCCATGTATGTATCTTATTGAGAACCAATTTAGTGATCCAAAAAACCTATAACATCTTTCGAAAATCTTCACACAAATCAGATTTAATTTTTTCCTAATAGCCACTTGAAGATGTTATTCAGTAAAGGTGACGCCATACCCCTGGGACCACCGAGCAAGTAATGCTGTTGTTAAGAAACGGATACTAGGTAAGGATGGCAAATCGATCGATAAAGTAGTGAAAATTCATCAGTTGAGATGGCTTGGGCACGTGTTGCGTATGCCCAACCACTGACTGCCCTAACGTGCAACGTTTTGTGGTGTAGGAGTAGGTTGGAAGAAAGCTAGAGGCGGCCAGACCAAAACGTGACACAGATCCATGAAGTCACTGACAATTGGACTGAGCCATGTTGATAGGTGTAGACTACCTGGTTGGTATTTGCGAGATGATAGCAATCGATGGTTAGAGACCTTGAATGACATGGCTCAAAATCGTTTGCAATGGCGAAGGTGCATCCACTCTTTTTGTTCTGCCAAATTCTAATCTTCTGAATTCTTCATGTCCCTTCCTTTTCTCTCTTTTCAAATTTATTTCACTGTATTATACTTCTTGAATAGCATCTCCAAACCCTAATCTTTCACAATAATGCTGACACTCTTACTACTTCTACCACTATGAGATTTAAATCGACAACTACATCTCCGTGTGTTATAATCATATTTTTGCTATATAAACGACCCAGCTATTCCTATTGATTAGTATTCTTATACGATGACACTCGACAAGACCCCAAAATCAGAACACGTTGAACAGGAATGAAATTGTATTCAAAATAATAATGATAAGTGAACAGCAATCAGCAATCAATAGTTTAAATATCGTTCATATATTTATAGTATATACATAAGAAGCTTATAAATTTTTCTGCAATAATATGCCCGGGCTGATCGGTTTAAAATTAACCATTCAGCGCGCAGCAACACCATCATGCATAAAACATGCTTAATCCAATCTATATCCCACTAACACTGTGCTAATGTGGTATGGTAACTCGAACGGATGTACGTGCGTACGTACGAAGTTCTACGTTGTGACTGACTGACGCCTTACCATTTTGTTTGCTATCACTGTTGACGAATTACTAGGACAAGTGAACATACACTAAGTCCTACGATTTCTAAATAAAAGGTACATAATTCTTACTGCATAACTTCGAGAAATGAGAGAAATCTGGGAGCAATCTTTTGGCAGAAATACCTAACAAGTGAAGTTAAGATCTGGATTATCATTCGATCTTTTAACTTTATTGGTAGAGATGATGTATAGGCTATTTCGAATATTATGACAACCAAACCCTTGAAATTAAAATGAGTGTTGAAGAATTCCTTCAATTATATAATGATTTTAAAAGATATTCTACCTGTTATTAATAAGTTACTTTTTAAGGAAAGTCCAAAGCCATTAACTCTCATTGAAATAAAATATTACATTTCTTCTCATCTAACCAACTGGGGCCACCTCAAAACTGTACAACTCCACTTTATTTAAACGTGGTCGATATTTATAAATCAATAGCTATTTGGATTACTTGGTGATATGACTAAAACAAGGCATTCATTAATAGTTGTATTTCAAAGGAGGTGTTTTGTGACATGAGCGAGTGAATAGCTAACGGAATTACCGAAAAGATTGCACTAGACAAACTTGTAAGACAACGAATTCCGTTTTTCCCCGGTAACTCACGTTTTAATACATCCTAGGAACAACAAAAGGAAATATCTAATTTGTGACAACGAAAAAGTATTGCTTAGAAGAAATACTCATTTACATATACACTTTTCATCCAATCAAACATCTAATCAAAAAGTGGTTGCGTGATTCAGGCTCATTGCTTAAACAACATAGCAAACTATCAGTTTAGGCGGTTCAAATCAAAATCTACCTTATCGGCCAACAGCCTACAATGCTGATATCCAATTAAGTCACCTCTTATTATTATTCATAACACAAAAGTCATAATATATTGTTGTCATAGATATTAGAGAACTATTTGTGTTGATTAGGGACAAACCAAGACTAACTACCTATTGGACATTATCTATAATAAGTTTCTATATGCTATATTCTAATCTCTATGTATACGTTTGTAGACATTTGTACCATTGAAATAACCAATTATATTTACCTTTTCTAGAAACTCAGTGCATTCGTTGTCAATGGATTAAATTCGATTTATTCTATAAGCGTTTATATGCTATGTCTTTCATTATGATGACTGACCTTAAATTCAGTGTGAAAAATGCTTCTAAACAAAATTCTACTTAATCTTCACTAGAATACTAAAACATGTATCATAAGAATAATCCATCATGTTTCTTTTTTGATCAAATTAAACTAATAAGGCGGGAAATTAGTGAATATAAAAAATCTTCGATGTATGACACTAGCACTATTCAATTACATTCAGAAAATGCCGAGTTAGTAAATAATAATGTAAATGACCAGTTGTCAAATGATACAATGTATAATTCTAGTTCCACAAAGAATACTACTCGTTCTATAACATTAACAGCTACAGAAGAAAAAATGACGAATCCGAAAGGACAATTAATAAATAAAGAATCAAATTTAAAACAATTGGATTATTATTCGTGGGTTGAAATGAGTGAACAAATTGTAAAAGATATTCTAATTTTTTTACATCAACAAAATGTAAAAGAAATTAAACATCCTAGGATACTAGATTATCGTTTGGATGAAACATGGGATGAATTGATTTCTATGGTGGATTCCAATTCAAGAGATTGGCAATTACCTGCAATAAAAAATGCATACAATATATGGATTCAAGTAAGCAATTCAATAACAGTGTATGAACTTTTGACATACGTCTGAGAAGTTTTGTTTCAATGCGTTATTGTTTATGTTAGTTTGAGGTTACAACTCTAATAATTTAAAGTATGTGAAAAAGACTTTAACTATATAACTAAAACGTATCTGGTAAACACGAATTTTTAATTAGAATATGGACGAATATAACGTACTCGATAATATGGGATCTATATCCGTGAATTCTTAGCAGACCCATTTTTAAATGTGTAATATATGTCAGGTATCGAGCGTTTGCAGACATTTTTCTATTTATTTAGTGAGTCTATGCTGTATGTAAGGGCATAATTTTCATTTATTTTAAACTCTAACCTTCAGTTTATTTGCTTTTTTCATCAGGTAAGTTGGGATGCGCTACAGTGGCGTATTCATAGAAGATACATGTAAATAGATTTGAATGACTGAAATGAAACCCCTAGTGAAAATCACGTTCCTATACACCACATCTACTTACTAAATAATTAAATGACTATAATCTATAAATGGTACAAGATATATCAACATTGTGTGTTAAATGAAAGCTGATAGTTAGATCTATGTAAAATATTTCTTATATTAATAAATACATCAGAAGTATATGTAATGAACAGTTGGAGAAAATTTTTCAAAGTTTTTTCTACTTTTCCTTATCTACCTATTTCTAACAAAAACCGCGGCCTAAAGCTCCTAGTCACACACGTGAAGTTATTTGAATTAAACAGCTGTTTGAGCCTTCAGTTCCAACTGGTAAACGTTTCTGTCTAAATTTATACATCATTATTAGCGAACATTTAAAATGTAGGAAGACGCCAATCAGGTTTTGTACTTGCAAGATAATTTCAAAAACGTTTTTCTAGTTTATATAGAACGTCTCATTCTTTTGGCAATGGTGCAACTTTAAAGTCTCTAGAATTACTATCAACATCATTCTTCGTTAACTGAATGGAAATATCACGTTTTTTCACAAAATTCATTAAAGTTATGGGACGGTCTTTATGTAATACTGTATTTACGCTAAACATGATTAGCCGGATATAACCATATACAAAAATCAATATCCCTGAAATAACAAAAAGAGAAGGTGCTCGGATAATCATTACTATAGAATCATCTGAAAAACAGCCATATAAATCATGCGAGATGCGTTCATTATGCTAGTTAATGTGTATGTAGCAGTGAGTAATGCAGGTTTTCATGACTAACTATCGAATAGTCAAGGCGCTTGAACAAGAATGTGTGTAGATAAGGGAGTTATTTTAAACCAACGGTCATCAATATTACTGTGCCACCATTCACACATATTAAGTGTTTTTACCCTTCGAACAAGCCTCAAGATTTGAAATGCTTAGGATATTTTACTCAAACATGATGTATATCACCCTCTAATTATCTGAAAGAGATGGGAGGGGGATTAGTCTAAGATTGAGTTTCACCTTTGTCACTAATGCAAACCACTGGCTAGGTTCGACACTATTCATCAAGCTTCGGCGTCAAGTTTCAATAACATATTCAGAAACTAAGTACAAAAATTAATTTTTTTACTACCATCTAGTGGACTACTATGGTCCAATAGAGACAAAACTTCATGTTGCATATTTAATGTTAACGGGAGGGAAAATGCTACTTGACAAGAAAAAACTCTTTTCTTTCTCGGTTACGTAGAATAGTATGGCATTTTAACTCTACACTTGTATTCAGGATAGATTTCAGCGGTGATTTATGCTGATGATTTATCCAAACTTGTGACATAATGGTCCATATCAGTTTTCATTGGCTCGTTGTTGACAGCTAATTTAGCCATTTAATTGCATTACTGAGGCCTTGACCATACTATTGAATTACACATGTACATGAAACATACAAGGTGACTTACTTCATATTGATTGTATTCTTGTTGTCTATCTCCTGAATTAGAAGCTTGTATTAAAGCGAATTAATCTGGATGGTTTATAATGCAAACATAATTACTTGATAATCTCAGCTACTTCATAAACATTAAAAAAAGGCTAGTTTTTTCTAGTGAAGCCCGTTAATATGTACTGTAACTGAAATTAGGAAGTTTTATTGGACGTCTGTCATTTTATTGCCAAACTGTACTTATGAGAGTAATCCAATGTATAAATATGATACTACGATCATTGAAATCTTTTCATGTGAATGTCACATCTCTAACAAAGATGCTTTAGTCAAAATTTTATTGATCAACCATTTAAAATATTTTAAAAAACTCTTAGTTTATAAGATAGGATATTGTCTGAGACACTTCAATTACATTATATTTTGAATTGAGGAAAATCCTCCTGAAGTTGATGCATATGGAATGAAATATGAATCAGTGAAAAAAACAAACTCATCATATGGTCTTGAAATTGCTGGTGCGTATACACCGACACCACGAAGCTCAGTATTTCGTAAACAATCAATTAAACCAAGCCTTACAAATAATGAGAGCATGAGTATTCACGTAAAAACACCAACTGAAAGAAATTCAAATGGTAAGTTTCATTTTAACACCTTTTTTATTCTTTTTGACAGAAAATATTTTGGTACACAATAATTACTTATTTTGGTTGTTTACAATTTGGTGTGAATATTGAAGAAAATTTATAGAAGGAATTTTTTGTATAATATACTAGGATCTGGTTCATTAAACAGCTTAATGATAGTCTTAATTAAGACTCAATAGGTAAATTAACATCAGCTCTACGAATCGGACATTAAACTGACGAGTCACTACTAGAATGAAACATGTATCGTGAATCTCATTTCTACCCGCTACTCATATAGGACTAGAACATGTAGATTGTTTTAAGCATCATTTCAAAAATTCCATTTGCAAACACAGATTGATGTTATGCAATTAGTCATAATTACTAGATATATTAATAAGACCTTCATGTTCGAAATTGGAACTGAAAGTGCTCGCCGGGAAATCTAAAGATCATAGGGTCGATCTCTACCTGGAGTTACGGTGGGAGAGTCCTATTATAAGACGAAACAAATAATTAATCTCCCTGGTTTTCAAAGGTTCCCACTTGGTTTCTAAACTGAACTCAATAAACCTCTACTGAATTATCGAATAATTCAGCAAAAGTTCAAGCCTCAAACAGATTGATAACAAAGCTTCGGTCAGAATAATTGAATCTAACATGGAAGTTATATTCATAGGAAATCATGCGACGAAATAGGTTATCGTTAAATATACACCTATTTGAATCGTAAAAAGTTAACTATTTCTTTCAATACATGTTAGTGGTAATGACGGGCAAATAAAACTGCTGAAGTTATTTCTCACTATTTCTTTCAGATATGCAACACACTTCTGAGAGAGCTTCTAACGTAATAAGGATCAAAAGAGATAATTCCCCACCAAAAATTTTAGTGAGTAATTCTCCTTCAGAATCTTCAAGATCAACACAAAAATTAGATAGTCTGAAAGATTCTCTGAAACATTCTTTACCTTTTTCTCCCGATAAAGAAAATGAATCAATTTCAGCAACGGGGAAAGAATCGAAAATTACTGTTCTTCCCACAAATCGTCTAAATATTCCTAGTAAACATATTCTGTCTACAGGTAAGTGATATTATTCTTCTTCACAAATATATTGTCGAGGTCATTGGATAAAAGAAAGCAGTCACGATTCCTTAATTATTCGACATTAAGAGGAGAAATGCTCTAGAACTATATTTATACCTATTAAAACTTATCCAACCATTTGTAGTGTAGATAGTAGCCACTATTTCTGGACAGATATGCATCTAGTAATACTACCTATCTTCATAATGATAGTTTTGGTCGGATTTTGTATATGATATCCGAACAAACAACAGTTCGGGTTAGGATTTCTAGACACCATTGTAAGAAGCGATTACCTACAGGTGCAACCCTAAGCTATTCTCCAGACTGTCGAGCACAGAGTCTTGGTTTGGCCAAAGTCAGAACAAGTAAACTATTTGGCTTGATCAACGTTATCTGTTCCTAAAACTTAAATTAACAACGTTAGTACAGTACAGTACAGTCTATTACATATTGAAAAGGAGAGACATAAACAATATACCGAACTGAAACTAGAGTATAGGAAAAATGAGTCAACAAGGCGAATATTATTTTAGAATGAACATAAAATTTTGATTGGTGGATAAACAAGACATAGTAATACAAGGTCAAAGAAAGTTGATGTGATGCTGAGCGTTTCACCTTATCATTGGTGTGTTCGTTTATCGATCTCACTTTACAACCAAATCCATAAGAAATCGAATGGCTATACACTGCTCTATAATATGCATTTAGTACTGTTGCCAGATATCGTGGTCTAAGTAAAATCTACCCTAGTACAATACATCCTAAAAGGATTCAAAGTAAACACAAGACGAAACTAACTTATTGTGTGAAGAAAGTGGTGAAGTATGTAGTTGTTTGGTAATGAGCATCACAGATCACAAGATTGGGACTTCATTTTGTAAACTTCTGCTAGCTGAAGTTATTATGAGAAGAGCTGGAGATGTTCAACCAGCGCTTTTTCTGATACTCTACATTGACTAACATAAGAGCAAACTGAAAAAATGTTGAAAAGGGCCAGGTAAAGATATAAAATGAATTTAAAGTCCTGAACTATGAGTTATAAATATCTCACAGTTTCCAACCAATGAGTATATCTCTTCTAACAAAACTTGAAACAAGCAACATTCAAGCAGTTGTTCTTATTCTTCGTTATTTAAATGTTCAGCTGAATAGTTTCCATTATTTCCATTCCTCAATCTACTGTGTCTAGTTTACCAATAATATCAATGCTGTTATCTCACCTATTCTGCTTCTTATCTTGTTTATTTCTTCCCTCTGATGATGTGAGGTATGGTAATTTATGAAATTACTTAATTTTGCTAAGTCCTATTAATGTGAGAAGAACTTATTTATTTATTTATTTAAGCACATAACTATTGGTACAAAAAGGCACCAGATACATATGCGCCACACAAAATAATGAGAATGTGAAGAGAAAGAGGGAAGATGCGTATATATAAAAGAAGAAAAAAGGATGAAAAAAAGAGAAGAGTAATAATGAGGGGAACTGAAATGTACAACCAGAAGAACTCTTTCAGTTAAGAAAGATATAACCACTCTTTATGAAGAAAGTAAAAGAAGGTTACAGCAGGATCACCATTGGCTTCTATTCTGAACCATATCTGATAACGTCTCTAGCCACTGTGTAGCACCATCTCTTGGACCCTAGCCAGGGAGTCGTGAAGGTCCAACAGAGGCTAGCCCTTTGCAGCTTTCTTTCATACCACGACGCCATGTCATACACTGACCTCCTCTCCGCTTTTTCCAACCAGTCCCAGAGTCGGCAAACAATTCACGACGTGGAATTCTCTGGGACGACATTCGTAAAACATGTCCAAGCCACCGAAGTCGGTGTTTCAAGATGGTGACACCAATTGAATTATCGTCTCGGCGCCCGAACACACGATGCCGAACCTGTGCATTACTAACATGGTGTTACCACTGTATGTCAGCAATCCTTCGGAGACAACGATGACCGAACACATAGAGTCATTATACGTACATCAATCTCATCACTCACGCCACCACCAGCACTTATATAGCAACCTAGATACATGAAATTCTCAACTATTTCAATCTGCTCACCATCCAGGGTGAGTACAGGATTAGAATCCTGCCAGTCTTGTAAGAGTACTTTGCACTTGGAGGGTGCAAAGCACATGTCGTACTTGAGGACACTGATTGCCAACTGATTAAGTGCGGATTGCATACCTTGGGCACTATTGCACAGTAAGACAATATCATCCGCATACTCAAGGTCGAGAAGTCTTTCTCCAGGCAACATATCCACACCGCCATTACTTACATCCATCAGAGCTGTTTCCAGAATGTCATCGATGGCAAAGTTGAAAAGAAATGGTGAGATTGGTCAACCCTGCCTAACCCCACTGCTCGAATGGAACAAGGGGGAAAGATGGTTGTATGCCCTCACTCTGTCTGAGGTGTTCGTATATGTGAGAAGAATCTATGTATACGTTTGATTGTCAATAAATATCATAACGGAGACTATCTGTAGATAACTTATCATTTTTAATCGAAAATGGGGAATATGACCAACATAAGTAGAGTAAAATACGGATTGTTTTTTTGTCTTTCTAATCAATAATTATGTTACGAATAACTCCTAAAATTCATAAGAAGGTTGGAATTCATTTTCAAATTTCTATCATGACAACAACAAAATGTGTTCACTACTTGATAAAATCATATGAAAAACTTTAAAAATTGTTCAACTTTTCAAAATCAGTTTTTTATGCAGAAGCTATTTAGCTTATATTTACGGTACTGTATATTTTAGCAAAGGCTTCGTAGCTGGATAGAAACTACAAGACAATCGTCAAACAAATCTGAAAGCTTGAATGTTAAAAAAATAATCATATGAGAAAGCGGTACTTGTAGTAAAAAGTAAGGGAAAGATGCTGAACAAATGAGTACCTGTGATATGTACAGCTTAGTTTACACTCGATTTACGACCAGTTCATTTTATGAAGTAGAACGCTGAACTGAAGTATGTTTGAATTAGAGTGTAAATGACTTCAGTTATTTCTGCTTCCTAATTCCAAAGATACTTCTGTTTTCGTACTAATAATAACATTGTTTACTTACTTACGCCTGCTACCCCTTGTGGAGGAGCATAGGCCTCCCACCAGTATTCTTCATCGAACAATGTTTGGAAAACCCTTTCCAGTTGTTTCCAAATGCTATTCATTCTTCTCATATCTGCCTCCAATTCCCGATGCAGTGTGTTTCTTGATCTGCCCCTTTTCCCTCTCGTTTCAGGATTCCAAGTTAGAGCCTGTTTCGTGATGCAGTTTGTTGGTTTCCGTAATGCATGTCCCACCCACCTCCAACGTCTTTTCTTAATTTCCTCTTCAGCTGGAAGCTGGTTTGTTCTCTCCCACAGTAAGCTGTTGCTGATTGTTTCCTGCTAACGGACATTGAGTATCTTACACAGACAACTGTTTATAAATACTTGTACCTTTTTTATGATGGCTGTAGTAGTTCTGAGAGTTTCAGTTCTTTATATTCACTCAACTCATTAGTCTAGCTGCTTATATTCTGATAGAAATTATTTTAATGTCTCAAAAGTAAGAAAACATCTATTTCAAATACACTGAAATAATTATCTTCTACCAATTACCATACTGAACTCTGTTATCAGTTTATGAATAGTCTGTACCCTAGATTAAAATTAATGAATCTACAAAACTCAATATATAGTTTTATCAACTACACTAGAGAAATATCTATTATGAGATGGTATTACAAGTCATTACTCATCTCATTAATTCCCTCTTGAAAACAACGACTTTTTTGACTTATTGGACAATAACATAGTTTTTATTCAGTCTAATTTAATTCTATAACATGAACAAATAGGTGGAGACCGAAGAATTGACAGTAGAAATAATGGATCATTTACTCTACAGTTTATTATGAGTTCACCAGAAAGTGTGCAAAAGGGTAAGTTTAACATTCCATCTATTCTTTGTTTTAGTTTGATAATTTTGCTAACATGAAGCAGATAGACGTTTTTGAAAACTGTTCAATATAATCTAATCAAAAAGCAGTATTAATAAACATCACCCTTTATTCTCCGGTTAAGAAAACACAAAAACCAAAAGAAATATAGTTCATAAATACGCTAGAAATAATCAATAATGGATGCAAGACTAATTAAGTCTCCAACTAACCAAATAGTTTAGGTGAAAAAAAGTACAAGGTCAAATACTTGACTATGAAAACTAATCTCATCTTGTACAATGATGCCAATTGACACTGTGATATATGGTAGTCTAATCAAACATTTTCATGGATATCTGATTTTCTTAAATAATTCAGCTTCAAAGAACTCTGAAAAGTGTTAGTTTAGATGTATAGGCTTCCTTAACAATCTTGACAGCAAACATGAATGAGTGCTAATAAATAGTTTACATTCTTATCCACGCATGAAGAACATGATATGAAATTTTTGGAGTGAGTCTAAAAGCTAGACAAATAGATACAAAATCCAAATATGAATACGAAATTTTTGTACCTATAGAAACACTGGATAATAATAGTTGGGACATTTGCATTTAAACGATTGGTAAATCATACTAGTCTTTATTTAAAGTTTTGTAAACCTCTGTTTTTGATGAACTCTAGTTGGGTGAAAAAGATACTTTACGCACATAAGATTGTAGGGAAACCGAGTTCATGGAACCAAACTGTAGATTATGCAGGAAATATTTCTACAAATTTCAATCTTTATACATCAACTGCTCAATATTTTGTTGTCTTTGTCATTTTATCGAAATTAGAACATCATCAGAAAACCAAAGATGGATAGTGGCTAGCAGTGGAATCCAGGATGCGCGTTTCATCCTATTTGGGACTCTTCAGCTGGATGTACCTGCATCTCACAGTTGATGTTCACTCTGGGACTCGAACCCTGTACCGTTCGTTTCAAATGCCATCGCGTTATCCACTCAGCTACTGAGTCCTGATAGCCACTTGCTTGTGCAATGGGATGAAGTTGCAGGTACATCCAGCTGAGGAGTCCCAAATAGGATGAAACGCGCGTCCTGGATTCTACTGCTAGCCACTATTCATCTTTGCTTACAATGCTTTTGAATTAAGGCTATATCGAGGCAATACGCACAGTATACACATATGCCAGTTAGGACTTGACCAGTTGCACTCCTAAACAGCAATGAGAAGATTCAAACAAACAATACTAAGTGAATTCAAACTTTACCCCATTGCACAAGCAAGTGGCTATCAGGACTCAATAGGTGAGTGGATAACGTGATGGCGTTTGAAGCGAAAGTTACTGGGTCCGAGTCCAGGAGTGAACATCAACTGTGAGATGCAGGTACATCCAGCTGAAGAGTCCCAAATAGGATGAAACGCGCATCCTGGATTCCACTGCTAGCCACTATTCATCTTTGCTTACAATGCTTTTGAATTAAGGCTATATCGAGGCAATACGCACAGTATGCACATATGCCAGTTAGGACTTGACCAGTTGCACTCCTAAACATCAATGAGAAGATTCAAACAAACAATACTAAGTGAATCATCAGTAAACGTTTATAAAGAAAGAACAATAAATCTTTTTCAAAAATATTAGTTATCATATTTTCATATGCTCGGAATCTTCTACATACAAATCATTCTTGTAAATATGCTTTAGCAATACATAGTCTGTGAAAAGTATGCAAATCGCCAAGGTCGTGCTAAGTGAATCACAATCTGATTTTGTTTCTATAATTTGAGGTTAAGTTGATTAATATCCAACCTACTAATATTCCTTTTATTGAACACTCATAATGATGTATTTAGTTCTACAAAATAACTACTTTAAATAGTTCTTTTAATTATTGTACTGATAGGCAGTCCAGGTTCAATAACTATTATCTTTTACAAGTTTCTTTAGTACCCTCTTCGTCCTTCCGACGAAGATAAAACAGAAGACACAGATAGACAGCTAAACAAGACTGAACATAATTATAGTGCCCTCTTAACTATGCTTATCGATAAATCAAGTTAAATTCCTTAGGTGTGAGAAAACAGAAAATAAGAAAATTCAATCCGTTTTTGATATTTTTGTTTTGTTAAGGAAACACCAAAACAGAATTGCCTACCGGATATACGCAGTAAAAAGACCATTATACTGAATCTGATTAAGTTGCTCAAACAATCATTAAGCTTATTTCATATAGTCAATCGACTGAATTAAAAGATTGAACTATTATTAATAAAAGTCATAGCAGTACTGTCTAATTTAAGCTTTTTTATTCAATAGGATGGATAAATGAAAATATATTAATTAGTTTTATGGACACAATAGAATGGGTGTGTTCACGATTGACAATCGCTCTGAAGAAAAAGTGAGTAACAACAGAACGTTTACTATTATTATTGAAATTCAAAATTCTTTTTAAGTTTATTTATCTGGTAAATTTGTTTTAAATTGTTTCCAAGATCTCAGTTGATGTAAGAATATAATTTGAATTTGTGAACTTTACAAAGTCAAACTGAGGATGATAACAATAATAATAATGTCACAGTGATTGTTTATGGAGTAATAACCTATGCCATGCTTAAAACACTGGTCAAATTTATTGATCAAGTTGCATTGTAACCAATCGAGATGATTTGAAAAAAACCTCGTTGATGTTAGGTATTTGAAAGTGATTGGTAAGAAACCGTGAATCTAGGCTTCTTGCTAGTTAGCATTTGTTAATAAACCACACCTCCAGCCCGTAGGTAATCGATGCTCCCTGTGGGAGTCAAGCTCGCACAATCTGAGATATTACCGTAGAGCTATTCGGGTAGTGATCGCTCTAATATAAGACTGAGATATTAGCACAGATTGGTCTATAAATAGTAATCAATATCATACTTACTTAGTCTTTAGTCCTGATCGCATTTCAAAGATCAAAAGTCATATATATATATATATATATATATATAATTTCGCTGTTCAATCAATAATTTAAGGATATGTGTATACAAATGATAGACCTCCGTAATATACAAGTCACGAACCCTCAAGTTAATTGTGTTTAATTCTCATCCTCACTATACTTCATTAGAATAACAGGTATTACTAACACATGATTTTCAGAAGGCGTTTTTATCATAGACTGATAGTTTGGAACTTTTAGGTGTTTTATCCCAACTATTCATTGGGTTGAATTTTGGGCTTTCACATCTAACGGTAAGCACGACAATTTATGATTACTAATTCAGAATTCATTAGAGATACCAACCGTTCATACGTTTTTTCCTTAATGTTTCTTTAGTTGATGTCAGTTTTTTATAAATACATTCAGTACCCGTTTTTGATCCCCAACTTTACACAGGAATGTGAATAGTGTTCTCCAGTCGAAGTCATCTTGTCGATTTGAACTTTCATTTAGGGTTACTATCTTTCAGTATCGTTAAAATGTTGTTTTCTCCACTTTCATATTGATCCTCATAAAAGTTTAGTCTTGTTCCAAATTACTAGCAATCAATATAAAAATGACTGAATGTGATCGGTTTCGATCACAGTTCTAATTATGTATGTATTTTTGCTTAATACCACTTTTTTATTCTAGTGAAGTGTCTTATAATTATGAAAACTTACAGTTTCCTCGTTATTGTGAACCACAGTACATCCTTTATTCAAGCTTGTTAAACCTCAAAGAATTTAATTTTATGCCAAGAAATCCTTTAGTTAATCGTAAAATGAATTCCTATACACAAATGAATTACAATGACAAAGATTTTAATGATGTCGACTACAATGTAATTCAAGACACCACTAACAATAACATGTCAGTAGATAAAAAATTTTCTGATAATAAGATCACTCTCTTGTTTAAAGTTGGTTTTAATAGAGTTAAAAAAATTAGAATGCCAATTATGAAATTATATCAAATAACATCAGCTACTTCAGTGCCAAGTTCTGCTTTAATACAGTTTTATAAAAATGATTTATTCAATAAAATTGAACATGATTTAATGGACAATATCTTATTGTCAACAATCACAAATTTAAGCATTACCAAACGAATAGAATCAATCCCATCACAAATTACTCTGTATACAAATAAAAGTGAAAAAGTTGATAAATCGTCTAATATTTTATTAAAATTATACTTAGAAAAGTTGGCAAATGTTATACAGTCACAGAAGGATTTAATGAAAACTAATCAATGTACCAAACATGAACAATCTTATCCATGGATCTCATATTCTACAGATGGTACATTAACAGTTCGGTAAGTTATAGTGGTTTATTTGAGTGAAATATAGTTTAACAAACGCCATAAATCATACTCTGAAGAGATTAGATAGGGTGAATCGTAACATACACAGGATCTTTCCACTAAATTTTCCAAATCATACCCGAAAAAACAAATTACCAGGAGGAAGTCCAGAAAAATAATGACTATTATTTATCCAGAACAAATCAGGATCCTGGTTTTCAATTTGATGCCCTAATATTAACAGTCAAGTATACAGGAATGATCTTAAACATTTAAAGTCGAAAAAATTTCAGATCGAATTTTCTCAGACAAGTACCTAAAATTTCACGACCACCTATTCAGTTATGTATTCACATCTACGTTGCTATGTTTAATTTCCGTTAACGTGAATAGTTTAATTTAATATAATCAATTAAAAAGATGTTTGAATTAATTTGTGTTTTGAAACCAACATCAATCTGTTTTGCAACACCGACAAAAGACAGCAGATCAAAAACAAAAACACTGTTTTCAGGAATTTACAGAGAGAAGATAAACTTAATATTCGTTGACATTTTACAGTAGTGATTGTTTATTATTTTTGGGAAGTACACGAATGCTCGAAGGTGAATGACTTGTTTGTTTCTCTTTACACCAGGAGATTTCATTGATGATCTCCATGGGGTGGTGATGATGTTCTGTATTGCTTAAAGCCAAACAAAATGATTATCCAAAAGTTATTGACTTTCTCCCCAACAAAGGTTAAGTTAACAACCATCTACTACTTATCTCTCTATCCCTTGAACCATCAATCATTTATGAGTTCGCATTCTTGATATATAAACTCTTTGATACACTTTTGGTTTGTGTATTCTAGAGTGGGAACAGAAAGTTAATAGAATTTATAGACTTTTTTTAGTTTCAGAGATCACATACTACTAATGCTTTCACACTGTTGAAATGTAGTCTACTTACCTTTCTGCGTAATCTTCGGCAGTCACAACGTTTATTAAATCGCTGAGACTATATACATCATTATAGATTTAAATGCAACACTGCAACATAGTTCTGTCTTCGAGGTTCATTACACATATACTGTACCATCTCAACCATTATACCTACGTGTGGATACTTCTGTATATATGGAAATAATCAGACGGCCAGATTGTTTATCTGAGACTGTCCGAAAAGTAATGCATGCCAGTGTTAAAAATATACTTAATCGTATGTTAGAACTATCGATTATTTGCGGGTCAGGTATAAAGACTGGCTCAATAACAACTTGAGTACTTAAAATACGTATACCATTGTGCATTTGATAGAAAAATATCTATCCCAGTGGCAAAATTGATCTTTTACTTGAATTCCTATAAATTTCTGCTTACGTACATTTGTTTCATTATGGTTGTTGGTTATCACAAAAACTTTTAATCGGTTTGATATTCTTCTTTCTTTGTGCTTTTGCACAATTCAACAATTGATGCCTATAAATATTTTAATAGAAGTTTCGATGGCTTCATATGCCTGATTTTTTGGTGCATTAATTAGCTGCTTATCAAACCTGAGGGTTGACTGCTTCACTACTGAGTAGTTATTATTGATGAAAACTTTATTTAACAAGGAACAAATTTTGAATATTTACCATGATGCACAAATAAACTAAACCATATTGCCGCTATATTTGTTTGCTTGATCGTGTCAATGAATATTTTGTAAATTTCTTTCTACTTGTTATTTGTACAATTATGTAGGTATCCTTGTGGTTCACCAGCTATTATATGGTCATCAAGTCCCTTAATTTATCACAAACCATGTGAAAATCTTGATAATTCTGATTCATCATCAGTAAATAAAGGGAAAGTAAATAAAGCAAATAAACCTAAACAATTTCTTCAAAGTCCATCTATACCTTTACAAAAATCTACCACAAACGTTACTATCGCTACTACTTCTACTACAATCAATAGTAGTAGTGGTATACCAATGTTAGGAACACAGAATGTTCAACACCGAACAGGATTTTATTTATCGATTTTTGGTATTCCTCTAGTGTTATCGTATAAGTCAGAAGTGGATACGGACATTGGTAAAATTGATAACATATATAATTCACACTTTTCTAAATCATCATCAACAACAGATAATGAAATATCGAGAAACAATAAAAAAGATAATAGTTTCAGTACCGAATTAATCCAGAAGTCTAGAAACACTGCTAGAAAACTAGATTCTGTTAGAGAAAATATATCTAGTAGTTGTAGTATGAACAGTGGCAGTAATTATTCGGAATTTTATCCTGAACAAACTAAAGTCGATGACAATTTACAAAATGAAGATGTTGATGATAAAAAATTTAATATAGGTCCATTGATTGCACATTTTACACCATCTGGAGATGGTATTGTATATTATCCTCATAATATTAATAGTAATAATACTACAATATTTAGTAGCACTGACCACATAAATAACCTTCAACCAGCTAACATTCACGCTATCTTTACAAAAGAATATTGTTATATGTTTAAAAATTCTAATGGAGAATTAGAATATGAATTTCCATCTTTCACAGAAAAAAGTCTACATGACCCAACAATAAGATATCCAGTTACATTGGATATAAATTTAAACCGTTACATTAGATTAGTTCGTACAAACTCTCATGATTTGACAATAATATTTAAGACAGAAGAAGATGTGCTACTTACTATTGACTGTTTTCAAAACCTCTACTCAAATGATAGTGGTGAATGTGATACATATGATCACCCAATGAATTTCGAGGATAAATCAAAACAACTCAAACAGGTAAATGATCTTTTTATGAGTTTGTATGTATGGAACAAAAATTTTCCGGACTAGTATTTTTTGATTTAAAGCAAAACTAAGTTGTAGTCTTTGTCACTGTCGATATCATTGTTAATTGAAATAAGTATATGCTACCTCCTACCTCTTTGGTTATTGAGTTCATATGATGTTAAACAAACCCAAAATATGTGATATCAATTAGAGGACTTAGAAGCTATTGCAATTTAATTTATCAGTCCCCAGTTCCGCAAACCGACTATCCTAGACGAGATACAACTGAAAGGTTATACGTTTCATAATGGCTGGGTTATCACTCCGTTATTGGACAAGATTTCCTACTCAATTAGGGTAATGGTGTTATACGATCATCATCAATTACTTTCAATGAAAATCGATCGTGCTACTTCGCAAATTATCCTAAAATATCGTGCTGCACTTTCAGATATCTACCCAACTACTGAACATCTGACAACAAGTAAGTCATCACATTACTTGACCCAACGTTGCTAAGCTTCTACTGATAGCCACCTCATGTAACGAATAAATGAGCTGACCCCCTATTCATTCTTTTCTACTTGTTAATGGGCCAAATACACGCTTATTATCAATCCTTACTTTATAAAAACTATAACCATGATACATAAAATTAATTATACTGTTAAGCATTTTATACTGTAACCATGAGAAAGTAACAACTAGAAAAATGGTTGAACATTCGAAATAGAATTGAGTACATACAAAATATTCTGATTATTCGTCAAGGATTGAACAACGAAACTCCAAAAAAATCAAAACAACAATTCCAACTCCTGTAACATGAAGTCGTAATATGAAGTTTTGAGTTAATATATTTATGAATGTATTGACTCATTCTGTAAATTTGACTCATACAAATAACATATTTTTTTACTAGAGATGTAAGTGGTTCGGTATCACTTAGAATTATGTAATGTAATTGAATGATATACAGTGCAAACTGAAAACTTCATAAACAGATGGCATTTCACCTTTAAAACTCGAATGAAATTCATCTATGTAGGTTCTTTATGAAGTCCTAAAATGAATGATAGAAACATAAGTCGGTGATTTTTGATAACGAAAAATAAGTAACTAGATGAAAGATACAAAATGGTGCTTCTCTTCTAATGAGGATGTTTCAACAGATGTTATGGATTGGATACATATTCAATGTCTTCTGAATTGGTGAAAATGGGGATAGAAATAAAGCTCTGAGCTAGATTTTCACTCCAGAAAACACTAACATGTCAATGTATTGTATCATTGCTTAAATTTGTTTTCCACTGAAATTAAGTTAGTACTAAGGACTATGGGAAGTGTAGGTTTTTCGAAGGTTGTAAAAATTACTAAGATGAAATGTATTTGGATGATTATTTATGGTGGATAATTATTCTTAACCAGATCAGTGTTACCAGAACAAATGAAGATACGTCTAGTTCTCTACACTACTTGCTAGTTGTAGATAGTAAGTCCGCAATATATAAAAACAAACAATATTGTGTAAAAGAGTGATCAATAAATAACGAAAATAATTTTGTGAAAGAAAGAAGACTTTCGATCAAAGAAAGCATCAACGAAAACAGAGCTAAAGCTAGCATACTCCAAGTGATTGGCTCAGCGTCTTATCAATTCAGCGGCGAAATCTAGTCCCCTATAAGTTATCGGCGTCACTTTAGTCAAAAAAATTGTTCTTTAATAGGGAAACTGCGCAAAATTGTTTATTTTATCAATTTTTTAAGTTTAGCAATTACCCATTATTACCATTCAGAATGGCGATTCGTCAGTCACTAGCGAATTTTTATGTAGAGTAACTCCTGAAATGTTTATGTAGTCTATGGAGACTACTGATATATTGTGAAAGTATGTACTTACTGGAAAAATAAATGGATTATCATAATATATTGAAAATTGGGGTAGTATTAATAATACAATAACTTATATTGATCATTTAATTGGAAGATTCGATGATACATACACATCATTAACAGCAGCGTGTGTTCATTCATCCTTTTTCTTACCTTAGATCCTGAGCGGTGTAATCTTTTTATGCGTTTTGTTCTTTCTATACCTAATCTTTTCTTCCACTATTACTACTGACATGGTTAATACTATACAACTCTAAGATTAGTTTCCAGAATTTTATTGAGCTCCTCTAATGTATTGTGCCAAGTTCCATGTTGTATATGACTTACAGCTGGTGATGATGTTTATATCTTATTATACACACTGCATTTATATTTTGCTGTTTTTCAAGTGAACATAAATTTATTTTGTTTTTTTTCTTTTTATCTATTTTTAAATCATCACTATTTTCTATTAGCAGTTTGTTTTATCTAAATTACCATTTTTGAGTTCAATCGTCGATAATACAAATCAAAACAAACAACTTTTAATGAGCAGAAAACGGAAAGAAGTAAGTAGCTACTTAGTAACAAATAAAAAATATAATTGAATATACACCTTTTAAGAGAAATTTAAATTAAATTAATATCCTTTTTAACTAGACCACTGGATTTTAAAACAGTGGTTTTAAGGTACATTTTAGTTCTCCAAGGTTATTCAGCCGATATCATTGCACGATATAAATCAATCTCAGTGTGAGCATTATATACAAACTTCTTATTAACCACTATTACAAAAGTGATATGAAATAATATACAATTGAGCACTGATTGTTATACTGTGATTGATTAATTTACTTTATCTATTCAAACTAGTTAACCACAGCACAAACTAATCGGTAGGTTGCACTTCTGATTACCCTATTGAAATAAGTGGGAGTAAATCTCTACGCCTGTGGCTCTACTAGGGTCAATACCGGTCCGAAGCCCGGATAAATGAAGACAGTTGGGCTGCGGAAATCAGAAGACACAACTTGGCAGCGCTTGTAATAAGTGAGACCCAGGGGATCCAAACTGAAAAGAAAACGTTAGCTTTGGTAGAGGTGATGTTGTACTTTGGTCGTCAAAACATTTATAGGATGAGAATCTCATGGGTCTAGGATCATCAAAGCATTCTTCGAAACAAAGAAGGAGGGAATTACAATGAATGATATCCAGTGTCATGCACCCACAGGTAATTGCAATGAAGACGATAAGGACCAATTTTATGAGAGGCTGCAATTGATCGTAGAGAGGTGCTCAAAAAGAGACCCGACTATCATCATTATAGGAGACCTAAAAGCCAAATTTGTAATGGACAACACTGGATATGAAGATATCATGGGACGACATGGATTGACTGGGAGAAAGAAGCAAGAATATAAAGAGATCTACAAATCTATGTGCATTCAACAAATTATTCATAGGCCGCACAATATTTCCACACGAACGCATACACAAGGCTAAGTGTGGGTCACTGGACTGCATCACGGAGATCGATCATACGTGCACCAGTGAAAAATTTAGGTCAGTGAAAGATGTGAGAACCAGAAGTGGAGCTGTCATAGCTTCAGATCACCACCTAGTGGTTGTCAAGATAAAACTGAGGCTAAAGAAGAATTGAGCAACTGGACAAACAGTATCGCAAAGATTCAGTGCCCCATTCCTTCGATATATTGACAAACTCAACCAATTCAATATAACTCTCAACAACAGGTTCCAAGCATTACAAGGTCTACTGAAAGAAAAGAAACTACTATGGAGGACAATATGAAAAAAATTAAAGAAGCACTGATTTCATCATGCCAGGAAGTACTGGGACGCAAGAAACATCATCATAAGGAATTGATCTCTACAGAAACCCTGGATAAGATTCATGAAAGGAAAAATGGGAAGACAACAGTTAACAACAGTCGGACATGAACACAGAAAGTCAATGTACAGATCGGATACACAGATTTCTCAACAAATTACAATGTTGGATAAGTATATTAAAAATGAATACCTTCAGAAAATGTCAATAGTTGTCGTCATTTTATATGATAACTCATTATAGGTATCCAAATAACCATATGAGTTCTAGTAAAGACACCTCATCAACATGATATAATTTTCCTGTTTTCTTGTAATCTGGAAACGCTAATTAATATAGTTTAAAAATTTTCAAGTCAAACTTTCGAAACCTATTGCTTGAGGTTGTGTAAAACTTACACCAGTTGTGGTTAGCATTTGAGGATCGGCTGATAGTGTTTCAATTAGAATGTGATTGGGTGACGAGCGAAAAACCCAGTTGAACTTCCCAGTGGATTATTCAGTTCATCATTTTAACTATGACTTTCGAGTTGATCAGTTATTACATGATTTCTGAGAGGTAATACTAGTAGTATTGTAAGTCTCACCGGAAAATGTTCGTAAATTCTTACTTAGTGTGAAATATCACTTTTAAACGAAAAAACAAGCATAAATGTTTGTGTTAAAGCAATTAGGTAACATTTAGTGTAATATAGCATAATTTTCTACACAGTGTGGTTTAAACTATCGATGATAATCGTTTTTTTAGAGAATTAAGAAATTTATACCGATTCTACGTATATAACAATTTTTGCATAAATAAAAGCTTCTTGATACGGAATATAATTTACTGAAAACCATTCAGTTATATTGTGGTGTGGGATACTTATATCCACATAATTAGTATAAAGTGATGGGCGGGCATAAAATGTACTTCAGTAGAAGATCGATAATGAAAGAACGGGAACGAAGCGCGATTGGTGTGAAAATGTGCGGACAAGAATAATCGGAGACGATGAACTGATATTTACAAAAGGGACGGTCAAGATTGAGTCACATTTTAGTAAGATAGTTTGTAATTTGTGCCTAAAAACATTCGATTGTCCCCGCCCGTGTTCTTGTTCACTACAATATCAAGACCTTAATTTAGTTTTCAGTTCAACTAGTAGCCAAAAACCATCAAAATATAATCAACCATAACAGTGAATGCTTCAATAATACATCGCGGAAATATATCTATTAGCCACAACTATTTATTTGTTCATTGATTTTTATTGCACATATATAACTAACCATGTAAGCACCGATATTGATCAAATTTTGTGTGAGCCGTTATCATATGACGCTGTATGAGCATAGCATGGATCCAAGAAAATAAGTATAAATAAGACGTCATTTTTAGTAAATAAAATAGAAATTAATCCATAAAGTTATTAGTTCAAAGAGAAATTCAAAATATAAAGATAGTTTTGAATTTTGATTGGAATCAATTAGCTTAAAATTAACTGATGAACAAGGTGCACTTGGAGAATATTTTTTCACTTCTTTAGGGATTGGATGACCTATTCAGTGTACAATGAAACGAAGAACCATGTACTTATTTATAATCGATAATTTTGATGTTTGATTATATTTCCTTGAAAAAGCTTGGACCAGATTACCACACGAAACGTTGGATTTACTACAAATTCATTCGCTGAGATTTTACAAATATATTATTCCTAATTAATGATCACATGTACGTTTATTAATCTCCGTCTTGACAGATGTTATCTGTAGATAGTCAGTGGATAGATTAATAAACGAATCAGTCTTATTCTATTTAAACTTTTACGTTGATCGTAAGAAAATCATGAAGATTAAATAAGTCTACTTGTGCATAAGATATTAATGTTAAATGTTTGTTTTTTTGAAAAATGAAACGAATGAAATAATGAATTCACTTAGTATTGTTTGTTTGAATCTTCTCATTGATGTTTAGGACTGCTACTGGTCAGTCTCTAATTAAGGCTATATCGAGGCAATACACACAGTATACACATATGCCAATAAGAGACTGATCAATTGCAGTCCTAAACATCAATTGGAAAATTCAAACAAACAATACTAAGTGAATTCAAACTTTACCCCCATTGCACAAGCAAGTGGCTATCAGGACTCAATATGTGAGTGGATAACTCGATAGTGTTTGAAACGAACGGTACTGAGTTCGAGTCCCAGAGTGAACATCAACTCTGAGATGCAGGTAGATCCAGCCGACGAGTTTCAAATAGGATGAAACGCGCATCCTGGATTCCACTGCTAGCCACTAACCATCCTTGCTTAGAATGAAATAATGGTTTCGATTTATTCGATTGTATGAAGCAAGACCGGAAAGAATGAAAGAAAAGTGTGTGCGAACTTTACTTAAACAATTTATTTTTAATGACTGGATATTATGAAATAATAATTAATGATTTGATAGTTTGATGTATGTAGGTTGTATAATGAGTTTCAATTTTACTAAAGTATAATCAGAAAAGCAATTAGTATGTACTCGCTTAATTGGTATCTTAGTGAAATTTTAAAATTATTCCGGCTGTGTTTTAAACAAAATCACTTTCAAGCGTCAACGAGCCTAACTGGAAGAAATAAATAATGGTCACTTCAAAGTCTTACCTACTTATTTTGTCTAATCATAATGTACAGTATTTATTAACAGCAAATTCTTATGTTTAATAACATTAATAAACCCCTCTTAAACGTTTTATAATGAAAGGTAAATGTCAATTAGTATTGTTTTTTTATAATCTTCCCATCGATGTGTTAGGACTGCAGCTGGTCAGTCTCTAATTGGCATATGTGCATACTGTAAATGTATTATTAAAAAAATTTTCATGGTAACGTAAAATTTACAAATCAGGGTAACAGTATTATTTTGCTTACAACCATAATGTTTAACATCAGTTCAATAGTATGTAACCTAATGAAACCCCATAACTTGTGATCAAGCTATTATAATCCTAATATCGTGTATATACCCTGAATTTTCAGTATCTATAGTTGGCACAAAATAACCCCACTTAACCCACATAGCCCAACCTCAGAATATTTGGGAAACCACTGACTAAATTAGTTGATAGTACCAATATATCTTGAGTTTTTAAATAGAAAACGTTGAATTTAAAATGAAATTGATGAAATTAAAATTAAGCATCAAATAAGTTAACACTAGCCACTAACCTGGATTTCTAAGCCTTAACTAAAATAAAAAAGAATGTAAGAGTTTTACGGAAGATTTTCTTTTTCTAGTAAAGCATGATAAATTATACTATGAATGCTAATGGATAACAGCTGTTATAATGCAGAATTGGTGCCTTCAATTGTTTTTAAACGGTCAGTTCTATTGCATTATTACCTAGGCGTAATTTTTAGATCTTTTATTCATTACTACTACATATTTTATGACCAACTATCTTAAAAAGTCTAATTTACTATACATTTTTTCTAAACTGATGTGAATATCGGTAGTTAATATTTTGTTGTAGTGTAGTCGTAACAAAAATACCTTGTTTATCAGGAACACCTAATTTGCAATTTAATCAAACGTTATTTAAATGACCTTTGATCATCATGTTTATTCGTTGTTCATATTGTCCTCACGTAATAGATATTCTACATATATAGATCCCTATGCTGAACTTAGTGTTTTTGATTGATTTACATTTTAAAGAGACGAACATAGTTCATTGACTAACTGATCTCATTAAATTGAACATATTTCACTAAATGAAATGTGTGTAACCCAAACAAACATTTTTGGAAAAACGATTCTACATAGTTATTAGTCATTTGATCTGTAATCATAATAATTCTAATGTTTCTAAGCAGAGATGAATGGTGGTTAGTATTGAAGTCCAGGATGTCCGTTCCTTACTATTCGGAGCTTATAATCTAGACGCACTTGCATCCTAGAGTTCATATTCACTCTGCGAATCGAACCCAGTACTGTTCACTCCAAACGCTAACGTATCATCCACTTAGTTACTGAGTCCAGATATAAATATGAATATTTGTTACTTTTTATATAGTAAGCGTAAGCCAGCTGTAGATAATTTCTTTTATAGAAATAAAATATTTATAAAATTCCAATCCTAAAGAATATTTAAGCCTCAGAAAAGACCTCCGAATAATCCTGTAGAACTGTAGAATCTACTAAACAGATCAGAAATAGCTGTAAAAGTTATTTTCAACGACCACCAAATCGATTTATTCGACTTTATAATTTTAAATCGTGATGCTGATAATCATAACTATAATAGTTTTTCTATAGAGATTTAAAATCTGTCTTGGGGTTCAAACACTCAATCGTGCTACAGATTTATTTATCATCAGTTCTCTATAAGTCGATCATAAGTGCACACTAAGTAAGTATTTTATAGTTTCAGGGACCATAATACTCAAGAAACGAATACAATACCAAAATGTACAGTCTTATTTTGGTTACCTGTAATTATCGAAACACAATTACAGTGCATCGTAATGAAGAGTTACATTGTAGTGAACAGAACACGAGTAGGGACAATCGAATGTATTTAAGCGCAAATTACAGACCGTCTCACTAAAACCTGATAACCTTACTATAAACAGTTAATTTGCAAACTAACAATTAATTGTCTCAATCCTGACTGTTCCTTCTGCAAATATCAGTCCGTCTTCTCTGATTTCATTGTTCATACATTTCCATACTGATTGCGCTTCATTCCTGTTCTTTCTTGATAGATCTTCTGCCAAAATACATTCTATGTCTGACCATCACTATATACTACTTATGTGAATATAAGTAACCCACACCACAACATCACGAAGTGGTCAAATCAGAAATGTGATCAGTGACCACTTAAAACTAGATAAAATAACTTCTGCGGCTTCACAGTTTTCATGTATGATAGACGAATATTTGATTTAGACTTAGAATTAATACAAACAACATTTGGGCTTAATCCTATCCTTTAAATTGCACCAATGAGTTTATTAAAGAAAAAGTTATTATAAATGAGTATATAAGCTTTTAATAAAATTTAAACAAACTGTAAATATACATAATCATATTAATTACCATACTTTGTTTGTTAGGAGAGTTTACAAAAGTTATTTAAAAATATTCCACCAAATGATGATTTACAGTCACTTTCAAGGCATCTCACTGAGTCAATGAAACAAATAAGGTTAGTCTATTAACTGTACTCACTTACTTTTTTAAAAAAATTAGTATTCTAAAAATTTACGGAATGTAATGTGTTCTTGTTTTGTTTCATGGTTTGGAATATCTTTACACATATACCCTAAAAATGAGAACAAATAGTTTAATTACCAATTTGTTTAAAATCAAGAAAAGTAGTTATTCTCACTCAAGCCTAAGGGATGAAGATTAGGTGACTTAATTAGATTCATTGGCAATCAGATACTGAGAGAGGTTACTTTTTATAATGAGGAGTTAATAAATCATAAAAAATCAAAATGTCTTGTCAGATATTGCACTGTCAGTTATAATCCATTTCATTATAACTTTTCATAGGCTTTCTTTTGTAGTGTTATGATCTCTGAAGTGAATGATTTACTAGCTAACTTTTTATAGTTATTCAGGACAACAATGTCATTTAATTCCTTGCTAATCCCACTCTCTGAAGATCAAACTAACACCGTGGACCTTAATATTATGAGTAAAAATGGCTAGTACAATTTATATTATTTGTCTGGCCAGAACCAAGATGTAACTAAAAATCATTTTAAGATTTGCCAGGGTATCTAGATATTGATTAAGGTATCTTTGTTTAGTCCCATTCTGAATACACGAATAAATGTATGTATACACATGTGTTTATGTATTTTTCTTGTAAACTACAAAATTTGTTATTCCTTTAATCATTTGACACACATGTCTATATATTATCAGACGGGGTTTTTTGTGGAGATTTAGTATTTTCATAGTTGAAAGCGTGAGTAAGTTGAAGCTAGACCACCATGGAAAACCTGGAAGCACTGGACCGCCGTTTCATCCCATTGTCAGACAGCTCGGCAGTGCGCATCCACGACCTCGCCTCACGAGATTCCAACCCAGGATCTACGAGTCCCGCGCCAGATCACTTAACCGATAGACCACTGATCCGGCATCCCATGGTGTTTATGTCTAACTCCAACCAATCCAGGAGTTCTAGTGAGAAGTAGTAACCAGTGGAGTTCATACCACGTCTGTTGTGAGATAGGAACTCACTGAAGGCAATTGGTGAACGGTTGCTCAATTTTGTGGATTGGTTGGAGTTAGACATAAGAACCATGAGATGCCGGCTCAGTGGTCTATCGGTTAAGTGCTCTGGAGCGAGACTGGAAGGTCCTGGGTTTGAATCTCGCGAGTGCGGGATCGTGGATGCGCATTGCTGAGGAGTCCCACAATAGGATGAAACGGCGGTCCAGTGCTTCCAGGCTTTCCATGGTGGTCTAGCTTCAATTGACTCACGTTTTCAACTATGAATATATATATATATATATATATATTACTTACTTACTTACGCCTGTTACTCCCAATGGAGCATAGGCCGCCGACCAGCTTTCTCCAACCCACTCTGTCCTGGGCTTCCTTTTCTAGTTCTACCCAGTTCTTGTTCATTCTTCTCATATCTGTCTCTATTTCTCGGCGTAATGTGTTCTTTGGTCTTCCTCTTCTCCTTTGACCTTCAGGATTCCATGTGAGGGCTTGTCTTGTGACGCAATTAGCTGATTTCCTCAAGGTGTGCCCAATCCACTTCCAGCGCTTCCTCCTGATTTCTTCCTCTGCTGGAATCTGGTTTGTTCTCTCCCACAGTAACTTATTGCTGATAGTGTCTGGCCATCGGATCCAAAGTATCTTGTATAGACAACTGTTAATAAACACTTGTATCTTCTGGATAATGGCTTTCGTAGTTCTCCACGTCTCCGCCCCATACAGTAGAACTGTCTTCACATTTGTATTGAAAATTCTAACCTTGGTGTTGGTTGACAATTGTTTTGAGCTCCAGATGTTTTTCAGTTGTAGGTATGCTGCTCTTGCTTTGCCGATCCTCGCCCTCACATCTGCATCTGATCCACCATGTTCATCAATGATGCTGACCAGATATGTAAAGGTTTTCACATCCTCCAAAGCTTCTCCATCAAGTGTAATTTGATTGGTGCATATTGTGTTGTATCGGAGAGTCTTGCTTTTCCCTTTGTTTATATTGAGACCTACTGCTGCTGAGGCTGCTGCTACACTGGTCGTTTTCTCCTGCATTTGTTGTTGCGTTTGTGATAGAAGAGCCAGATCATCCGCGAAGTCTAAATCGTCAAGCTGCATCCTGTCTGTCCACTGTATCCCGTGATTTCCTTTAGATGTTGACGTCTTCATGATCCAATCGATGACCAGGAGAAAGAGAAAGGGTGAGAGTAAGCAACCTTGCCTTACACCGGTCTTTACTTCAAACGAGTCGGTGAGTTGTCCTCCGTGGACGATTTGGCAGTTTAGTCCATCATAGGAGTTCCGTATGATGTTGACTATCTTCTCAGGCACGCCGTAGTGTCGAAGAAGCCTCCATAGTGTCGTCCTGTCCACGCTATCAAATGCCTTCTCGTAGTCGATGAAGTTGATGTAGAGTGATGAATTCCATTCGATTGATTGTTCCACAATGATCCGCAGAGTTGCGATTTGATCTGTGCACGATCTATCCTTACGAAATCCAGCTTGTTGATCTCGAAGTTGGGCGTCCACGGAATCCTTCATCCTGTTTAACAATACTCTGTTGAAGACTTTTCCTGGTATTGAGAGAAGAGTGATGCCCCTGTAGTTGTCGCACTTGCTAAGATCGCCTTTCTTTGGTATCTTGATCAGAAGTCCTTTTTTCCAGTCTGTTGGTACTTGTTCTTCGTCCCAAATCTTACTGAAGAGGATGTGGAGTATCTTGGCAGTTGCTGTTACATTTGCTTTCAGTGCCTCTGCCGCGATGTTGTCTGGTCCCGCTGCTTTGCCACTCTTGACTTGTCTAATGGCCATTCTGATCTCTTCAATTGTTGGTGGGCCAACATCGATTGGGAGGTCTGTGGGTGCTGCTTCGATGTTGGGTAGGTTCAGTGAAGCTGATCGATTTAAGAGTACTTTGAAGTGCTCTACCCACCTGTTTCGTTGTTCTTCAATGTCGGTGATTACTTTGCCTTCCTTGCTTTTCACTGGTCTTTCTGGCTTATGGTAATTTCCAGCAAGTTTCTTGGTTGTATCATACAGTTGTCTCATGTTTCCCTCTCTTGCAGCCTTTTCCGCTGTCATCGCTAAATCTTCCACATATTTACGTTTGTCGGTTCTGATGCTCCTCTTCACTTGCTTGTTTGCCTCTGTGTATTCGGCTTGTGCCTTGGTTATATATATTGCCGTAATGTGTTAATGGTTTTCTACCAGGTATCCCGTTAATAAAATTGAATAGTTACAAGATATTTTTACTGATATACAAATATTACTAACAAAAATTAGGCAAGAGTTTACTAAGAGTATACTTTGAATAGTTTGGTTTACAAAATATGCTTGTTCAAACTAGCTCAAACTAATTACGTCATCCAGTATTGTTTGTTTGAATCTTCCCATCGATTTGTTAGGACTGCAACTGATCAGTCTCTAATTGGCATATGTGCATACTGTGCGTATTGCCTCGATATACCTTAATTCACAAGCATGATTAGCAGAGATGGATAGTATCATCAATGTCATCAATGTATTTATAAATTCTACAAACTAAGAAGTTAAGAATGATAATAATTGTATAGAAGTAATATATCCTAATACTTAGTTCCTATGAATTTACCAGTTTAATCTTTCTGTCTCTTCACAGCTTTCTTTGTAACCAATGGCTGGAAATAATGCGCCACTGTCTAGGTCTTCAGAGACAACGTACTCCATCACCACGAAGTGCACACCAGTTACTTCGATACAGAGTATGTTTATGATAAACATATTACTAATTTGACGACTAATTATATTTCTTGTATTGAAGCGAAATGGACTTCACGGTATTAGCTTGATTTATATTTGATAACTTCGTTATAAAAATTACGCTTATTAATTCAGTCGTCTGATATTTTCAACTTTAAACAGAATGTTCGTTTATAATGAGGTATTAGGACAGATGGATACACCAAATACCTCTTAGTATTGAACGATATTCAGTAGAAATTTATTTAAAAAGAATTAAAATGTATGCGAATGTTCATTACATATTATATTGTAATAAAAGTAGACCAGATAACATAACTAGGAGACACGTTAAGTAAACTCATTTTACACAACCTTGCATTCAATCACTAAACTTACTTTATAAAATGTGTTGATTCACCTAGGTTATTGACCAGATCAGAAAGTCGATTGACAAAATGTATTCTGCTTTCAAGACTAGACAACCCTGATTTTTCATTGAAATGGTCCAAAAGAACTAGTGTATTTACCCCAAATAACTTGAGAATAAGGAATGAATAGCCAGTATTACCAACTTCAACTAACTTTAGTTCGTGATGAAAACTGATTGGAAACTGGATAATCTTCAGGAACCCCTTACTTTAATGATGACCAGGTTCTGACTGGTGACTAGCTTCAATGATTTTTAGTGTAAAACCTTGTCTGAAGTAGTTCATCTATATCAGAAATGATCACACTAGATCACGAAACCATTGAAGTTAGAAATATTGACCGTTATTTGTTAATTTGGAGGTATGTGGCCGCAATTTTCACCGAACCGTCTAAAGTTCCCAGGTTTGGTCCACAGAGCAACTAGGCATTCTCACTATCGCGAAGTTCTTAACTAAAAATGAACAACTTATTAATGTATTTTAGTCTTCAAGTGTCCTTCAACTAAAGTAAGCTCGCGATGAAAACAATCATCTCTAGGTAATTCTTAAACTTAGATGTTTAAAGTTCAAAAAATTTGATTATCTCATAAAAATTGTTTATTGTTGTAAAATATGTTCTTCAGAGTCTTGACTATATGACAAAAGGATATGGAACATTTACAAATGTATCAACTGCTAACCGAGCAAGTGATTATAATTCATCGGTTCACTCTGATAAACTTATTTGTAACTCATTCGAACAAAAATCGATAAGATTATCGAAGTCCACTTCAGAAAGGAATATCAGCAAAACATCTTTTAAAAAAGAATATCTGGATACATTCTTTACAAACGACAAGAATAAGGCGTAAGTGTCACTGAAACAAACTTGGGCTTAAATGATATGTTCGTAAGTAGAAAAGTGATCAGTGGTAATTTGTTACATAATTGACTGATTTTCTGTATTGTAAATACTTTTCAAGCATTTTACTGATTTCACTTAGACATTTAAACTAGAAAGAATAGATGGCAGTATTTATTGTTGAAAGACGGCGACAATTGCATTTTACCAGTTAGTAATCGCAACGCTGGTCACTAATTAGAGGAAATAGCTAACGCTTGGGATTCTATTTATGCTTTCTAAACACTTCTTCCAGCGTGATTACTTTATCACTACCAAAATGTTAGGATTAATTGGTCGATATCAATTGAATTGAACCTTCCTACCATTTCAGAGCTAACTGTAAATCAAATGGTGTATACTTGAATTAGTCAAAACAATTGTTTGAGGTTACACGTTAGCGAAATATAGATACGAAAGAACAGTGATAATAGGATTAGCTAAAGAGTAGTGCAGATTTGCAGCTCAAAATGAATTTTGTGGAGTTTCATTCTCTGTACTGGATGGTTTGATGAAATTTTCATCGTTTTTCTGAACAAAATCAGCAAACTTCATGTAGAAGTAGGGTATATCAATTTCATCACAAATGACTGACATCTTGTCCTACTAACCTTAGTAAATACATATAGGTATACATTGTAGAATTTTACTTTTCAGTAGTACAAAATTATTACACTGTTGTTGCAAACGACAAATTTCTTTCACAGTTATGCTAAGTGTTTATCTGGTAGTTAAAGCGCCTTTGATTGATAATTTACAGGTCTGAAGTCTGATTTATCTCCTCAGATTTTTGGCAACCGGATAACTATAACTTACACTAAATGAATTTACCACTAGGCTATCATAATTAGCCATATTCGGGCATTTTTCATAGAGTTATGCACTTAAAATTTGTAATATGTGCATGAATGGCCATCGTGATAAGAAGTATCTTGACAGTTGATTCTTTTTTGTAGAATTTCTTGAATTCTGTTATAAAGTATTAAAGCTGAATAAATAAATAAGTGTAGGTTTTCTGGACGACAATAAGTCATATTTATTAGGTGAGCACTTGAGGTAATATTTGACAGTTAAAAGCGGAGTAGATGAAATAAAGCTGTAAATTAATATTTTACACTGAAATCATGGTTACGGCATTTTTGAACAAATTACATGGTTATTATTTGTGATTTTTCGCACTTAAAGAAAATAATGACGATGTATACAATTCATTTATAGACCACTGATCATAGGAAATGACAAATCTTCTGAAGCAATACTTATGAATGAAAACTTTACGAGTTCCCTAAATACTGAAAACAATCAAAAAATGATGATGGGAAAACATTATTCAATTGTTAATGCAGCAGATATTTTTCCAGTTGCATGTCCAATATTACTTCGATTATGGTTGAATGAAATAAAACACCACAAATATTTTAAACATTTAAACAAACTTAGACAATTAGATGAGACTACATTACAACACAGTGTTGAACTAAACCATGATGAAAATGAATCATTAGAAAAAGCTTTTATAGACATTTTAATTAATCCATCGAAATTCGACAATCAGCTTATGTCGACTTTGAGTACGTTATCAAATAAAGGTTGTCGATGCAGTCGTCATACACCACCGGCTATCACTGACTTAGAATTTGATATATTCTTGAATAAATTGATGCAATCATATCAGGCTGCAGTGATTATCGTTTACGATTCCAGGTAAGACATATTTTCGTAAAAAAGTATTATAATGAATTTCTGACTCAATTTGTATCCGGTACTTACTTTATATATTTTTAAAAATCAATGAAAATTTATCAGACTGAGTTAGCCTTAAATTGTATGATTATAATCAAAAAAGTCCAACTTATAAGCCCGTGCTCTGACTCCATAATGAACGAATGAGCCATGAACATAAATTACTCGTTTACTCTCGTATACTCTACTTACAATAATGCCGTTTAGGCGACAGCGGTAATGAAAAGCCAAACACAAATTTATTTCAGTTATTCGTTTGCTCAGGCACACATTGAGATAATAGATGGAGAGGACCGATGCGTCAATTCAACTTAACTAAAACGTGACCTAACATTTACACCTACGAAAGATACAAGCAAGCATATAGACACATCGTACCATCAAACGTACATGCTCAAGATCACATACAAGAATAATAAAATAACTGAGGTTAGAATAATTCATCAGTCTAAAGGTAAGGATAAATGGTGTAGGCGTGTTGCTAGTTACAACAATCTGATTTAATGAAATATTGAGATTACTAAGGTAGCCAAAATGATTGAACCAATACCTAAAAGCTAAATCAGACAGAATTGCTATTCGATTGATTGAAGATGAATATTTTACGAGAAATTTATAGTACTATTTTCGTGTAAAACTCCACTTGTAGCTCTTCTAGAGTTACTGCCAGTTCCAAGCCCGGGTAAAGGAGGAATGGTTGGGCATGGGGTTAGCGACCCCGCCCCGTAGAAAACTAACTCGCCAAAAAACGCTAACCATAAAAAAATAATTTTTGTGTAAAATATTCAACCTGACTAGTAGAACTATGAACTACTTACAAATTGATGGATAATTGGCAGACGTAAGAGTATATAATCATTATTACAAAACACCTAATGTCTATTCAATTCTACCAGTTGTAGTATTTCTGAACAATAGTTTTATCAAATTTTTAGACTCTTGTTTATTTAAAAGCATCCATGTGAATTCTGTAAACAAAGAACAATAAAATTTACTTCATACACATGTTTTCCTATCTTAACTTAAAGAGAGCTACAATGAAGATTGGTGCAGAAAATTATAGATCCATTTTATTTCGTTTACAACCCATAATATTTTAAAATCAAAGTTATTACAGATATTAACATAATTATACATAAGAGGGTGATTAAAGATGAATATGTGTATCATGATATAGCGGAGATTTCAGTAAAGTTAATAAGGTCATAAAAAATTACGTTTTGGATAGAGTTCGGGAGAAGTTTCAGTACATTGAAATACTGATTAGAACTCATGGAGTTAACAAACATTAGACAATTGTGTAATGAAGAAACTGAAAACAGAATAATGGTAATAAAGAAAGATATGAATTGAAATCAGTCAGCTATGAATTGAAGAAAAACGACAATCATGTAATTTAAACTTCAAAATGACTTGAACTAATGAATGACGTAATGAATAAAAGAAGGGTTTAATGTTATCAGGGCAAAGAAAGATTTATTACTGCCTCTTTTCGGATTCATAGATCTGGTTTTAGACGTTTGATCGCCATCACTTCGGCAAATTTCAAGAGGTTGGAGTTTGATTGTTTGTTCATCACCTTGAAAGACTTCAGTGTTTTGAGTTCATTTTCTGTGTCAAGATGTCTTGCGATGGCACTGCTGAATGCCTTTAATCCATTCGACCTTAAACTTTTGGGAATATGTTCTTTGAATCGGACGTAGGCTCTCCTTTCTGTTTTACTAATGTAACTGCTTAGGCAGATACATGTAAATTTGTATACACAGTTAGTAGTAACATGAAAGGGATACCTATCAACCTTCCATTGTGTTAAGGAACATGTTATTTTGGACAGGACAATCAGTTTAGTTGCAGGATAAGTTCTTGTCAACGCAGTTCTTAATCACATACTGACCGACCCTGTGACATCATCACCCTTGAATTTAAGTTAAATTAAAATAGGTTTTTTTATCTTCCAATTTTTCATATCTCTCAATAAATTTCAGTGGGTATCCGTCATTCCTTAAACACTTCTTAACACTCATTACTTCCTCGTCTAGTGTATCAGTAGTACATATTTCTTTCTGGTCTGCGAAATATTTAGTTTCTTATAATGATAGACAATTTTAATACAAAACAGATTACTGGTCTTATTTACTTCTAGAGTTGAAATTTATTGTCAGGTATATTATTTGAGTAAATATTAATACATTTGCATTTATGAGAATGAAACTTAACACATACAAGAGTCAACAACTTTTAAGACAAGTTAGGGTTTATTTTAAAGTGAAATAATAAAACATTGCCCGTTTTTACAATTTTGCTTTCATGAATCATAAAAAAATAAAGGAGAAGAGCTATTATATTCAGATTTATACTTTTCTATTAATCATTATGATATTACAAATATTAGTATGTGTAATTATAATGATTTATTTACATTTAGGTTGCCAGATGGGATTCATATTGGTACATGTGATCTTCTTTGCCAGTTATACACAAAACAACAAAACACATTACCAACATGTAATCGTACTATGGACGATAAGATTCATATTGTGACTGCAACTGAACATTTCTCAGAAAGATTATACGATAAATACAAAATTGCAGGTACTGGAGCATGTGCATCAATATCCACGAGAATGGCAAACTATAGATTCTTTATTTATGATATAGGGCAAAATTTAAATAATAATGTAAACAACTCTCAGGAATGCCCATTATTACTAAAAAGGTATAATGGACGACCAAAACCGGGTGACTGTTTAATTTTTATTCAGGGAAAACTATGTTTTATTGGGTCGTCTTTCACAGGCTATGAAGAGTTACCATGGTCAAAACAACAGTTGGATAAAAAGGTGGTCCAGTGCAGAAACCAATTAATTAAACAAGGGTTTTCAATACCTACTGATTTCCAATTTGTTTAATAAGGAATTTTTTTATAATTGTGATTTCAATTAAATGATAATAAGACCTTGAAATTAGGTTTTATTGTAGTTTCATTCAATTTATAGACCATCAAAATTGTGGGACAGATATATCATCATAGCATAGCAACACTACTACTAAAACAAATAGTGTAGAATTTATATGAAGATAATCAGTGGATAAAGTCAATAATATGTACTTTCACTATACTGTAGTATTTCAACGTCACGAGAAAAAGCTTCATAGGTAGGGTCTAACATGTTGTGTACACAACATGTTATTGAGAATCAGGTGTATCAATAATTTATTATGTAGGCTATGTTCAAATAACTTGGAATATCATGTCAAGGAAACAATTTGTACTTTCCAATTTAATAATAACATGGTATGCTTAAACAAACTATAAAAGATACATGTTACACTGTTAAATTAAACTAACACATCAATTCTTTCCAAATCTTGGGAAAAAAGAACAGATACTCTGAACATGACAACATTTAGTATTGTTTGTTTGAATCTTCCCATCGATGTGTTAGGACTGCAACTGGTCAGTCTTTAACTGGCATATGTGCATACTGTGCGTATTGCCTCGATACATAACGCGATGGCGTTTGAAGCAAAAGGTACTGGGTTCGAGTCCCAGAGTGAACATCAACTCTGAGATGCAGGTACATCCAGCTGACGAGTCTTAAATAGGACGAAATGCGCGTCCTGGATTCCACTGCTAGTCACTATCCATCTTTGCTTACAATGATAACTTTTAGTTTTAATGCAACCAGACAGGTCGATATTACCCCATAACAGCATAATGACAGAAAGTTGAATAATAAGTAAAATAGGATGGTTTATAGTTTTGTATATATGGTGTTCAGTTTGTATAGAATAGAAAAAAATGAATGCTTCCATATCACTGATGCCTTCTTCCAATAATATGTAATATTTCACGGATACCAACAAACAGTTCAAATACAGTATTTGTGACACGTTAATGTTTGACTACTAGACACTGCACTACTCAAAATTTCAATCATCATCCTCAATACTACAATTACGTCAAATTGTCTTTTGCTATCAGCTCACTTTTGAGGCTGACGTAAATTGTAATTGATCAATGTAGTAATCTTGAAGTGTTATCTGACATTTGACAAATTCAAAGCATGTGTTAAACATTTTCTGTTGTCTTAATAAATGTGTTCATAAAACAAAAACTTTGTATCATTTCAGTCTAAATGAGTTACATTAAATTTGTATACTTGAACTCAATTAGTTGATTCACTCAAAAATAAGATGGAAAACGATTAGCATCGTCTAGTTCTCATATGATGGAGTTTAATAGGAATACTAAAGGTAAGCATTTCTAAACAACACCATAATTTGTATAATAACTAAGAAAACAGCTCTTCTTTAGCTTTTCTATTCTTTTTCTTTAAATATTACAAAAAAAAAGAAGTAATCATGAATAGCAAAATATTTTTTTCAATCTACATGTTCACTAAATAAAAAAATTATCAAAATTGAAATCATGGAAGTTATAAAAAATAACGATCAACTCGGGGAATTTGAAAGTAGGAATAAATAAAATTAAAAATCAAAAAGTATATAAGGCATTGACGATTAAAATAAAACATTAATCAGATATTTTACCGTTCGGCCAAGTTTTATAGTTTATTGAGACAACATCATGTATGTATGTTGGGTAAGTGGTTGCAAAAAAGTCAATTAGTGTAATGTTAATACCATCTGGTCCAGCTAATTGATTTGGTTTATTTAACCATTGTTGATAATATTTTCCAGCTATTTTAGCTAAATGATGAACTGAACCAAATGGATGAAGTAAAATGAATGATAAAGTTGGAGTAAGAATACCTTGGTGCACAGAGAAAGTATTATCAGGTCTATGAAGATGTGGTCTGAAATGGAACAATCAGAAATGATAAAGGCAATAGTTAGACTTTTCCATTGAAATTAAATAAGGTATTTTAGAGACGAACAAACTAACGAACAGTATCGCTAAAGTATAGCTGATAAACAGATTCATAGTCCTCATCCACTTTTATTTCTATTATTTTATAGTCAATCTGATGATTCGCTTAACAGCTGTTTATGAATTTCGTGCATTGTACGCTTGGATACTGAATAAAACATCAAGTCTGTTGAACAAGTGAAGTGAAATATTCAGTTTAGTATATTAAAACTCACTTGGAAATGTCTGAAAAAATTCCAAGAACCACTCGACACCAGTGGTAATTGGAGTATTCATTAGTAAAAGTCAAATAACCAATTGTAGCACGTTTTGGTTTAAGTTGTAGAATCTCAGAAACTGTTGATTAACAACAACATATCTTCTCGATCTGTAGTGAACGAGAACATAGGCTGTGACAACAAAATGTATTTTAATGCAAAATTACAGAATATCTTAATAAATTTGGGAACCGTACAGTAAATACTTCATTTGAAAAATGTCAAACAATTGTCTCACACGTCAATGTTCTTTCATTTCCACACCAACCGTTCTCGCTCTTTTCTATCTTCTTAACCTTCTGCCGCCAGGCATTTCACTTTCGATTGGTGATACTTACTACTTATATCCATCGACATCAGTAGCACACACCACAGGTCTACTTTGATTTAAATGAACAAGTAGTTTAGTTCCTACGCCGTATATAACAGGCTTATTTTATAGATTAGTACTTGACGATCATCCATGATGATGTTTTCTAACAAGCAACATTATCAACTTTAAAAGCGACGGCTTAATACTGCATCTTATTATCTCACATATGTGTTAACCCTAAGATAATTACGTTATCTTGTATGACGGTACGTTCTCAAAATTTACCAACTTGCATTAACACTAAAAACAAACTATGAAAAAATACAGTTATGCTTCTTGTTTCTAAGTCAGGAAAACTACATGCTTTAGGATACATATAAAAAAACTGATCTTCGTCCCATTAATTTTTTCATGAAAGGAAACAAAAAAACAGTGGATTGTTAATAGTAGTTGCTATTCATAGTAATCTCTCAAGTAAGAAAAACAAAGAGACAAACTAATAAATCTGAACCTGATACAGACGTCAGAACGAAAAACTAATAACAAGACATGTGTAAATAAAATAGGAAATTACAAACAAGTGAATAAGACAACAGCAGTAAAAAAATGAATAAACCTTACTTAATATGGTTATTTAGGAATGAAATCATGGCTCGTGGACCAACAGTTTCCGGCCAAAATGATTTTATGCTACTAGAAGGCCAAAATTTTGGATGGATCTTCTCAGGGGATTTTCGATGGCACGATATAAATATGACTTGTTTGCTAGCACTCCAAAGTTCTTCTAATGTTGGAATATTTTTTTGATAAGGGAACATAATATAATCTAAAATCTGGAACGAGTGAAAGGAAACACATTAAGGCAATAAGAAAATGAATGGTGTAATACAGTTTACTAAACCATTACATATTTACAGAATAGGGCTGTAACCAAACCGTGTGGAAACCGAAGATTTACACGTTCAAGTTAGTAATCCTCGGAGGCAAATTCCCACTATAAAACAGTAGTCCTTGAAAATACCTTTAGTATATAAAACCTGAAATTGTTGATTATCAGAAGATTTCCCGTAATAAAAATTGTTTGGCCACTCAACATCTGCCCGTTGTAAGGGTAAGTATGACTGCAACTTATAAACTGACAACAATCAACTGAAGCTGAGTAATCATTTGAGCAGGAGAGAACTCAGTATTTACACACTGCTAAAATAAAAAACATGTTTACATAAATTAAACTCAGCTATCCCCAATAATAATTATCTCTCAGAAACACTTATGCAAGACTAACACAAACAGTATGACAAAAGTTAAATCATCAAGAAATCGCTGCTCAACACAGTCAAAATTATCCCTGTGAGTTACAAATCTATGACACTGATTCCTATACTTTTTTTAAAGTGATTCAAAGTAAAATAACAAACTAAAAACAGACAAATTCAAAATTAAGTCATTGTTTAAATGGGAGTTTAACTACATGAAACAGAAACGACAATGACTGCAAAGAGAAATCACTTTAGTCCGGTGGTGTACTACTATAAGTTCTCAAGTTCTTTTTCCAAATTTATGAACCATATTGGCTAAGGTAGTAGTTATGATAATTATATTCACGATTACCTCAGAATAATCTTGGTCGATGATTGTTTTATTAAAAAAGCAGTGAACTACCCAGTTTTACAACAAAGTAAGTTTATGAACGACATCACATGCTTAGGATTCATAAACGCTGAAAGCATAACCAGTAATTCATAAAGGGTTATGAGGTTGGGTATGTATTTGATAGATTATTGGACCGATACTCAGCCTCCACTCAGACGCTGATGACGACACCTAACCTCACTCTGCAAGAGAGGACATGTTGAGCACAAACAAATATTTCATTTTTTTGGATACTTGATACATGAAATTTTATGAGGATGAGAGGTCTTGTAGAAAGGCGATTAGTAAGTGCAACATATGTTATGAATGTGCTTTCGGGAAAGGTTTTTGTTTTTTATATTTAATGTAAAGACTGTTTAGTCAACTTTATATGGAAATAAATATGATCCTACGACATCAAAACGCAGCAAATATGACATTGTAAACAATCACTATTAAATCTACAAAATATGGTGACTTTTATCTTGCAAACAGATTTAATCTGTTTAATAAACTTTGGTACACAGTAGTGTGTATAATGTGTATAACTGAATCGTTTTGGGAAAACATACATGTATCACGCTAAATTGTTATCCGATTCATGTTCAATACTACTTGTTTCGTAGTTTCATTGACAGTTGCATCAATGAGTAATCTGCTGGGAGTTTTGGTCAGCTGAAATCAATTTGCAGCATAAAATAAGCGTGTGTACACGGTTTGATTGTGTAAGTTTATTTACTGATTAATTCAAATTAATTTGATAACTTCATAGAAGGGTTTGTGTTTGATTAATATGCTGTATATTACTCTACTATACTGCCAAACTACATATTCCTACCTTTAAAACAGTTGATTCAAAACAATCTTTCTGTTCATCAGTTTCAAAACAATAACAATGATTACAATCCACAATAAGAACTTCTCTCGGATTGGCTCGGAGGAAACCAAGAATGCTCTGAAGTTCTGCAGATAACAGGTTTGCGTATAGTCCATGTACTAAATAAAATCCAGATTCACCATTTTTACATTTGTTCAAGCATTTCTGTCGTGCACAAATACGAAAGTCAAAATATCGAATCCCAGCCTCCAGCTGATCAACTAAACTTAGTGATTGTGTTACACTCCAAGGATATAATATTCGGCTTAAAAATGAACGAGGTAAACATATATCCAAACGACAAATAGAATTATCAGGAGAAGGAGGATTATGTTGAGTAATCGAATACGTAAATGAATCATGACTACCTAGAGACACGAGATAAATAAGGCAATTTAAATTCAATAGACGGGGATCAATAAGAGTTCTGCTACCAAAGAGTACCAAAAAAACATCACAGTAAATTCCCATAAAGAAATCAAGTGTATTAGATCAAATTACAGACAATATGTTGATTTTAAAAAATTAGTTTACTTAGAATTTTAATAGGATATTCCGTCTCTAGGTAGTTTTGATTAATTGTTTCAGCTAAACGACAACTTCAAAATTATTCTAGCGTGCATAGTCCGTTACTTTCTATGTTATTGTCAAGTGTTTCAGAAAACTCGTTTCGATTTAACAAAACTGAAAAGTGTCCAACATTCAGGAATACGTTATGTAGAGAAGTTCATGGTACGGATATTGATTAGTATCCGAGCAAAATAACGTATAAATACGGCTGATTTCACTTGATGTAAAAAGCTTAGTCAAAACAATTAAATTCTGATTCCTTGTGCAGATTGATTTATCTCTCACCTATTAATTCAATCATTAACCTTCAAGTGACCAGAAGGAATGACGTTTGAAGATAGTGATTAGACGGTAACTTCTCCACCAATATGGAGTGTTTTTTGAAGTAGATGATAATACTTTGATCATGCCCCTGTTTGCGCCAATCTTACCTTACGTCTCAGTGGCCAACAAATTCATCATCTTAAACGGGTCAATCTCACCAAATTGGTTACAGCTTGTGTTGCAACTAAATATCAAACCGAGCTAGGTCCAAGGCTAGCTACCATCCCACCGAAAAGTATAGATGAGCATCGTCTGCAAATGCATTACTTACTTTACTTACTTACTCCTGCTACCCTCGAGGAGCATAGGCCGCCCACCCGCACTCTCCATCCAACCCTATCCTGGGCAATTCTTTCCAGTTTTTATTCATCCTTTTCATGTCGGCTCCTATTTCCCGACATAATGTGCTCTTTGGATTTCCTCTTTTCTGCTTCCGTTTAAAATTCCAGGTCGAGGCTTGCTTCGTGGTACAGTTTGGTGATTTCATTAATGTATGACCTATCCACTTTCAACATCTTTTCCTAATTTCCGCTCCATCTGGAAGCTGGTTTGTCATCTCCCATAGTAGGCTGTTGATGTTGGTATCCGGCCGACGGATGTTGAGTATCTTGTGTAGACAACTGTTTATAAATACTTGTGAATTTTTAATGATGGTTGTAGTAGTTCTCCATGTTTGAGCTCCATATAGTAGGACTGTCTTGACGTTCGTATTGAAGATTTTGATTTTGACTGACAGTTGTTTTGAGTTCCATATGTTCTTCAATTGTAGGAATGCGGCCCTTGCTTTACCAATCTTAGCCATTGCATTTGCATCAGATCCTCCTTGTTCATCGATGATGCTAGACAGACACGTGAAAGAACCCACATTTTCAAGAGTCTCTCCATCAAGTGTGATTGAATTGATGTTCTCAGTGCTGTGTTTGAGGATCTTGCTTTTTTCTTTGTGCATATTGAGGTCTACTGATCCAGAGGCTACTGCTACATCAGTTGTCTTCATCTGCATTTGTTTGTGTGTATGAGATAGAAGGGCCAGATCATCTGAGAAGTCCAAATCTTCTAGTTGATTCTGAGCTGTCCATTGTATTCCGTGCTTCCCCTCAGATGCCGATGTCTTCATAATCCAGTTCACCACCAGAAGAAAAAGGGAAAATAGGCAGTCTTGTCTGACTCCAGTCCTTACTTGGAATGCATCTGTCAGCTGTCCTGTAATTGCATGATGCCATGAAAATGGCGAGCGAAGTCGCTGGCGGACTCGCGACACATACCGCTTATTAGCACTGGGTTTCTTTAGGCTTTTCACAGCTTATTGAGGCCCGTCGGTCTACTCCGGGTGACCGCGAGTTCAGTCACAAACTAAGACTGTTACGTGATGAAATTGTGCAAGGCCTGCTTAAGGACCGAGAAGCCTAGTGGTCGGAGCATGGTAACGAGTTGGAAGCAGCAGCTGCATATGGCAACTACTGGAAGCTCTTCCAACTCATCCTAGCCACTGGCAGCAAGAAGTTTGGTGTGAGTGAAACAATCTGTGAGGATGACAGGATGCCAATCACTAACATCTGTCGACGTCTTGGACGATGGGCGGAATTCTTCGAAGGGCAGTTCAACTGGCCTGCTGCTCCAGCAACATCGACCAGTTTATCCTGTCACCCCCATGGCCGGTGACGACTGATCCACCAAACGAGGCGGAAGTCCGCAAGGAACTTTAACTCCTGAAACGCTACAAATGACCGGGCCAAGATGACTTAACTCCGGAGGTCTTAAATATGGTGGCAACGTTTTGGTTATGGAACTGACTAAATTGTTCACAAATGTCTGGCAACTACAGGGTTTCAACATCGTGGAATGAATCGATAGTTATCCCATCTTTAAAAGGAGTTCACGTCATCTAGTAAAAACTATCGGGGAATATGTCTACTTCCGGTTACATCCAAACTATAAGTTTTCATCATACTCCGTAGATTGTTCAAAACCCGAGAAAGATTGACTAGCGAGAAGCAGGCTGGTTTTCGTTCTTGTCTGTGATGTATTGACCACATCTTCACCCTCCGCCAAATGTTAGAACACCGTCATACTTATCACAGGCCAACAATCATAGTGTTTCTTGATATTAGGGCCGCCTTCCATTCATTGGACAGGACTGTTCTCTGGAAGTATCTACTGAAGAAGGGTGTGCCTGAAAATTTTATTGACATCTCGGAAGCCTTATTTACTAACACCTCAGGCAGAGTGATGGCATACAACCACCTCTCTCTACTGTTCCATTCAAACAGTGGGGTCAGGCAGGGTTGCCCAACCTTACCATTCCTCTTCAACTTTGCCATCGACGACTTTCTGGAAACAGCTGTGATGGATGTAGGTAATAGTGGTGTGGATCTGTTGCTTGGATAAACACTTTTCGACCTTGAGTATGTGGATGGTTTTGTTTTACTGTGCGATGATACCAAAGTCATGTAATTCACAATTAATCAGTTGACAATCAGTGTCCGTCAGTATGATATGCGCCTTGCACCTTCGAAGTGCAAAGTACTTTTACAAGATAGGCAGGACATTGATTCTGCACTCACTCTGGATAGTGAGAGGATAGAGGTCGAAAATTCTAAGTACCTGCCTAAGTACTGGTGGTGGCGTGAGTGATGAGATCAATTCACTTATAGTGAAAGCCAGAGGCTTATGCCAATCTGGATCATCTTTGGTGCCTTTGTGATGCTGATCTGGCAATGACAGATCGAATCTACAGCGCGTCAGTGAGAGCAGTTTCGCTCAATACTTGTGAAACCTGACCTCTCCGAGTTGAGTATGTTAGACGGCTCTATGTTTGATCATCGTTGTCTCCGAATGAATGCTGACAACCAGTGGCAACACCACGGTAGGTCCAGCATCGTGTGTTCGGGCACGGCGACGATAAATCAGTTGGTGTCATCATCTCGAAATACTGGTGACTTGGACATATACTATGAATGTAGTCCCACATAATTCCAATTTGTGCATTATTTGTCCATGCTGGGACGGGTTGAGAAAAGTGAAGAGTTGGTTAGTGTATGGCATGGTATCGTAGTATGAAAAAATGTTATACAGGACTGACTTCTGTTGGTCCTCCACGACTCCCTATTTGGGGTCCTAGAGATGGTGTTACACAGTGGCTTGAGATGTAATCGGAAAAGGTTCAGAATAGAAGTCAGTGGCGATCGTGCTGTAACTTCATAAAAGTAAGAGTAACATCTTTAATAGAAAGAAAGACCTGAGTATTCAAGTCTACAAATAGTACTACAATATCTGTCGAACGCACTCACTATAGATGGACACTTAACTTGTCGTAAAACCCATCCTTAATTGCATCTGGGCTGCACAGGCGGAGATGACCAAAAGACATCGTTTCTCACACCTATTTCTTAGCACTTTGATGGAACTTTCTAATCTAACAGCACATAACCGACTGTTAATGGGGATCCAATCTATCAGAGCTACATCAGCTCTGGTGCTTAGTACGACACCAACGACAGTAAAAACAAACGAAGATGTCACAGGGTCCCAGGATAGACTTACGTGAAACAAGCTTTTCGAAGCGACAGATGGAGAGAGAATTTGTAGTAGTTCACTAGAGTCTTGAATACGGATCTCGGATAGACAACGAACATCAATATTAAGACTTTCTGAAAACTTATCCAACCCTATCTGTTATCCGATCTGCATTAGTGTGCGAACGTTGAAGGAAGCCAGTTCGAATAGTGTATGTGGTTTCAGAAAGACTGGGCCAGTATTCGTATTCGGTTGAAGAATTCACATACCATCACACAGTGACTCGAGACCGTTTAGGTAGAACAGAGTTTCTACCATGAGCGAGCTGCTGCATAAGTTTTAAGATAAAATACGCGAAATGAGAATAAAGAGGAATACATAAGTGACGCAGTATAAAAGAAATAAAAACGAATGTTTTCATATGATTGTGAATAAGATTTGTCTGAGTGAGCTTTGAAGCAAGAGAAATTTTTCAGTAGTAATCACTGATTTGTGTGAAGGCTATGATACTGCTCGGGTATACAAACCAAAACAGGTGGTTTTCATGGGAGAGTCACACCTCAAAACTTTGAACTAGATGTCCAATCCATAAGGCAGCAGAGCAAAGTTGGAAGATGCAGTCCCATGGTAGTCGGTGACCAACAAGAGGTTGATACGCCATTTGTCGCCTCAGGATCCTGAAGCCAATGTGCACCATTGGTTTAGAATCAGGGTTTTCCATATCAATCAACCAGGTTAAGGCGCTGGAAATATGCTCTTCGTCCTCTCAATTTTGTAAAAACACTCCCACCGCGAGAAGGCAGTGAGTAGAACTTTCCATGGCATCGGCTGTATACGTGTAGCCATGTGAGAGCATTTCGAGAGGGATAGCGAACTCTCCTCACACTTGGGCATACCAGGGCCTTTGGGGGCAAAAAAGGGATTGAAAGTGTATGTACACTAAATTCTAGGGATAAATGAGACTACATTATGAGGGAAATGAAGGTTCATATAGGTCACCTAACAGTTCGCTATAATTCACTAATTAAGGTCGCTTTAAATCATAGTAATAGTACATATCGCTTGAACTCATTTGAGAAATTTACTCGAAACACTGGGCTATGGGATAATTATTATTTCGATTTTATTTCTGTTTCCATAAGACTAGTGTTTCCAGTACTTTATAAAAGATCAACTGAAAATCCCTATTTCGAACCCCAAAAATACATAATATTAGAAGCGTTTTAAATGCAAGTGACGAAAATGCAGAATATTACAACAAAAAAGTTTAAAGCACTAACTGGTGCAGTGAGATACATCAACCCATAGATGGTCAATTGGACTTTTCTGGAAGTTATTGGAGTGGGATTCAATAACGCAAGAAATCAATTTAAAATATACAGGGTGACAAACCTGGAATGCTTATCAGATTAAGGGCCTTCTGTGATATATGAGCGGGAAGGTCAGACATCCATGAGCGTGGGTTAATCATTATTCATCTAAATATGTGCAAATCGCTATTAGTAACTAGTAATATCTTACCGTTTGTTAGTTAGCATTATATCAACATATATGTGCTCTAAAATATGAAAATAATTACGTTAAGGGGAGACATTATGTTTTAGTTGGACATTTGAAATTCTAGTGAACACTATCTTTGAGCGAAACATATTACACAAACAGGGATAGTGTTTGCATAGTTTTAACTTCGACTTTTTGATCTGAAGACATTGTGAAAAACATTTCCCTCAAACTGCTCGATGAAGTCATATGGGGAATGTTAGACTAATATAAACTGTCAAAAAGTTTAAAACACTCACTAAAGGACATATCCCCACAAAATATACACTGATTAAGTCAATATGAGCGGTGCAACAATAGTGGAAAGATTTACATTTTGCACCTAAAAGCATCATAAGACAAACAACAGAAATAATACAAAAAAGGCTAGAAACAATCAGAGGAGAACTATTTGTGCAGGAAGCAAGTTGATGTCTAAATAGGAACACTAGCAAAACTTATTAAGCCACTGAAGACGGCATATGACACTTAAACACTTCAAGCTTTGGTTCCAATTAACTTTGAACAACTTCGTACCAGGAAAGTAATCATCTCTAGGTGTGCAAGGGAAGATTCGAAGCTCAGAGGGGGATTTCAGCGGTGTTGCATACACTGTTCATGAAGTTAGCGTTCACTTCCCAAATAACATTAGTACAAATTTCAAAAACTTGTCAGACGTATTTCTCCGCATACGGCTAAGAAGTAGATCTGTGAACAGGACAACGCCAAGAACACGCTAAAATCATTAATTGAGAAGTCACAACGGAAAAACACAGCACCTTCAGTTTAAATTGGGATACTGAAATGAGATGATATTCACTTCCCCACTTCTACTAATGATACTTTGAATATAATTTCACTCGTTAAAAGTTTGTTTTTGGTTGTGTCCATCCCCCCTTCGACTAAGTAGAAACCGATTTATTTATTTATTTATTTATTTGAACATAAATATTGGCACAAGAAAGCACAGGATAAATATGCGCCACACAAATCTCATTCGATTTGTGTGAGGGCTGTGATACTACCCAGGTGCCCAGACTGAAGCAGGTGGTTTTCTTAGGGGCCCACACCCGGAGCCTTTGACCGAAAGATCTGATCCACAAGGCAGTGGAGCATCGTAAGGAGATGCAAGAAACCGATTGGGTTTCCGGGAAGCGAAAAGAGATTACTCAAAGACGATCGAGACTGGAACACTAGAAACCAAAGCAAACAGACACTAGCAGGTTACCTTGGTATAATTCATGTGTAAGTAGGGGCTTCCATTCAACCATAATTTATTTGATATAAGCTAACACGTTAGCAGTCTACTTCTGCACGTGAGGCAGACGGACAATAGCAATCCACTTCTGTACAGCTACACTTTCCTATCTCATTCAGAAACTTTGTTACAATTCGAACGCGTTGAGAGCTATGATGAATAAAATAGTACAGGAAGTGGTATAGCCGCAGGTGTTACATGTATGTATAGAATGCACATCAAATATATACGCTTAATAGAACACACGTGAGCACGAATGTTCCCACTAGCAGTTATACGTTACATGCATATATAAAACACATAGACCTAAGCCTATATATTCCTCAGTATACACATAATTATAGGTGCGATTTATTCCAGGCCGTAGACGAGTGGTAGCTAACTATGAATGAATGACAAGAATTAAAAAAATCATTTCGGTTGCAAGTCATCCACTGAAGATATGCTCTTTCATGTTCATATCACAGACAAGTATAGTGTCAACCCTTGCGCAGTGGTTACAGAATAGACTAAGACCATTCGATCTGGTTTGTAAGAGACTGGATGGATCTTCCTAAAGATAATCCAGCAAGGTACTAAGAGGAAAATTCTTTCATCGGTTCTGCATTTCATCTACACACTGCACTCTTTTCTGAGAATCCTTCTTTAATATAGGAAGAGGGATTACTCTGAGCTCTACCTAGCCGCCAACGTTAGTTCATTAAACAAGGTTCTACTATCTCCAAGGAACCACGGAGATAATGTTAGTCGAAATTGACCTGTTTTGTTTAAAGGCAGTCCATAAAAAGCCTGAACACCAAAGAGACTACGTTGATTATCATTATGATACATCACACTGCCTAACACGAAACGAGCTACAGTTCAAACAAAACCCTAAAGAACTGTTTATACCAATAAATTAAGAGGATTTACAAAACATGAAAGCACTGAGAATTACAAGCACATAATACCAAAGAACCATATAACTAAAAGACCTTGTTATATTCTGACAGTTATCAATCAATATACCTTGTATGTATCGACATCAAAGCAAACTAAAAAGGTCATACCGGTGGCTAGCTTATTGTCATTATACTTTGTACTTGATAATTGGTAGTGCTCATAATTTAGCTTCCCGTTAAATGATACAACTGTTCATGTGCTAGATTTGAAAAGTTCATGAAGTAATGCTGATTTATTCCTAGCCATAATTAATGCACTAAAAGCACTGGTATAGCGTTTTATCAAAAGGAGTAGTTGTGCAGTAGGCTAAATTATCTGATTCTAGTTTTGACTTCAAGATTGTTTTAATCCGAGGCTTGTGTTATTGCTGAATGTCTATTGCTTTTTTTAGTAAGTGAAAGTGCATTTACTGCGCCTGCTAGGTCGTCAACTAGCATTTTTCTTTATTCTCTTTTTCAGATTTCCCTCATGCTATTCCGCGTGTTCCCATAGTACACACAATATCTTTTGGCCAGAAATGAACTGCTACAATTTATTTGAGTCAATTAGCTTGTTCTGATTGCTAGATCATCTTGCACTCACAAATTTTTCACATCTCTTTTTGACTTGCTGACTTGGCGAGACTAATGCCCGACCGTTGCTGCTACCTTGACGTGGTGGTCGGGCTTGCCTATCGTGATGATCCAATCGAGCTATGCTAGTTGGAACAATCGTTCCTCAAGGTCCTACCATGCCAGACAGGTCGGTTGAAGGGCGGTGAGACTAAAAGGAGCAAACCCAAGGTCCGAAGGCGAAGTTGTACTGCCGACTGTACAGAGGTGTGACGGCAGTAAGGCGTTTCCTTCAGACAACCAGCATGACAGCGATGCTGCCTTCCCACAAGGAGGGGTGGGGTTAGAAAAGGTCGACCCTAAAAATGCACACCTCGCCTTATCCCACGGATTCCCGTCTCCGGCGGTAAGGACTTTTGAAGAACGGAGCTAACACGTCAAAAATCCCCCACAAAAAGTCCGTGCGTGACCGGCCTCAAGCAGTTGTCCCTTGGGCACTGCGGTCACGCTCTCAGGTTATTAAGACCACTTCTAACCCAATTTCCTTTTCAGGTACCCCCAGAAGAACCCCTCCACGGTGTGGGCAGCCGGGAAGTGATAACTGCCCTCATACCTCTAACAGCACTCAAGACCACTGTATTCATAATCAATATCCTTCAATTCCTACTATTCCTTCTACCTTGACTTTCAACACTAAACTTCCTGTTCCGGTTTCCTCCTCAAGTGTCACCATGGCCAACGATTCTAGTGCGCGAAACGCTGTCCCAGGTCTACTTAAACCTCGCTCCAAACTACACATTGGAGCCTTCAACGTACGTACCCTATGCCAAATCGGTCAACAGGCCTCCTTAGCTAAAACCCTAGAATCTCGTACCATTGATGTATGCTGTGTCTCCGAAACACGCATACAGGATCCCAGTGTAGTCATTCACTTGACCACACCTCGCCAAAATGGACAGCCAACGAAATACACCCTCCGTGTATCTGGCGACCCGTTGGCTAGTTCTCGCGGACTTGCAGGTGTAGGCATAGCACTAAGTACAAGGGCAGAACAGGCACTATTAGAATGGATCCCCGTTAACAGTCGCCTGTGTGCTGTCCGGCTAAATGGCTCCGTAAGAACTCGGAAAGATAGGGACACACGTCGTTGCCTTTTCGTCGTTTCTGCCTACGCTCCCACCGACTGTAGCCATGATGAAGTGAAAGATGACTTTTACAGAAAACTCTCTGAGCTTCTTCAGAAAGCTAAGCGCTCAGACATAGTAGTCGTAGCGGGTGACTTTAATGCCCAGGTAAGCAGGTTAAATCAAACAGAAAGACATGTAGCTGTAAATAATTCCCCAAAATCAATAGTTCATTAAGTGTTCGACATTGGATGCTGACCACGTGTTTAAGTGGACTTGTTTAGCTGAAGGCTTTCGGTCATGCATCCGTACCAGATCACGTTTCGACTCGGCATGGGACACAGCTCCTACGTTTCATTAGCCAGCTCATAGAAAAGGTCCTCGATATATTGGTAACGAATCAATTATACCTTTCCTGCCTCTTCTCGTCTGGCTTCTGATTTCTATCTGACTGGGAACAATCGAATTTAGAAGGTGCTACTGGTATCTAGTTGTAAAACTAGAATATCCGTTGCATCATCATTGGTGAGACCGACGTGATCTGGTACACCAAGTCAATATACTGTGAGTCTGTTCCATTTTGGAATATTTTTATTCATTGTTATTTTTTATTTGAATTTTATGTATTGTGATATACTTTTTTTCGCAGTTTTTTTTCTCGGATATATTTTACTTAGACATTTTTCGATATCTATATTACTATGACGGAACACTCTCCTAAGGTTCTTAAGTTTAAGTCTATTCCCCCTATTTCGATTGAGTTAACGCCATTTTGGCCCGACAATATCGAGTCCTGGTTCTGCTATGCAGAAGCCGATTTTTGCATGCACGTAATCACGGACTCGCGAACACGTTTCCTCACGGTAGTTAAGGCGTTACCGCGCGAGTTTAACAGATACGTAACACCTAGTATGTTTACTAGTGGTGTTCCCGAACCTTACGAAACGCTTAAGCTATCGATTTTAAAACGAGGAGACCTAACTGATCGACAACGGTTAGACCAACTCCTTAACAATATCGACTTGCAACATGGTTCTGCGACGGACATGTTGCTTAGAATGAGAGAAGTCATCGGCCAACGAACTTTCGATGATGGCCTATTTAGACAACTTTTCTTGTCTAAACTCCCTCAACAGGTGCAGGCAGTGCTTGTTTCATTTCAAAACAATGCCGTAGATGAACTAGCTGCATCTGCCGATCGAATCTTGGAAATCACTAGATCTTCTAAGGCCGAGGTTTTTTCCGTCAAGGAAGAACCCCAATCGACCTCGACTGACATGGCCGAACTATGTCACACGCTTACACGATATCTTAGAGTTCGCAATGACCGTAGTCGGTCAAAAATCCCGCGTAGAAGCGTCTCACGTAAGCGATCTGGCTCTTGACCACGAGAGACAGACAATCCCGACTGGTGCTGGTATCATAACCAGTACGGTAAGTTTTCCAGAAATTGCAGGAAACCTTGCAATTATCCGACTTCAAAATCGACTGACACGAATAAGATTTCGGGAAATTTCCCAGCCGGCACGCGTTAACGGCAACCGTAGCCGGCGAACACAGTCTCCTCTTATATGTCACGGATGTGACTACGAAAGTTCGCTACCTCGTCGACACTGGCGCAGAAGTTAGCGTTCTTCCAGCAAATCATGACGACAGACTTCAAGAGTCTGTTTTCAGTTTACAGGCGGCAAACGGAAAGCCGATCGCTACTTACGGTAAAAGGTACGTCTACCTTAACGTGGGTTTACGCAAACTCATACACTGGATTTTCGTGGTTGCAGATGTCTCTACACCAATCATTGGTATAGACCTGTTACAACACCACAATCTACTCATCGACACACGCTCACGAAGGTTAATAGACGGAAACACTGAGTTATCTGTTAGCGTAACTCCTTGTTCTGGTTGCAGGCTATCCCCACGATTAAGCACACCATAGACCCCTTGTACCAATCAGTACTCGACAAATACCCCGGGATATACCAATCGCAATCGAAATTGCCTTATGTAACCAGCAATGTTACACATCACATCACGACTACAGGACCACCTGTATTTTCGAAAGCTCGAAGACTCGCTCCCGAGAAGCTTAGGTTAGCTAAAAACGAATTCGACCACATGATGGACCTAGGGATAATTCGACCATCGAATAGTCCATGGGCATCCCCATTGCACATGGTCCCTAAAAAGGACAGCAATGATAGGCGGCCAACTGGTGATTATCGGCGTCTAAATGCTAAAACCATTCCCGATCGTTACCCGCTGCCTCATATTCATGATTTGACAGCTACCTTGAAAGGTACAACTGTCTTTTCGAAAATCGACTTGGTTAAAGCTTATAACCAAATCCCGATGGCAACTGACGACATTCCTAAAACCGCCATCATCACTCCCTTCGGTCTTTACGAATTTCTACGAATGCCCTTTGGTTTAAGAAACGCGGCTCAAACCTTCCAAAGGTTTATAGACGACGTCTTCCGAGGTCTCAACTTCGTACATACGTATGTTGATGACTGTCTAATAGCAAGTCCGGACAGAGAATCGCATCTCAAGCATCTGGACATTGTTTTCGATCGACTCCAAAGGCATGGCATTACTGTCAACATACAGAAATGCGAAATCGGAACAAACTCCTTAGACTTCCTAGGACACACGATTGATGCCCAAGGCATCCGACCAATTAGGAGCAAAATGGCGGCCATTCTGGATTACCCAGAACCGACCACGATCAAGCACTTACGAACTTTTAACGGACTTGTAAGTTTCTATAGACGGTTCATACCTAAATGTGCATCCCTAATGAAACCGTTAACCGATCAGCTTCGTGGAAATGAGAAATCAATTAGTTTAGACGACATAGCCCGTAAAGCATTTTCCGCAGTTAAGGAACACATCGCTAAAGCAACCTTGCTTGCTCATCAGGACACTCAAGCGCCCATTAGTATCGCCGTAGACGCATCCGACTCAGCAATCGGAGGAGTCTTACAACAATGGGTTAACAACTCGTGGCAACCTTTAGGATTTTTCTCGAGACGGTTGCTAGACGCGGAATCTAGGTACAGCACGTTCGGTAGGGAACTCCTAGCTATGTATTGTGCTGTACGGCATTTTCAACATTCCATCGAAGGAAGAGAATTCACCCTTTTTACCGATCACAAACCTCTTACCTTCTCTTTAAATTCATCTTCAGACAAGTACTCACCACGAGAGTCTCGACAACTCGACTACATTTCGCAGTTTACTTCAGACATACAACATATATCTGGAGCTAACAATGTAGTCGCAGACGCCTTGTCTCGAATAAATTCCTTGAACAGTTTCCAAGGAATCGACCTTCTTAAACTCGCTCAGCTTCAAAAAGAAGACATTGATCTTCAGCATGAGTTAACCTCGACAACTCTTAAACTAAGTATTAGGCAGATGGGAACAGGTAAGGAAACCTTACTCTGTGACACATCTACAGGTAGGGATCGTCCAATTGTACCAAAACACTATCGCCGCAACGTCTTCAATACGTTGCACAATCTTTCTCATCCAGGTGCTCGTGCAACAATCGAACTTATAACCGAACGCTTTTGTTGGCCTGGCATGAATAAAGACGTGAGGGAATGGGCACGCTCCTGTGTAAGCTGTCAGAAATCTAAGGTAATCAGACACAACAAATGTCCCTTAGGTTCTTTCAAAACCCCTGACGCTCGTTTCGACCACGTCCATCTAGATTTGGTAGGACCCTTACCCGACTCGAACGGATACTCATATCTCCTAACATGCGTAGACCGTTTTACTCGATGGCCAGAAGCAGTACCGATTAAGGACATTACTGCTGAA